AGGACCCCTGGACCCTGCACAATCATCCACACCAATCCAGAGTGGGGAGAGGGAGATGTATTCCCTCATCCTCTTGTGGAGACAAGGCAGCTTCCACAGCTCAGCAAGGCTATCCATGCCAGGACACAGCCCAGAGCCATTGTTTGTACTAACGCATTCCCAGCTTCAGCCTTATAAAAGATGAGCAGTGCAGCCAGCAATCTCCCTGACTCCCACAGGAGGCTGCCGCTGCTGCAGCAATGACACACTGGATACAAAGCGGCCATTGTCCACGTCCCATGCTGGGCGCCAAAAAGGACCATGGAAGATGAACCTAGCCTGAACATCAGCTGCCCACCAAGCTGCACGTATCACTCCCCTCCACAGCAGAGTGAGGGCAGGGGGCAGAAAATAAAATGAAAAAAACCCCAAACCTGGTCAAGATAAAGATAATTAATAGTGTTACCAGCCCCTTTTCAGGTGCCAATACAGAGCCCAGCACTGTGAGGATGCCGTGGGCAATGAACTCCATCCCAGCCAGGCCTAATAAACACTTCAGGTTTTCCATCTGGTCACGAGGCCTCCTGCAGCCCATGGCAGCTCTGCAAGCAACCAGCTCCACTGTGCCCCACCAGGGACTGGCAAGTTCCTCCCGCACAGCAGAGCTCCTTCAGCTTGAGGACAAAGAGCAAATTGTTCTAAAATGACAGCTGCCTGCCAGAGAGGTTTATTATTCCAGGACAGTGAAGGATCTCACACTTCAAATGAAACAAAATGGAATGTTTGCTCTCTAGCTCACTGTCTTTCCGTGCATCTGAGGTTACAGCAAAAAGAGTAATTTTTGTTTATCACAGACTGAAACAAACATTAGGGGTGACCTGCTGAGCAAACTGTAAAAAATGTTTGCTTTCTTCTACCTTTTGGGGGATGGATTCTGAAATCCATTGGATTGGTAAGAATATTTTCCTGCCTGAAATTTCCCCCCTGGAGCAGTGGAATATCTCCCTGTACAGGCACTGCAGGTGGGTGGGCTGTGGGTGCAGAAAGACAAAAATGCTGTCCAGCTAAGTATTCATTTTTACTGTGAGGATATGGCAGGCATGGGGGTGGCCTTATGTTGCTGGAGGATTTACTAGGAGAGGTGTTGAGATTTCCAACTTAAGTCTCTCCCTGCCACTTGCAAAGATGGGGGTTTCATGCTTTATAGAGGGAACTCCCAAAAAAGTAATTTGCAGCCTGCATTTAGGAGAGCTGGTCTCTGTGGATGATGACCATAGCACAAGAGAGTGAAACGGGGCAGAGATCCAGTAATCAATTTAATATAGGCCTTCATTACAGTTAGTCCCTTTGTGCTGAAATGCTCAGGGCTGGAGAATAACCCTGGAGCAGCTGAAAATGGGGGTGTGGAGAGAAATCAGCAATATCACCGTTTTTTATATATTTGGAAATTGAAAGGAGCTTAGACGCACCACAGGATTTCAACTGAGTTCCCAGTGGTCAGGATTCCATGACCCACATTTTCTGTCTCAGCTGGTGGATGTGCTGTTGTCAAAGACATTGGGATTTTTAGCTAAGGGAATAATTTCTCTTAAAAAACTTCAGTTGGGCACTGCCAGGTCATTGCTCACTCACCCAAGAAGTCAAATGTACAGTACAACACCACTCTGGGCATTCCTTGGTTCCAAACTGCTGTTCTGAATGCAGAGATACCCATCAGGTGCCCTCTTGACCCGGGATATGAAGTGCTTGAGCCAGTGGTGCCTGCCATAACTTTCTTACAGACTTAAGTGCAATTGTGTACATTTATTACATGCTTTGCCTTAGGACTGTGTGTAATTTCTGTGGTTTGATATTTATCTTTGGTGTAATCAGTGTTCAAATTTAATCTACTATGAAATTTTATAGAGGTGCCCATCTTTTTTTTTTTTTTTTTTTTTTAATGTTTTTTCATCTTCATCAACTCAAAGCTACAATAGAGCAGCTAAGTCTGTACTGGAATGCTTTTAAGAGCTTTCAATAAAGGATTGGCTTCTAGGAGCTGTGTCACTACAAATGGATTTTTCTTCTTCCACCGCATTGCCAACTACCTGAAAAGCTGCAGCTTCTCAAGCTGTCACAGCTGTCCTGTTAGCCCTGGGCCTCGGTCCTTGCCATAAAGAGCTTCTGATAACCAAGGCTTTGGCTACAAAGACGCTCTCCCAGAGATAAGCAGTGCAAAGCACCTCCTGTCTCTGGGCTGTGCTGCACCAGGCTGTCACGTTCTAACTTGCTATTTCTGTCTCCCTGGGTGGCTGTCATGGTGAGCAATGCCAGCCTGTGACACAGGGCAAAGAAACAAATTTGGCCCCTGCAGGAAAATGTAGTTTTGCTGCTGCATGAATTCAAAGCTGCTCCATTACACTTGAAGAAACTATAAGTAAGAGCTGAGGGTTTTAACTCAGATGCAGAAGTAACCCTGAGATCACTGGTATTTTTAGTTAATACAGCTTTTCACAGCTGGGCTCAAACCTATTTTACTTTCTCTCCCTTGAAGGCAGCAGCCTTGAATTCAATGAGGTCTTAGTTTCCTACTGCTGAGCTCCAGCATTTCTTTTCAGGAGCAGAGTCCTTTTTTGCTCTCCTTTGTTGCCAATCCACATCTCAGCTCAGTTTGGAGCTGATGAGCTCTTGGATATATGCCCATATCCCATGGTGGTCTTGTAATCACTGCTCACATGGGTAAATTTGGAGAGCTTGGGTGGTGTGTTGGAAAACCTGCTGGCCAGATCTGCCCTTTCACAGGACTTGGGAAATGGCTCCCAGGCTTCTCTGCAGTTGGAGCATTCATCCTGTAATGAGCATCCCTGTGAGCTGCTGCTTTGTGAGAACAGGGCAGCAAAGCACCAGCAGCACCACAGTGGTTCCTTTCCCAGCTTCAAGATGGTCTGGGCAGAGCAGCCAAGCTTTAAGGAGAGCTTAAAGCTCTCAGAACCTGGGCCTGGGAAGAGCTGAGAACTCTTCCGGAGCTCCTGTGAGCACCACCCCACGCACTCACCCGCACAGGATTTTCATCACTGCTGTTCGGCAGAGCCTTTTTGCACCTGCCCCCACCTCAGTGCTGGCAGTGGAAACACTCCCACCCAGACATTGTCTCTGCCCCTGCACCAGGGGCTCTGGTGCCCTCTGGTGCAGGCAGGATTGCATTTAGGTTCATCCGTGACCAAGTTTTGGTGCCATTCCTTACAAATTGGCCTTTTTTGGGGGGCTGGGCCCACATTCAACACAGTGCCACACAACTCTTCCCCAGGAAGACAGGGCAGGATTTGACTCCCAGCGCATCAGCCCCGTTCCTGGGCTTGCTTACCTCATCCTCCTGCCTACATGGTGTGGCACAGTAACCTCACTACTGAATCAAATCTGTATCCTGTCATGGAGATGTGTCCCACTGCCTTAAAAACACTAATGCACTTTATAGGGAACATCAAGCCTGGAAAGCAGCTCAGCCTCACTTTTCTGAACTGAGTTACTGCACCTGTCATGAAAGACAATTCGGTCACAGCAAATTGGCCACAACTTTGGTTTTACCTGCTAAATGGAATGCCTGGTCCCGGGCAGTGCTTCCACCTGGCAGGAACGGTGGTGGAGCCAGAGCTAAAGGCTGGGGCACTTGCAAGGAGCTGCCCTGTCACTCAACAAGTGCCTCATTTCACTGCAAAACTGGCTGCTGGCCCAGCTGATGCCTGTTGGGATTTTACAGGGCCAGGACTGCACTTTCCCAGTCAAAAGGTCCATCAGGATTGTGGGCTCCACCACTTCCCAGTGCTTGTTCCTGGCACCTCTGCTCTCCATCATGCCTGGAAAATGAGCTTGAAATATTGCATACAGTAACTGACCCAGCTGCACAGAGCAGTCTGGAGCTGCTGTTAGTAGGAAATCTCTCCCCAAAAAGAGTGGGAGGCAATGCTAGACCCCACAGCCCAGAGCTGGTATGGTTACCTGGCTGAGTGCTTCAGTAACATCCATCCATGACCTGCTCCCTGGCAGCAGGACACTCAGGCTGCAGCTGTCAAGTGTCTGCAGCTGCTGAGCAAAGTAACTCCCCCAAAACTGTTGAAGAGAAACGGTTTTTTTTTTAGTGTGTTGAAAGATTTAAAATGTGGAAATGGCCGAGTGTGAAATACTTGAACCTTTGAAAAGTGGACATTACCATCCTATATAACCAAGACATGCCTAAGCAAGGCCATGGAAATGGCTTCTCTAACTCCCTCCTTTTCCACTGCCCTTGTCCAGCATGACTTAATTCTTTTTTGTCTGCTTTCGCTGTATTGGCAGAGCCTGTTCTTCTATGCACTGTCACATTCTGCTGTTGCAGCGTGGCAGGGTGGTAGGAATGCTGCAGCCTTCTTTGAGGTATCTCCTTCAGAAGTAAGGCCACAGGAACAGCCATTTCCAGTCCATGCACACACCAAAGATAGCTCAGCGGAGGAAAGCCAGGGTCTTCGCATGATACATTCCAGCCAGGGGTGTATCACACCCACCACACCAGAGGGACCAAAGACAGCACTGTGTGCTCTGCACAACTTAAGCGTGGAGTCAGTGACCAATGACCTGGGGGCACAGGGGCGGGCAAAGGGCAGCAACCTGTAGGGGGGATGAGGGATGAGTAACGGGGGTGGGCAGTGTCAGCTGGCCAGTGGGGGAGGCAATCTGATGTGGATTGGCAGTAGTGCTGCAGAGCATCATGGGTTAAGTCTTCTCTATCAGCCTAGGTGGGGAAAAGCTCTGTGATATCAGAGGATTCCACATTCTGCTGAATTCACACTCTACAACTTAAAGCAAAAAAGAACAAACTAAGGCACATGATTTCATGCTGCACCATCATGAATGGGCATACTCACATTCAGAAAGCAAAACTGTGACAAGTAATAGAAACTTACTCCTCATGATCACACAGAAAAATGTTACTCATTAGTTACCACTCCTGAGTTAAAAACGTTTATTCAACTGCAAATGATGTGTCTTTCCAACAAATGCAAACCAGCTTTTTGGTGGTAAACAGCAGGTATTTATTTGAAATGAAAAAAAAAAATACTTCAGTACCTGAACTATTGCATTTAATCATGTATTGTTGTAATCGTGTTACTCTACCTTTTTGCATTGGAGACAAATATACAATGAACATTCAGATATCACAGATTGCACACTAGATAGTAAATCGTCAGGCCTTTTACGTAACCACCAAAAAACAGATATTGGATTCTGCAATATAGTACAAAATTCCACACTCCAGTCTCAGCCAGTTATCTTCAATTTACTCCTGATGCTGTACAAATAAATGGCCGTTTACCTAGGGCTTACAAGTTAATAACAGAACAAAAAAAATATACATTGCACTGACACAAAAAGTCAGCTGTGTTAATAGTCATGCAACAAGTAACCAAACTTGCTGAAATTAAAAATACTTTCTAAAAACAGTTTTAACTGCATAAGTATTTTATACACAGTTCATTTACCGAAACAAAAGGAGTCTTTAAATGATCCAAAGCAAATATAAGTTTCTACCAATTTTATACATAAGAAAGTGCAAAATAACTTATCTAAAGTGTTTTGCTATTGAACTGATGAATGTTGGCTGGAGGCAGCCAACCCCTCTCAAAAGCATGACATTACAGTTGCACACTACAAACGAATGTTAGGAGTACATGGATAAGTTTACTACAAAGAACAAGGCAGGAGAAGACATGTGAGGTACTTGCAGAGAATACAGTCTACTAATGTTAGTGTAAATGAGTAAATTTTTGCTCAACAGATTTTTACATGGAAAACAAAGCAAGTATTTGCATTAGAAGCTCGAATGAAATGGAAAAAAACCCCACTCCCATGTGAACACCACAGTTGCCCACAGCACCAGCTGCCAAAGGGAATATGAGCAGGTGTGTTTGTCCCCCTCCGCCTCCAACAAGCAAAACCATGTTTTTTTGGGAACAGAACTAAGTCAGAGGGCTGTGGTGGTCTGCTTGCAAAATGTAAACTGGGCTTAGCCTGCACACTGCAGAATTTGTAAGGAATAAGGATTTCTTTAGTGTGCTGCCAATGCCGCGGGCATGAACAACACCCGTACAATGCATCTGTGGCCGACAGCTCCACCCTCAGGACCCCACAGCAGGACTCTGTCCTGGCTGCAGTGTTGGACCACATCAGTGTTGTTGTCATAGCCTTGCTTTTATTAGGGTTTAACCATGTGGCTGTACAAGCTGCAGTCCACAGAGAAGAAGGCTTCCTTAAATTTGGGGATGATTTGGAAATCTGGAGGCAAGGGGAGAAAAACTGTGGACTCAAAGGCATTTAAGAGTTGTCAAAACAGCCTTTTCTTCAAACAGAAAACGTTAAGGCCACTAGCCTGTCTTCTGAACTATGCTGGTTTTGCATCATTTTGGGAAGGGTGAAGGCAACGTTAGAGAGAACAGCTGAACACAGAAATTCCAGTGCTCTGCACATGCTTACCCAGAACCTCTTCCTGTTTTAGGGTCAAATCTGCCAGGTAGCCAGTAGTCAGTGTGGCTACTTTACCATCACTCTTTGGATCCAAAATTTGGGTCAGCTAAGCTCAACAAACCTGCATTTACTCAACAGTGTGCAAGGGCTATAGAGAAGTCTTTCTGCTCATTTGGGGACCTAGTATACATACCTAAACAGGAATATATCTCATTTTACAGACCAGCACATACATAATAAACAAACAAGTATCAAAATACATATTTAACCTTCAGTGCATAAACATGTGATACCAGGGTAAATAGTAAGTGGTCAGAATTAACGAACTATTCACTGCTAAAAGCTCAAATCAAGAGAAGGCAGGGGTGCCCCCACAGTGCCAGGGACCCTCTGGAAGTAGCTCACCCCAACAGAGAGGGCCTGGAATTTTTGATGGTGCGATTCCAACAACAATGCTGGTTTTAAGGATTTGCTGTCCCAGGGCCAGAGCCTGCTCAAGTCATTCCAAGTGAAGGATACTCTCATCCCTTTGAGTGACAACATTCACTCAAGTACTGCGAGAGCCACCTGTCTTCTGTTGGCCTGGGTCATATCCTTACCTCTGTTTAAAATAATCCATTGTGAATATACCTAGCTCTAGATCAGTTTGTCACCCATTTACAAAATATATACACATATGTCAAAAAACAAAAACAAACCGACCACCAGCCTGCCTGCTGCCCTCCCTCTACCCCTTTGCCCAAACAAAAACCCACTGGCAAGACCTCATGCAGAAATTAAGTCCATGGGCCTATCCCAATGCACGTACTCCAATCCCAGCAGATATCAGTGTCTCTACTTCATCCCACATGTAGTGCAAAATAAATGACAGAGCAGTAAAAAAATACTGCAATTAAATTCATATTGAAACTTAAAAACCATAATGGAAATCTACTGCTGTCCTCAAGCTGATGGTGTGTGCTGAAAGACAAAGAGAGCTCCAAGGAGCATTTCTGACATAACCAAGATCACCCTGCTTTAGAGCAATGCCTGTTGTTACAAAAAGGTTTTTTGCAGAGAAGCTATGGGACAACAGCAGTTCAATTTTATGCACAAGGAATTAATTCTGTACCTATATGCAAAAGCCAATTGCTATTGACTAAAGAAGGTAAAAGCTGGTTCTTGCACTGCATGAATCAGCTGCTAATGAACAGTAAGTAATTAACAAAACTGTAGCTCTGACATATGTATAAAAGAGACCTTATTAAATATGAACAACACTGAGGTGGTAAATATTTTGGTATAAAACGCAACACAAGTGTACAATTTAGTTCCTGGTTATCTTACAGCTAGAATAAAATACTCCAAGTTCCTATTCTCAAAAATGTTTTCTTTTGAAAAAAATCTGTGTAATTCTATGAATAGCCTCACTTAAATTAAGATACTGTGGGCAACTGAAAGAACAAACATGCACAGACTGGATTTTTAACAGAAATACACATAATGCCTTTGAGTTTTCTGTTTTTGTTTTTCTTTTTTTTTTCTTTTTGTTTTTTAACATTCATATTTAAATTGATAGATGAGATAAAGATGCCACACAAAGTACAGTGGTTAATCTGAAGTCCCATGTAACAGGCAGTTAAGTTCATATTTAGATAAAAAGGCCGTTATACCTATTTACAATATACACAGTTGCTTGTGAAGAAGGCAGATTTACAACTATCTTCTAAAAAGCCTTGCCCTCCCTCCCCCCAGTTAATATGACTAACTCTACAAAAACAAGACAAGAAGGGATGTTTCGGATAAGTGAGGATTTTTGCAACCATCACCCCAGCATGGGCTCAGGGGCTGCCAGTTCTGTTGGATTTATGGTTATTAACCATGTCTTCCTGGGCCTTGCTCTTCTTCTTATGCTGTTCGCCTCGTCTGCCTTCTGTCAACACAAACCAATGCAATGATCCCTTTTTACTCTTAGTGCTTAGAATGCAGTATAAACATAAGTGTAAACAGACAATATTCCAATTCCTTCCGATGCTCTCACTGGTTCCTGGAGTGACAGTGGGGCTGGATGAGGTTTGCCAGGCCCCCATCAATTTCTAGGCCCCTCCTCTGAGCCCCGCTCGTGCTGCAGATTGTAGAAGCAGTTCTGGCACACCCTGACCGGAGATGAAATCTTCAGCCGTTTGATTTCTGACTGAAACCGGCTGCACCTGTGGAGAATAAACAACCATCACTGAACGCAGGTCCTCCCCATTTCTACCCATTTTCTGTTGAGTTGTGGGAATTATCACCATGACTTCAAACACCAGAAAACTGTCCTAACTCACCTTGACAGGGAGATGCAATGCAGTGTGGCAGAAGCAGAATTTAACTCAAATGATCACCACAGAGTCAATGCAATGAGACTGTGTAACAGATAGCTCAACAACAGCTGTTGTCACCAGTTTAGACTCAGATCAAACTAGAAATATCATCTCTGACCCAGTGGATGAGAGATGAGACTTGCACTTCAGTTTGTGGGTAAGGAGAGCTCACAAACATCCTCTATGACATGAGTTTTGTCTAAGGCTACCTGCTAGTGGCCCCTAAATCAGCATCCTCACAGTCCTGCACACAGTTTAGGCAGCCTCAGTGTTTGACAACAGTTCTGTGGTATTTCACAGCTTTACCCCACCTAAAATCCTGTATGGAAAAAAGCCCAAAGGAGGCTGTTGGCTGCTTACTTCTGGCAGAACAGCTGTCCACAGTTCCTGCAGTGGTGCCGCCTCTCGGTGAGTGAGAAGCGCACAGTGCAGCCCGAGCAGCTGTCGCCACCCTCGTCCTTCACCCAGTGGTCGGCCGCGGACCGGCCCGGCTGATCGCTCACTGACCAGCTGAACACTCTGCCCCGGCCGTCCCCGATCAGGATCCTGCTGTGATCCCTGCAAGGAAAAGCAAAAGCATTCCTGCAACAACTCTGGCACGGTAACGCACAAGCATCGATGCCTGATTTTACATGTCAGAGCATAAAATGATCAAGCACTGGTGTGGTGACTAATGCCCCGACTGCCCTGCTCTAACTGAGAAATGGGGCTGTGACACTGTGTAACACAGTGCAGCTGAACAGGTCTCCCTCTCTTTAGTGCTTTTATCTCAGTCCTTGAAGAAGGCTACCCCAAACAGAAGCACCACAGAATAGAGTTATAAACAATGGCACCTCTTCCTGCTGACAACAGCCAAAAATGTTTAAAGTTGTCATGTGCGAGCTACTCACTTGGAGATGCCGAGCGCAGTGATTTCTGCTGGGTGTGCGTTGTCCTTGCGATCAAATGCCGTGTGCATAGTTAGTTTGCTTCTGAACACCAGCTGACGCTCCCATCTGTATCCTACAAAGGAGTGGGAAGTTGGAGGGGATATGAGCAAATTTGCTTTTCTCATTTTTGTTCTCTCCTCCCCCAACATACTTGGAACTGCAACTTTGCAATAAGAGCAAAATCTCCCTCAAAGACTAAAGTTTTTCTCTTTTTCTATAACATTTCACTTAGGAATAAAACAGGGCTGTGCACAGTTTCTTTTACCTGGTTTGAGCTTGCTGTAGTGCCGTGCTTCGGCATAGCTGGGGTGGGGGTGGTTAACCTGAGCATGGGGATGCATTTTTGCTTGTCCCTCCGAATAATTCACAAAGATAAATCCATCTTTCTCATCCAAGCTGAGCTGGTCTGACCAACGCCTGGAGTCATCGGAGCCACTGTCTGCTGACCATGCTGCTGCTGCTCTGGCTGACGATGACCGAGGCCTGTGGCTGGTGCTGCTTGGCTGGCTCTGGTTCTCCTGCACTTTTGTGTCCTGGCCTATGCAAGCATCATCTGCCTCGGAGTCACTGCTGTCCTCTTCATGGGCTTCCTGCCCTGGATTGGCACAACAGGCAACAAGGCACTGTTAGTGAACCTGGTTATGGCCTGAGCTTTTTCCTTATTCTGCTGCTGCGCTGCCTGCAACCCAGCGGGCACCAACTGCTGACAGAGGGACACTGCATGCAGGCATCTCAGAGCCTTTTCAGAGATTCAGCTCCTGCCATGAATCACACCATTCCTATCTTTTGCACTTTTTTCTGTTTTGCCAGAGAATGACACGCTGAAGCTATTTCCTACAGCAGTCCCTCTGATGAAGGCTATGATAGACAGAAGGAGTAAGAACTCCAGAAACACTCAAGCTGGCAAATCCTTTCAGCAAAACTTACACAAGTAAGCACAGTCAGCTATGCAGAAACTCTGACTGAAAAACATGATGCAGACTTGTTAATAACAAGACTTGTTAACACAAAAGAGGAATTAACAAAGACATTTATACTCCAAGTGACACTGAAAATAACTGTATTTATATAAAAACTTATGAGTATCACGAGATTCAGATCCTAATCCAGATCATATCTTCAATATGAAGAGTGCAGGAGGAAGACGAGATGGCTAAAAGAAACAGTCATAATGCATAGAGCAAAAGCTTCCAAGAGCAGAAAGGGATATCATTGCTTGTCTTGTTTAAGCTGTTCCATCAGTAGATTTAACTCAGATGTTGTGCTATAATTCCACTTCATACTAAAAAATATCTAGCTTTTGGACAATCCATTGAGCGTGCCAACAGCCAAAACAAACCCAGAGAGAAGTTCCACCTTCACAGAACAAAAAGCTACGATGGGCAACATTTTTCTTGCTTGTAGCAACAAGAAACTACCTTAAGTAAGGTAGTGAACACAGAACTCGGATACTCTGTTCATTGTGCCCACTGGATGTCCACTGCCTTTTGAGATAAAATCTCCATCACCTCATTCTGCACTGTATAACCACAGGACTTGACCTACCTATAGCAAAGATCTGATACAACAGGGAAATACCAAACACTTGTCAGGAGACATACCTATCTGTGCGTCCTGACAGTCCTCTTGCATTTCCAGCATCTCCACAGGCTCTGGAGCTGGTGTTTCTGGTACTTGTAAAAACTCCATCCGCCAGAACTGGAGGGACAGGGCATAAGCAGAGTGGCACTTACTGAACTCTTGGCTTTTTCCTGAGCTACTTGAAGAGTTAAAATTGCTTAGTAGAACTGTGTATTCACACTGGTAGCATGAAAGGCAGGTCACATCTCCATACTAAGCTCTGTTTTTGAGGACTAGAAACTGTAAGAGGACATCTGTGTTCGTGCCTGAATCCACTCTACACAGCTGTCCAACCAGCAGACTCTGCATCCAAAAGTACTGAAAATTGGATTAGACTTGTAGCGATCTGAGATGACACTAAGTTTCTCTTTTCTTTCTAGCCAAGCAAAATGAGTTGTCTCAAGGTGTGTGAAATTAAAATGGTGAATCAAAACGGTAGTCTTCAGGTATGAAAGCTAGTGACCAAAACAGAGCAGGAAGGAAAATGTACGCTCTGCTGACTATTGCTGGTTACCATATCCCAATGGGGACATCAAAAAAGGAGGAGCTGTTCAGGTGAAATTCCCAAGTAAAGCAGGACTGCTTTTGGTCCTGGTCAGGACACTGTATTGTCCTGGACAGGTATGACTTTTCCAAATACTACCACCACCAAGGCATAAGCTTTATTTTCCAGGCAGTGATTCCTGGTACTTACCCGGACAACTCCGTCCGAGTGCCCCGTTACGATGACATTCTGGGTGTCCCACTCATTCATCTCTGACACAAAACAACACATAATTTGCTGGCTTCGGCCAGTGAAGGTGTTTACACTTGCAGTAGGGCTGCCATTAATGCTCCACACGTGGATGTAAGTGCCAGCACATGATACAATGTCTCCCTGCAAAGAAAAATAACACCTCCAGATTTCAATACAAAGATGCAGGCATTCTTCAGCAAAAATATAAGTCAAGTTAATTTATATGTCAAGTTGCAAGGCTGGCACTTTTCAGGAAGTTCTATTCAAGGGGCATCTGGCCAGCTGAAGAAACCTTTAGGATTATATGATTTTTTTTTTTTTTAATTCTACCTAGAAAACCACACTTAGTAGCAACCTATTTGTTCTATTTACAGCACAGAATGAGTTGACCAATTCCTCCACTATACATAACATAACAATCCAACAGCCTATTTTTAGTACTTTCAGTTTCCAAAGACTGCCCATGCTGACACTGCTCTTTTTCACAAATATGTACCACCTTAAATTTCATTTGCTTCCTCATTGGGAACAGTCCAAACTAGCGCAGAGGAAAACAGGAGCTGCAGTCTAAAGCACTGCAGCACTACAGCCAGACCAACAGCTAATAAACTGTACTTGCAACACCCTGCTTGCATTACAGCCCTCTCTTGTCTTGATTTTAACCACTGCATCTGCTCCAGCTGCAACAGGGTCCACCCAGCCTTGATGGCCATGCATGGGAGCTGGAAAAATGGTGACTTGTAACTCACAGGACCACCGGATATGTCTGTTTCCACTACAACTGGCACTGCATTGTCACCCAAGTTTCCTTTAAGTTCAGCATAAGACAAGAGAAGCCAACCAAGGTCATGTATCAAAAGCTCTTCTTAGCTCCTGTAGCAGATCTGGCAGCTCACTTGGAATGTCACATTAATTACAATGCTTCTGGCACTGTTAATAAATAACCTCTTCTGAGCTCAAGCCACTCAGCGTGGAATGCACCTACGCAGGGCTCTACACAAATGACACAAATTATTCCTAAACCAGTTGTTAATCAGTTTTCAGATGAATTATACAAGTTCTGCCAAATTAACAGGAGAGCCTAATGTTTTTTTTCCTTTGGTTTAATGATTTCCAGCTCTTGCTACTGTTCCCACTGCAGCCTGGTGGATGGAGTTTGGCTCTCACCGTTAATTCATTTATACAGAGTGCTGAAATTGGAGCCCTGTGCCCTCGGAGCTGTGTCAGGAAGGAGAGCTTATTCAGATCCCAGATGATGCAGGTGCGATCTCGGGATCCACTCACAATTATGTGATATGCTAGTGATGCCGTTAAGCATGTGACAGTGTCAGTGTGACCCAGCAGTGCCTGCAAAACAAGTCAGGAGCAAAAGTGGGAATCAGCAAAGAGCACAAAAATTCCACATCAAATTCCACATCAAATCCTCTTACCAGAAAGATTCAGATAACGTAACCAGAATATCCCATCACAAGATGCAGCCACCTTATAAGTCTTCAGTTGATAACTATTTCCATAACTGAAAATGGTAAAAGTAATATTTTTTCCCATTTAAAAAGAGCTCTGACAAAACAAAATTTCAAGGGTCTAATGTTACAGATTCTTCCACTGAAGAAAACCCCATTCTGCATCAGCAGTCTGTTTATAAGGTCAGAAAGTGTTCCAGGCTGCACCTGAAATTACATCCTGACTCCTACAGTAACTGCTGATGACTAAGAGAAGACAAAAGAGACAAGAAAGAGTTGCAGCCAAAAAAAAGCAAAGTCAGTTGGAAGGAGGAGAAAAGTATGAATATCTACTCATATTAGGCCCTACTTTTACATTTAGGCTTCATCTAACTATTGGAAAAAGAGTCTGAAATACAGTCAGATTACTGCACCTTACTCAGTTAAAATGAACTCAGTTAAAATGAAAGTTGCTGAATACAGTAAATGTATTCAAATATACTGCCCCAAAATTTAAGATACGGTGTTCTATCATGTACAGTTTTAAAGTAAAACACTTCAGAAAAGCAGCTTTGGACAGTTGATTACTGCACAAGGGAAGTTACTAAAAAATTCTCTAAATTTCTTTTCATAAATTTGAGGGAAAGACTTCTTCTAAAAAACAGTCCTTCTATTGAGATGCTAATGAAACAGTAACACAACCTATAACAATGATACACAGCTGCTAGAATATCTTGACTTAGTTGTGGTTGGGTTTTTTTGGTTACATTTGTTAGGTTTGTTTTTTCTTTAGTAAACACACAAAACTTACTCTGCACTTAGCTGCAGCTGACTTTAAAGCAGGGGTGCTTGTTTTAGATTAAAAAGTGCTATAATTAAAGTAATTAAATTTTTTTTTAAAAGAGGAAAATTAACCTTTAAGGCAGCCTCCTTTTATGTCCTTCCTGACACAGTTTTTAGATGGAGGTATTACACATCTGCTACAAATGATCATTTGTACATTTGTACAAAGCAGCTCATTTTACAAAACTCACTTTATTTTGTTAACATCGCTATCAAATTCCCTTTGTCTCCAGAAAGCTCCTGGTGATCCACTGTTCTTAAAAACAATGCAATTTTAAAGATGCATTTTGCCCATTTTCAATGCAGATTACTATCACAACTACTCCATTCTCCAGAGATCTGCTGGATTCACAGTTTCAAAGGTGGGCAACACCCATTACACAATTACTTTGATCTTATAACATTCCTTTACAGCTTTATTGTATTTTACCTGTTTCAGTGTGAGGGCTTTAGCTTTTTCTTTGGAGACACCCATTTCCCACACACACACTGCTGTGCTTGTTCCACCAGTGATAACTAATTTGGGGTTGGGGCAAATGGCACACAGGATCTGACCCCATTCTGACAAGCATTCATAAACAATCACAGCCTAAAATACAGAAAACAAAGAGTTACTTGCAGAACTAGTACTTTGTAGGATAAAAAATAAAAACATGCCTGCCACTTTGCACTCATTAGGTCACTAAGACCTGGTAAAAAACTATTATGAGTTAATGTTATTCTGCCAGCATCCTGGTGAAGACCCTCAAGAGGGAGCAAAAAAAAAAAATCTGATGCAGCAGAAGATTATTTCATTCACTTGTGAAAAAAATGTCCATTCTTATGTTTTTTTCACTACTGAGTACTGATTGCTGGCGCAAATTTCAGATTACAAACCTTGTCTGACTCATAGGTACCCAGTCGGCAGCTGAGGTCTGCATAGCCCCAAGCAAACGTTTTATTCCACGTGGGCGGGATGAGAACCTTGTTCTGCTCTACTGCCAGAATGCCTTTATCAGTACACACGATCTGCCCCACAGGCTCCTTGAGCTCTGAAAGAGAAGATGGGGTTATATTTTATTGCTGGGAGAGACAAATACTACCTGATCCCTTTAAGTACCTGCTGCTCTTCCAAAGCAAGGTCTCTGTACTGGCTATTTATACATTCTTTGCATCGGCTGCAGTGATGGCAACTTTCCATTCCTAACAAATGCAGAGCCAAATATAGATTAGAGCTTTCTAATTTCCTGACTTAGAGTCTTCTCTCTAAGCCCTGCTATGCCCCATTTAATAGAATGTCCTTCTCTCCTTACAGCAGGGAGCCACAGACTGCTTTACAGAAATCCCTGTATAGCATTTACCGGCCTTGCAGACAATTAAGTTTTGTTCAGTGTCAGATTTTGTCCAAATAAAAAAACACTTTCTTTTGTCTCAGTGCAGCTACCAACACCACACTTTCCTGCCAACATTCCTTAGTATTTCTCAGCACTGTGATAAATAATCCTTTTGCTGTGAAAATCACAAAAACAGAGGCTATCACAGGCCCAGAAACAACGTATTCTGAATGTTGTTTTTTTAAATTCAAATTTATAAAGAGGTGCTTGGGCTCCATTTTATCCCTCTATTTAAAAAATGTCATATTAAACTGGTGTATCTAGTGTTTCCCAGGTTCCTTTGAAGTAGCTAAGAATATAATCGTACAGCATTAGGATATTTTGAATTTGTCTCTCACAAAACTATGCGCAGTAAGGATATTGGAAGGAAGAAAAAGATGGAAAAGTATGAACTTGCTGAAACTCTGAATGCCTGGGCAAAGAAACAGCAACAACTACTGTGAGTTTAAAGCTTACCTTTCACTGGGGCAAGAGATGGCCGCAGGTTGTCCAAATGATGGAAAAAAATCTTGTCACCTGTGGAGCTAGGGGGCACAGAGGTTCCCACAGCCTCTCCATTCAGACGGCTTCTAACACGCTTTGGTGGGTGGGGTTTTTTGAAGAGCTGAAATTCATAAAGAAACTAATGATCATCAAAAATTACAGGTTTACCAGGGCACTAGCTTAAAAAGATCATAAATGCATCCAATATGTCTTCTAAAAATTCTGCAGGTAAGCAAATGCTGTACTGCTCTCAGTATTCACTAATAACTCATGGTGAACAGTTCAAAAACCTTCAACAAACAATATGAAAACCAACAAGGAGCAAAGTTGCTCTGCTCCCTCAGGCCGTGGCATCTCAGTACCCTCATAGAGTCTGTGAGAGCCCTCTTCCAAACACACCACCAGCTCTGCAATGTTCTGCATCATAACTTTATAAAATATAAAACCAAACTGCCAGGCACATTACTAGTGGAAGAGATGGGACAAAGAAGATGCATGTTACATTGTGCAGGAAAGGAGTGCAAAAATCCACAGCAGCCAGGTCACTGAGAGAGCCTGCCCTGGATCCCCCATGGAAAATAACAGAGGGAAACAGCAAAACTCTACAGTTACATAAAAATGTGCTCCAAGAGCACTCACCATCGACAAGACCTTAAAGAAGTTTTGACTTTCCCCAGTTTACTGCAGTCTATTTCCTCCAGCAAAGCATCATGCAATTCCTGGTAGATTTCATCACAGCTTTGTACCTAACAGGCATCTGAGGATGCAGGCAGAGCTCTGGACTCAGCTGCAGTGCTCTTCTATTGCCCTGCCCTCTGCCCCAGTCCTTGTCTGTCCATCTGGCTTTAGCTGGGCCACGTCTGATTATCATCACACAGAGGGATTTGTATTACGTAAGAGGAGAAAACCATACAGCCACTACATAATTACATTATTGAGAGAGAGCAAGGAAGGGAAAGGAGAAAAACCACAGCAGAAGACAGATGAGCAGTTCTTAGCCTTCCTTCCAAGCAATGAGAGACAGACAGCTCTAAGTGGGTAGCCACAGGAAATATCTTGTTTATCCTGAAACATTATGTGCTGAGAGTTGAGTTTAGAGTTTACAACACATGGCTTGAGTTTCCAGCCAATTGCTGAAGGCATCTGTGGCTTCCACCAGATCTAGGATTGGAAATATTTGCCAAAGACATTTAAGATTTTCACTGGATAGCGGAAAGACTCCAAAGAAATGCCCAATAAAAAACCCAAATCAAAACAACCAACACTGAGATCCGCCCCCCCAAACCTGAACCTCCAAAGCTCATATTACATTGAATTATTTAATGTAGTCTCTTGAAGAGCACACAAACTTTAAAGCTGCACTAAAAACTGGTCTTTACAGCTTCTTAACTATGGCTGTCCTACAAGAGTGAATCAGCCATGAGAGTAGGGGAAAAAAAGAAGCAGAAGTTATTACAGAAATTATTACAGGGTAACTTCAAATACCTTAGCACTAGGCATTACTTTGAAGCTGCACTTTCATTCCTCCCCTATGACTTTGTAGCAGGAACATACTTACTTTTTTTTTTTTTTTTTGCTGATTTTTAGAGTTGAGCCTTCATTATGCTTTTATTTTAAAGATGTAAAGGTGAAAAAAAGACATTTCTCATCTCACAAGTAAAGTCCAAAGTCAATCTTTGTGTAATTTATGATGGAAACATAAATGATTTTGTATCACTGGAAGAATATTTATGAATAAACACTCCCAAGAAGTTTCATCTTCCTGTTTTATATTAACACATTTCAATTTGAGTGTTAACTGGAAAATAAGAATTCTACAAAGGGTATACCTGCTTTGGTATCTGTCCAAAGTTATTAATGAATCCTATGGTAGCTGTCTCTTTTAAAGGATCATTGATGTTATATATGTCCACTTGTCCCTCATAGAAGAGATGGTGAAAGACATTTACAGCTTCTACTGCAGCAGGACCTTGCTGTTTATAGCCAAAGATCAAGTCAATCCACTCATGCAGGTGAGCACTCACAAAGTCACATTCCAGAGCCTGAAATTCAGAAGGCATGCATTAAAATGAGACAAATTGCTCATTGGTTGAGTTTACTACACTTGCCACAAGGAGAAATGCAGAACATGACTTGACATATTTTTGTTACATTTTGACAAAGCTTTTAATTGAAGCAAGTCTTGCCTCAAAGTACTCTGTAGCCAAAAAGGAAGGAGAGGAAACACTGGTTCTACAGACCTTGGCAACAATCAGACACCAACCCTGAGCTCACAGACTGGCCTGTGACTGCACAAATTTAGCTTAGATTAATGTGCAGTGCAAAGTCCCAACAGACATTCTACTGTCACCATTAAAATTTAAATTACCTCCCGATGGACTCTGATAAACTCACGAGGATCTCCTTTTGCCCATGGAGGGAGTATTACATCACCAAGTTTAGTGCCATTTTGTTTACAACCTAATAAAAAGAAGGAAAAAATTTGGACAGAAGCATTGAAAATGAACTGCAACAGCAAAGGTGAAAAAAAGTGAAAAAAAAAAAAGAATCAAATTATAATATCATGTATGTATAAAGGAAGCTATTTTAGTCTTTTCTTTAAAATACCATTGTGGTTTTAAATGTCAGGCAATAAAACATGAAAAATTCTGCCTTGGTTGTTCATGTAAGATGGCTTTCAGGAGAAAGAATCCAAACACTCCTCACTAAGGCTTCTGAAGAGAAAAACAGCATTTTATCATAGAATGAAATGTCATTTTACTCCTGAGAATAGCCTATACTCCTGTGATGTGCAGCCAAATACTCATTTCCTAACATACAGAGCCAACTGGTATCCCCCACAAGCTCCATGCCCAAGGATACTGCCAATTCCCCTGATATGCCCATGGCCTGGGCACAATACATTCAACTCTGTCCTGGACAGCCCCCTTCTCACTCTGGACATCAAATAGTGGCATGTTGTGATCAACAAAAATATATCTGGTAAAACTCCTCAGTTATATTCTTGTTCTGTCACTTGTTGTCAAGAGACAATTCCACACTTCCCATTAACTCAGAGGAACACCTCCAAATTTCCAACTTTATAGGGGCACACAAAAAATAAGTGCAATGCTCCAACAGAAACATTACTTGCATCAACAAACTTCAAATCTTCCTTTCTTTTCACCTGGCAGGATGGGAAGCAGGATTGCTACAAATTACCACAATCAAAAGTACCTCAGTGTTTGGCAATTGTTCCTAAAAGAGCCTTTTCTACTGTTGGTCCAAATGCTCAGTGAAGAATTTCCAGTGGTTACAGTCCAAAATTATCAGATACAAAGATAGGTGGACAAGAGCTCAACATTTTTTCAGTAATACCCATATTCTTTAGTGTAAAATACAGATGGAAGAGGTTTTGCAGTGTTCTTTGGGTTTTGCATTTCTTTTTTTGTAAGGTTGTGCTTCCAATCTGTTACAATATTTAGAATAAAGGCTTGCAGGCCATTAAAACCTATGATTTGATTAATCGTTATTATTGGTAATAGATTCACAGCACAGAGCTCAGAATATAAGAGCTTAATACCAGTGTTAAGAACGACATATAGTAAGTAACATGCATCTCCAACAAACAGGTCTCCTACACGACTCCTGATGAATAATCACTGTCACAAACGCTGTGACAATTCAAAAACCTTTAGGAATATTTTTAAATGAAGTTCTAAAAATGAAGATTTGTCAAACAGATTTTTGAGAAGCTTAAAAAAATTAACAACAAAGATGGCGAACACTATAATGGAATAGGTTACATGGAGAAAAATGCAAAGCAGAGAAACTCTAAGTAAAATGTGATTATCTGTACATTTTGAACTGGTAAAAAACCCAAAATTGAACACAAAAATACACCCTCCAAACAAAAGTCTTTTCAGGGACTAGTTCTGCAATTCTCAGAAGACACTTTGTATTAAACTGCTTACAATGAACACTCTCGGCTTGAGAAAATACCTGAAGTCTGTGTGGCTCTGTTCTCCCACCCACAGCCCTGCTATCAAGCTGTCTTTGCCTACCTAGGTCAAAATTGTTGGAATTGAGCAGGAACTCAGGGAGGTAGAAGAACTCTGGGATGAGCTCCTTCACGTCTGCCATGTTGTGCTTGGAGGCGGAGTACCAGGCCTCACGCACGCTGTGGAACATGCGGTCAGCCAGGTCGAAGTGACCGCCCTGTCGGGCAGAGAGAGGAGCACATCAGTGTCACAGCACCCCCCAGCATGGCAGGCTTTGCCAGGAAGGTAAATCAGAACATCCTCTGCCAAATGAAGACACTAGTACATAGCATATTTCTTTCTTTAATGCAGCCAGTCCAATCAGCTGCATTACTTTCAGGTACATGATAACAGAAAATATAGATGCAGATAAACAGAACTTTAGGAAAAGAGTAATCTGTCTGATTTCATATCTAGTCTCTTTCAGAGAAACAGCACAATATTTTTCACAATAAAACTCGTTTTGGTTTTTGTTTGCTGCTACTTTGTTTTGCGTACATCTAGAAAAATGTTCAAACTACAAGGGAAAAAAAAAAAGGTGAATTCCATCACATCTTTTTAAAAGACATATCAAAAACCTGCCAGACAATAAGGACTCTGCTAAAAGGTGTTTTTTCTATGATATTTGATGAAAACAAAGCTGGCTGATCTTATTTCCTATTGATGTTTGCAATACACAGCAGACAAAAAACTTGAAGTGAGGTGATGTAATTTTTACCTGTAACCGTAAGAAAATCTGAGTAAAAGGCTCCATCCGGACAAGATAGGAAGCCACGATCATGGCTGAGGAATAGTGAGTCCCATAGTGATAAGCTGGGGTTTCCCCTGCAGATTAAAAATCATATACATAGGAGAAATAAGGTAGTTAGGTGACAGAATCATTACTAATGGAAAAAAAAATTAACACTGCATTTTAATTACTCTGTGGCCTTGGACACATTCAGAACTGGAATTTGTGATTTTCATTCTCAGATGTCTGAAAGCTTTATGTTTTGTCCCTTGAGTTTGGGCTGCAGTGAAGTAGCCCTAATTCAATAGGGCTCTGCAACGCAGTACTGAATGGTTACTCATTTTTTATTTTAACTAATTGAAATGTTGCAGTGCAACTACAGTGATTTCTGCTGAAGACACATTTTTAAAAAGATCCTTTTTTAATTTTTGGCCTTATTTTTTACTATGGATTTAAAATCTTGGGCAGAAATACTTATCAGAACTGTTGCCTACAGATTTTGTACAGCTTTTACTTTCTTAATTTCATGGCAAAATGTCTGCACAAGCACACTTAGAAAACAGTGATTTGTTTCTAAAAATGAAATGTCTTTGCCACCTACTTCTGTTTGACACAGAACAGCACTGCAGTAGTTAAACAGGCCTCTATCTTCAATGAAAGCACACAAGAAAACTTGTCTTGCCAAACACAGAAGTTTTATTTTCAATATATAAGGAAGCTCTAAAATCATGACTAGGTAACTTAATTGCATGTCATTCTGAGGCTTTTTTAGCCAAGAAGCTGCTGTTTCCTTAGCCAAAAAAACACACTTTAAGATTAGATATGTAAAAGTTAGAAGCATTTGCATTCTTTGTACTACTAATTTTCATGCAGCAGCAATCAAACTGTATTAGTGTACACAGCTGGTTGTGTGCTTCATGTGCCTGCCCATTCCAGTCTTTATATAATACAAAAGTCATCTAAATGTGCAACTGTTCTGTTTTTGTTTTTACATATAAACAAAGATGTAATTTAGATTTTAAACAAACAACACAGAAAGAAAGCCAATGTCCATTTATTCTAATTTAGACTTGGTTGGACAGTCATCAAAAAAACCATGGTAGAGTTCTGCACATCCAAATCCAAATCTCTTCACCCACATTATAAAAAAATCCATGAGTCCCTCCTATGACGCAGGTGCATGTTCCTCTGCTCTCTCTGCAGATGGATTATTACTCACCATTGGGATCTTCCCAATCCTTGTATCGCTTCTTGTACTGGGCTAACCTGTCCTCTGTCTGAGCTCCCATGGGCTTGGCCAGGTTTCTGAATGTTTTGGGATTTGTAAGATCCAGTTCCTTTAAAAATAAATCAGACAATTATTTTATAAAACCAAACCACATCCTTTGAAAACTGCTGATTACCACAGTTAACACCACCTTCCTCCTAAGGCTGTTATCCCTGCTTTCTACACACACAGGAAGTGCAATGTTGGATATGCTTAAAACAGTCCTTCAGTCTGATCCAAGACAGCCAGCATGCTTTTCTGAAATCACATCTAGGCTCTGCACAACTTTTGCCCTGCTCCCTTTATCCTGTCCCCAGTTTCCCCTAATTTTTTCACAAATACTCAACAAGTCCCCTAACAATATTTTATGTAATGGTCTAGTTGGTGGCAAATGCTGTCCACAGAAGCATTAATAGGATGTTTCACCTTTTTCAAAAGCATATTCTTTCACCGTGGGGTCAGATTTCATAGTAGCCCGTACCACAGTCTTCTGGACAAGGATGCTTTCTCTGTGGGCTTAGCATACTTCAGGATACACAGTTTAAAGCTAATGCAGAGTTTTACAGGAACTGCTGCAAGGTAAAGGGGCAAATGTCTCTCTCTGGATCCCAGCCCTCACCTGTGCACAGACCAACAACATCTGTAAAATCAGCCCAGCCAAGATTCTCTAATACCCTCCCTGCTGAGAAGTGGGAGAAACAAAATAGAAACCTTCAACTTATACAAGATTACAATCAAGGCCAACAAGATGTTTTATTTACCTCTGAGTCATAGTCTGCGAGGATCCAGGGGAAGACAGGGTACTGCATGAGGTCGTTATAGGATCTGCCAGCCAGAGTGTTCAAGTGCATCAGGTACTGGAAGTTACTGATTTCTCCTCTCTTAAGGAAGACAGATAACAGCACAGTAAAGTTTTCACTTTACAACAATCAAATGTCAACCTGCCAGACTGTCAATGTGCAGCCCTCTCCAAACATAAAAACTTACTTCAATATTGCAATGCTCACTCTACCTTTATTATAGCTCTCCCCCTGCAATTCAACAGTAGAACCACTTCCTATTTGATGATGATAACATGAAATACTAAAAATTAAATGCTGAGATACACTTTCTACAACAGTACGTTCCACCTGTTAGAATTAAGAGGATGCAACTTATGTGTATTAATTATTTATGTATCACTACAAAATCTGGAATTTAATACAAAAAATACCCCAGCACTTTCATACTTACTTCCCATCTTTGAGTAACAGATTTTTCTCCCACTAAAGTGCTAAGCAAGCCAGACCTAGCGGGAAGAAGAAAGTGAATTTCTTGACTTTGCAGTAAGAACTGGGTTACATCTTCACAAGACAACCCAAAACTTCAAGATTAAAAATTGTAAATTGCAACCATTAGAAGAACATCTCTCTTTTCCTTTTTGCAGTACCTTTTTTTAGAATTCTAAACACACACTGTAAAAATTATGCATGTTAATTATGCAATTCAGTGCAAGTGGTGGCTGATGAGTAAAATATTTTTAACAACTTGGATAAATCTGATGGCTTCAGCACTCCAATACCTTTCAGAATGTATCAGTATACTGATAACGTTAATTCTGATATTCTCCAAATAATCATGATAGCAATGCAAACATAATTTATTGGAAACTGATGAGCCACAGAGGTTGTGAGGAACAGAACCACCTACCCTTGCTCTACGCTGGTGTTTGGTCTTTGTCCAGACACCGACTCCGAGCTGTCGGTCAGAGAGGGCACCACAGCCAAAAACCTGCAGCAGCAGTTAAAAGATTCTGATTAGTGCTTCTGCCCTCGGGATGTCATCTCCTGAATAGCAGCATGCATTCAGTACAGTTACACACTTCGTTTTGAGCAGCTCCACAACACCTCCAACAAAATTGCAGGAGCTTCTTCTCACTGAAGGCATGTAAGTGCCTTCTAGTGGCTCTTTCCTGCAGCAGTAAGGTGCTAGCAGGCACCAAAAAAGCCTCCACATAGGTATTGGCAAACATTCATGTTAAATACTCTAATTTATTTTAACATTACCTTTGATAAACTTTGTTTCTAACCCCCTTCTGGAAAGCTAGAAGATAGTTCCGTCCATCTCCTGAGAAAACTTCAATTGCAATTGGCTGAAAACAAAGAGAAAAAACCCATGTCAACAATAACTGATTTTCTTGTCACCTCTGAAGTGCAGGCACAGACCAGTTTAGTCATGCTACATGCGGCACTAAATTACGGTGAAGCAGACTTGGAAGCTTAGTGCAACCAAATGTTTTATTTTTGGACCACTGACATTGACTAACACGCTCAAAAAAACTAGATCTGGGTAAGTTCCAACAAGGATGCCCAACCTAAATGCTTCAATTTCAACACAGTCAATAGCTTTTCTTTCCAAATATTCTTCAGTTATGTATTGATTTTCATTTCTAAAAATTACATCATCAAAACACTCCAAATATGCCTCCCCCTATCCAAATATGGTGTCCAAGTTACCTGCAAAAGGTATCTCCTTTTATGCACCTCCTTGATATCTTCATATGCAAAAATGCTGCAAGTTCTTTTGAGCTGACTTGGACCTTGCCTTGCTCCCCTAGGTATGATTGGCTCATGCATCCTGTAAAGGAACATAAACAGGCACGAGAGAAGTGATTAAAAAGAAATTTTCTTCTTGGAAAAGAATTATCCAATTAATTTCATGGGAGAGTCCAGTTACAGAAACAGCTGATAGCATGTTTTCACAATATATCATACTACAAATTGCTCAGTACCTGAGGTCTTCCTGCATTGTACATTATCTTAGAACTGACTCCTCAAAAACCTCATTGAATACTTCTTGTTCAGCCTCTAAGGATCAAGGAAACTCCCTATAAATGTACTCACTTTGGAGGCAGCGTCTCAATGTCCCGTATCTCCCTGGTGGCTGTCATGGTAAACCCATCGATGACATAGAAGTGCTCTTTTCCAAAAAGCAGCAGCCCCTCGCTGGTGTCAAGACCCTGAACCCGAGCACAGCGGTACATGTGCTGGATCTATGAGGAAAAGCAGATGCTTAGGGAAAGCAACAGGAGCACAGGCTCAGACCACTGCTCTGGTACACAAGTCCCAGACACTGCTGTATCACTTGCACATACAGCAAAAATCCTGTCAGTCTCTCTCCCCTTTAATCAGGTCTAATGCCAGTGACTAGTAACTGGGGAGGAGGTTGGATAAAGTCTCATTGGTATGATATAAATGTATTTATTTACCAGTTTTATCCACTTGCATGACACTGCCTGAACATATTTTAGAACCTGCAGCCTACTCAACCATTATCACAATGCTATTTAATGGTATACTTCAGATGAACAAAGCCTGAAACACCAAATATACAGCATGGTAAATCACCAATGATCTTGGGGATAAAATACTACTTATCAAGGCTTCCCATTCTAATGAAGGCAACAATTAATTAGGAACAGCGTGCCAAATTCAGTGCCTATATTTTCAATGTTTATTTTCTATCCTGATCTTTAAGTTGGCAGGACAATAAACCAAGCATGGGATAGCTCACAGCCTTCATTTCAGGACAGGTGATTTTTCCCTTGCAGGCAGAAGGGAAAAAAAAAAAGAAAATGTTTCCAGTACAGCATTTTTAGGGTCAGGCACACAAAGTACACATTTTAAGGAAGAAGCTGATGAAATATACAGACCAAGGAATATATATATGATATTTATTCATGTTTGGGGCACATAATGAAGAAATTCCAATACATTAAGTTCTAAGTGTGTTTGAAACAGTACCTTCTCTCCTTCTTCAAGAAGTCGAAGCAAAGTTGTATTGTCAGTCTTCTCGTCTTCATCAATTGAACTCCCCTCAATAATTTGATCCTGTGACTGGTCCTGGCTCTCATCATCTCCTCCATCAGGAGCAGAGCGAGATCGTTTCAGGGGAGGCTTCACCAGGCCTGGAAAAGAACAGAGACAGATAAATGTCACAAAGAGACATAAAAAATTAACTTCACAAAACCTACAATCTTTCAAATTACTGACCCAATGCTAAGAGAGAAAAACAAGAGTGCTGCAGGACTTACGCTTGTCTTAATGCAAATGCATGAGAGGATGACAAACCATACCATCTAACCTTTGACTCTTGCAATAGTGTCCTCCCCATGCTCTGGCTCCTGCTGAGCTGTTTCACCAACTGTGTTCTCTTCTATGGTGTCCTGAAAGACCGCGGGGTTTCCGGAAGCCAGGCGCATGTAGTACTCCTTGCTGTCATAGCTGATGGCTCTCCGGTAGCGAGCAGGTTTCTTAGGAATAAGGGAAGAAATCGCTTGGTCAGTCAACTCCTCACTCAGTCCCTCAGTGAAGGTCTTTCAGGAACAGGGTGTGCAGCACAGTGCATGTCCATTGAGTGTTTTGTGCGTGCTCATATACCAATACAGACAGGAACAGAGACTCTTCAGGAGATCTGATCTGTTGGCTAATTTGCAAGGAGCTATAGAGCCAACTCAAGCAAACATGGGGTTGCAGAAAAGCCTGCAGATGAAACTAGAACATGAGGAGTAGGTGTAGCCAGTATGTTATGAACTGTCATAAAAGGCTGGGATTCTTGTGCTTAACATTGATTGCTCAGAAGGCCATTTTATCATCTTTTTACTCCCTACCAACATATGCAGTTTATTTGTTAGCTAGCTGACTTCTTTGTCAGGCAGTATTTGAATAAAAAAATTGCCTTAAGAAGATACAATTATGTGGAAGCTGGTATAAACTAAAAGCACCCAGGGATTTGCTTTAAGTCTCAAAAATTCTTCATTAATTTAGTTGCTTCTTTTTTTAGTAAAGTTTCTGATGGCTTACGGGGAATAGACTGGCATGAGAATATGCATGTACCTGTAGTAAATATGTGAGCGTTGTTTGTACCTTTGTGTGGCGTTTTTGGTGTTTTTTTTGTGAGGGGTTTTTTGCTTTGTTGAGCGTTTGTTGTTTTGGTTTTGGGTTTTTTTTCTGTGTGTCATGTTTCCTTCCTCTTTGTCTGTCCTAACGCCCATCACAGGATAATTCTTATGTTCCTCACTTAACTAAGAAAGCAATATTCAGAACAGAAATCAAACTAGCATTATTACAAGTTGATGCTCGGGATGATAAAGATACTAAGTTCAGCAACACAGAAATTTATTATTCAGGTCAAATTGACTGCTCCCACAAATCAAAAATTTAAGGCACTGTAATTTAATTTGCTCAGTCACGTTTAACCAAGTCTTCACTCCTTATCAGCACGAAACTGCCACTTAAATGATGCTTGAAACATTTGTGGAAACAACTTGTGTATAACCTACGAAGAGAAATCCTTTATAGCACTGGTAAGGTGAAGGAACGTAGGAAAAACAGTAACAATTTATATTAGATATTCTGTATAATAGAATTACTTGCTTTTATATGAATTAGACAATTGTAGAAGGTAATTAAAAATGAGTGAATGCACATTACACACTGTACTTAGTGATGGGCAAGACTGCGACTCGAATTAACAGAGAAAGACATAATACTGAAATGCTTGCAGAGAAGTCACTTCCAAGCATGTCTGTTCTTTTCAAGAAGGGATTCATATTTTTTTAAGCAAATGTGTGCATTTTATTAATAGCAAAACAGAGAAGAGTAAGCTAAGACAAAATTAATATCGGCTTTAACAAAAGTCGGCCTTTTAAAGCCCATTATGGACAAAAAGGAGAAAAAATGCTCCCGAGATCCTCTCTTAGAAGGAAACACTTTCCCAGTAAGTGCTTCCAAGTGATGTGTTGCCCATTACTAAATGTGTTCCACTGACCAACAGTTCAGGTCCCAAAGCCACAACGCTCCACACAGTGACAACAGTGGTAGCACAGCCCAACACAGCCTGTTAGTGTGCAGCAAAGAAGGGAAGGTCTACAGAAAGTTTTATTAGGTGAAGGTTGAGGACAGCACAGTAACATCTTCTAATGTGATTACTGAAAAAAACCCTTAGGTCTGGAATTGTTTACTGAAAGAGCAAGTTGAAAGCCAAAAGTAGAAGCCTTGTTAAGACTGCCTAACATGCAGGAGAAGTTGTATTTATTTTACATTCTTTTGGTCAGTGTACTTGTTTCTTTACCTTTTGAGGAATGGTATCATCAGATGTCTCAGGAAGTCTGTTTGAGAAGTCAGACTGGAAACAGGGCATCAATTACATAAGCATCAATTACATCAGAGAAAGAACACTTTTGAGAAGAATGTATGATGGCATGTTCTCTACTTCATGTGAATTAGACTGTCACTACAGCTACTGTGTGTCAGACCACAAGCAGGCAAAAATATCTACTAGTTTCAAATTGACTGACTTCAATGTTTTCTCTGCTTTTTTAAAGTACTCTGACACTCAGACATAATTTGAGGGGAAAAAATCCTGCAGGCTTACACATATGCTTAAAAAGACATAATAAAGACTGCTTCCTTTCTTATAAGCAGTGTTCCAAAATTAACAGGAACTAACTGCAAAGCTTTCAAAGGCCACAAATATTTCTGCTCCACAGCCCACCTTCATCTTCACAGATTGATGAAAGTACATTTCACAAGTGCACCCAAACCAAGGCCTGTAGACCTTTTTTCCTTTTTTTTTTTTTCCCAGATCACTGGTTTTTTCCACATTATGTAGATTAAGGACAAGAATCCAGACTGAACCTCACACAGTAATGGAACTTTCAGTCTCTGGAGGCTTGTGAAGATGCCAGTGCTGTTTGTTGGCAGGATCACTCAGCACACCTCGCATTATATTGCAATATATCCAAATTTGCTTGGTTTTGAGCCAAGTGACTCAGTCCCTTCCCTAAATATATCATGAGGAACAACTGGACTTTACCAACCATTTAGGACAGACACAAGAATATCAGGTCATACCAACAGAGTAAAATATCTTTCTTAAGAAAAACCTATCCAAAAAAAAACAAAAGAAAAAAATAAAAAAGCATTTTGCAACAGGGTGTGTAATCACCCATCCTAAACTCCTGAATACTTACCAGCAAGCTTGTTTCCTGCTCAGCCTCGGGCATGTAGGGATACTGAGTATAAAACATGTCATTCCGCACCATCTTTTTCCTCATTCTGCAGGGACCCTCAGTCATCTCCAACATCCACTTGTCCAGGTGGGAGCCGATGGGGGGCCCCCAGAGCCCTCGCTCTCGCAGTAACTCGTACTCGATTTGGGACCACTCCTCTGTCACGTATTTCAACGCATTCTGCTGACGCTGAACACAAAGGCATTTGTAAATGCACAGAATTTGAAAAATTATTTTAAGAATGAAACCAGACAGGAGGACTTCCTGTCCTTATTTGCACAGGAGAGAGAAGTTCAATGAAGCAAAGTTTGGTGGTTGTTTTTTTTTTTAACCAATTGCTTTAAATGACCTGTTTCTCTCAGAAGTTACTTCTTAAGATTTATAGCACGTAGCTCAGCAACTAGTTTGAATGAAATGTCTTTGGGAATGTTTGGCAGACACCACAGGGTGGAACAATTTCATTCTGGAAGGCACAGACCAGCCACTTTCTAATACTGCATGATACCATAAAATTTTCTTTGTGTTACTATGAAAGTAGCATTTAGACAATGCTTCTCCACATTTCCTCTTAGTTTTTCTACAATGCTTTAGAAACACAGTGTATTTCCAATCACTCTCTTTTTGTTCCCTGTTTTAGTTTTTTTTACACTTATAAGGAATTTAAGCTTCTTAAAAAGAATTCACACTTAACATGTGATATTGCTACAAGAGTTTTCATCTACAACCAGATCAAAATGAGTTTTGCTATTTATTTGATTTTACCTAAAAACCCCGTAAAAGTAACAACTGTACGTAAACATCCAAGTATTTCACATATGAGAGCCCAGTATTTCACAAGCCTCATACTGAGAAATGGCATTGGTATAACCTAACAGGCCAAAGTATCAGTGTCAGGTAATTAGCATTGCAAGCCATCCATACCTCCTGGTATTCTTTATACTGCATATCAACCAGGTCCCGAACCACTGCAATGTGAGTAAACATCCACTGGGAAATTTCCTAAGACAAAAACAAGGTGACAAACAGAATAAGACTTTATAAACAAGAGTTTGTTTGAATGAAAACCCTAGGAATGCACCAGGTTGCTAAACTTGCTCACAAAGAATAGTTCCTTAAAATAAACATTCAGAACATTCCCAAACAGATGAAGGTTGACACTGAGAAACACTACTTTTCCCTTCTTCCTTTTAAGTAATATTTCGTGGATGGTGCCTAGTTTGCTGGAAGTCCTCAAGACACCCACCCCTCCTCACTTTGCCCCATGGTATCTCTGTTTTCACTTATTGCTTCCTCTCCTGATACAACCAGGAACAGCTCCTGTGAGCTCTGTTTGTTAAGTTCTTCCCTTTCCCCTTCATTATATACCTGCTCACCAGGAAAAGGACTGAAACCACTGAGAATTCATTAATTTCTCAATTCCACTGACTAATTTTCAGCTCAGAAAGAGAACTAGCAACGTATTTTTCCACAAAATTTTCAAACCCCTCTTTCCATCTTGAGGGCAGAATGGAAAAAACCCCTACATTTGTATCACAGCTTCCATTTCGGTGTAGTATTGCAAACTGAACTTAAGACCCAGACTACCACAGTCATGAACCAGAAGCAGCTGAGCAGTCTCACTGACAATGAAGGGCTGACTCTTAGCTTAATGTTACAGATGGACCTAATAAATTAGACACACAGAAGCAAGATGCCCAGTCTGAACAGTCAAAAAAGGGAAAGAAAACCAAGCACAAGATAATACTTCACACTGTGCAAGTATTATTGGGATATTTACCACAAATCCTGAACATACATTGCTGGATTTTAGACTGCATGTTATTTCTTGACAGAAAATACCTGTGTAGAGAGGTTGTGTTTACTCAGCCCACTCTCCTTGCGATTTCTCCTGGAACCAGTTAGTTTAGAGAGGCCAAATCCACTGCTGACCCTTGAAAGTTTGGACTGTGTGGCTGGAACCAAAGCCTCTCCTCTACTGATGCATTTTTTCTCATGAGCTGAAAAACAAAGTGTTGGGAGCACTTTTTAGAAGTCTTTTCCCCCCACCCCCCCCATTATACTTGTTTTTTTTAGATGGAATGACCTTTTCTGTTGCTTCAAAAAGGGTGTAGCTGTACTCAAAACACTTTCTGCAAATATACTGGCCATCAGGGAGATACTGGAAACCTGAGCAAATATCAGCCAGAAACACATAGAAAAACAGACTGCAAAACAAGTATTCCAGGTTTACAAATATGTTTTCTGTACATCCAGGTTAACCTCAATTACTTCAGAACTGTGAAATCATCAAATGAGTCACATCTATGGAATTTTAATTTCTGCTGTCTAAACTCTTGCTAATTCAGTCAAGCATCAGTTGATCTTTATTACACAGATGCAGAGCTAATCTGTCCGTAACTTGTTGTCCACCAGGATTCCCAGGTCCTGTTCCTGCAGAACTGCTTCCTATGTTGAACATATTTCCTAGCCAAGAATTAGTCATAGCATCACTGCTGCTAGAGAAGGACTGCTCAGCCACCAATTTCCCATCTCATCACCAGACCAAGAGTTTGCAGGCTGCACCCACACATGCTCAAGAGGATCCCCCTCCCTGCCTGGCACATCTAATCCTGGGAATGGTAATAAAGCTCACCACAATCCAAGGGCTCATGAGAAGGAGCTCAATGCCTCTACCATTTTAATCCACAATATGCTATTTGCTGACTCACAGAGGGCCCTATGCACTGGAGTGTAAGAATATCATTTTTATAGTCCAATTTCTGAAGGATTAATGTTACACAGTGCCAGTTTGTAGAGTATTTACAGCTACAGGAAAAGTTAAGCCTATATTAAAACATCCAGTGCATACAGTTCACTCTGAGGAAATCCAACCTTCAAGACAGACAAATCCTCAGTCAGGACTTACCCAAATGATTTTGCCAACACTTTAAACTTGCTTCCTCAATGAAAGGTCTGGCAACAGTTATATCCACTTGGCCACGATCATTGACAGGTAGTGTCACTTTGAAAACTTCTTCCAAAACCTGTTTTTTACTGTGGATCAGCTCTGTCCACACTCTGTTTATGGCTTTTAAAAGAAGCTGGCGACCTGCATAGGTACAAGATCACAAACAGCAAGCTCTCTCCAGTGCTCATAGAACTGGTATTTTTACAGTAGTGAAATTAATAATTTCTGTGATTACACTGTAGCTTCTCCCCCCTTGCATGATGTGTGAAATGCCTTTGGCCAGAGCACTTTTTTTTGCCATTATGTATGCTATCAGAAAGTCTAACAATTAATTTTGGCAGGTTTTTCTCTGTGAATTTGAAACACTGGCTCTGATTAGTTGTGACTCATCTCTCACACCCATCTATTAATAAAATGAGTTTGAAAAAACCTTATACGCATCTGTGTCTATAAATATATATAATTCTATACATACATTATGCTTCAGCATTTCTACATTTAATGTGTGCCTAAGTACCTGCATCAATATTAAATAAATACATTTAAGAATCACCAAATACTTTCTTCCATAGCTAGTTCATAAATTTCCTTTGAGTGAAAGATTTTAAGCATGCCACAAAATAGTAACTGTATAGTTTATACCATATATTTCTTATCTTAAAATGAGCCACTTCTGTTGCATTTAAAACAGTGCCTATAAAACTGTATTTCTAATTCTGGAGCATGTCCAGAAAACAATGAAGAGCTCTCACTATTTTAATAAAACGTTAATTTATCCTCAATGTGTCTATCTTAGTATTTCCAACAGTCTTTTAATCTATTTTTTACATAATTTTATACACACACAGCCCCGATGCCCCTCCAGAGAGTAACTGGGTAACACACACATGCCCCGAGTCACTGGGGTAAAAGATCAGTGATGACAATACAGAAGAGGCATTATGAGCATCTGTGGCTTTGTCATTCTCAGATTACCTTCACTGACATCTTGACTGTAGACTCCATCTGGCTCTATATCAGAGGGGATCATAATGTGCCAAGTTGTCATCCTGGCTTCTGCTTCCAATCCAAACCCATCAACATTGCTACAAACACACAATGGATTAACAACCATCAGAACAAAAAGACAAAAACCCAAGCCAAGATAAAGCATTTGATTTTGTATCAGATTCACAAAGATTAATACACACTACTACAGCAAAGCATCTTAACTTCTGTCCATTTGAGTTCTGACAATTTGTGGTCACAAGCTGAACTGAAGGTTTATGAAGAGATGATGTGCCACAGATACTGGTGTCACTAGCAGAAGATGGTGATATTTGAAGAAACACAAAACAGACAAGGCCAGAAAAGGAGAACACTGAGATTTGATGACTGTTACTAAGCATCTTTGGATGAAAGACAAGTTGTGGATCTTCTTGGAAAGAACAAATGAAAACGCCAGGCTGGCATTTGCAGCAATGCAGGAAAGTAGGTGTCTACATAATTCGTCACAGACACCTGATTTAATGCATGACTGGCCTCACTCAATGCTATACAGAAGAAATTCCAAGATATAGAACTTGTATGAAATGATTCAACAGACAGTAAATCCAGTGACAGGACCCTCTGACTATTAATTACCTAGCACCAGGGTTTCTTTCTATCTTTAAAACATTTAGATTTATAAAAGGTTAACAACAAAATAGTTGGATAAACACATTTGTCAGTATTTAAAATACCTCTGCAAAAGGAGGTAAAAATGTTCTCTATTTCCAGGATCTCCAAACCTAATTTTGTCTCAAAATGAATTTCTTAAGGTTGCTTGCAACCCACTGGCTGGAAAATTATAAACAGCCCTCCAAAATTTGCTGACTTATTTGCAAGGTGAGTAAAAAAGGGTCATTTTAGTACTTCCCTGTCCTGGCTGTGGAATGCACTTCTGCCTGAGACATTTACCTTCCCACATGCAGATTAATCAAGCAGTGAGCTAGGCAGCTGATGAACTCCTGATCATGATTTCCAGGTCCCAAAATTAAGTTCCTGTTCACAGTAAGGACCCTTAGGGAATCAAGGAGAGCCACTTGCTGAGGAACAGTTTTGTGCGCTCTTGAGAACTGATACAGGATGGTTCTGTTCAGGCAGTGATAAATGGCATCCAGCGAGAGTCCCTGAGATCTTCTTTTTGACTGATGGGAAGTAAAAAAAAAACATGATCAGAAGTAGCACCAACTCGTTTTACTGGCACACAATCTTCTGTTGAACTGACCCAAGCTCATTTTCCAGAATTAGCATCTTACTGTGTCAATTCCATCAATTTCAAGGACTAAAATGACATTAATGATTAAGCACTTTGAATTTTAACATCTCTAAAGATGCTGCTGATTTCTAAGAGTAAGTCTTCCAACAATTTCCAATAAAAGTGTGTGAGGAAGGTTCCCAAAAATGTCAAGGCAAATTCAGGGAACTTCTCAAAATTCATGTGAGGCAAATTTAACTGTTTATTTTGGGGGTATTTCTAAAAAATAATGTGATCTGAGAGCAGTTCTGACACAACTGCTCTTCACAGAAAGATGTGCTAAGAAAGCTCTGTAAAGAGAGAGCGAGCCTGAGAAAGAAAAGCATATTTCTGTGCTGATCCAAACATATATCACTAGCAGATTGTTTAGTGACATCACTCCATGCATTTCCACATAATCTGCAGAAATGGTTTTTCAGCCAGGTAATACAACAAACAGCCCTGTTACCTGTGCAATGAGCTGGATTATGAAGTCCACAAGAAGCTTGGATTCTTTGTTGAACATGCCCTGCCAAAGCTTATCTACCACACGCTGTGTAAAATAAAACACATTGTTCACCAGCACTTGGTAGCTTCCTCCACTTGTTATAGGCAGAGATGCATCTTCACCTAGGTAATAAAAAACCCCAAAGTTTTCTACATTTATCCAATAGCCCCATCTGCATAGACACATTCATATTAGTTTATGCTTTCTAGACTTCCATAAAAGAGAAAGAAATTCAGTCAATGAAAGCTAAAACCTCATGGCTTCCCTACAATAGAACTTTCCCTTTGATGTAAGCAATCACAGCTCTGGACTTTTATCTTTAAAAAAATTATTCTGAATTTTGAAAACATGATTCTAGATCAATTTTATTAATGCACTGCACCCACAGAAAGACTGTGGGTCTTATTAAATTAAATTTATTAAATTACTGCTGTGGCAAGAAATGGGGAGCCTTACAAGGAAGTTTGAACAGAAATGCATACAGTCTCTCATGAAACCTGGGATGGAGTTAGAGCAGCCCAAGAGCTTCTGGGAAGTCCAGCAAACCACCATGAAACGTGACTGGGTCCCCTAAGCCATGTAGTTTTTGTGAATAACCTATTTTACAGCTTTGGCACAATCAAGGTAGGGAGGGAACATGCAAGCACATCAACACCATTTACATATCAAAGGGGAAAAAATTAAGATGATCAAATTGCAACAAAACAGAACACTAAAAAAGTCACAGAATCAAAACCTGGTGACCAAATCAATAGATTGACTATTAAACTTTGCTATATTACCCAATAAAACATCAGCTGCAAGTAGGTGGTCCATCACTCCATCTAAAACATATGTCTGAAACTCCTTCTGCTGGGTTCGTGTTGATCTTTCAGGAGAAGCCTAAAAGAAGATATTAAAATAATATTAAGATAATTAATATCTCTGAATAAAAGAGTGGGAGAGAGAGGGTGTTCTACATTATTTCCTTTTCTCTCAGCTCCCATGAACTACATTTTTTTTTTTTTCTCTTAACATTCTCTCTCAAGTAAAAAGTTTTGGCTTTATCAAAAATCTAAGCATGCACATCAAGTATATACTGGCTGCATGCAGTCTTGCAGAGCAGGCATTATTCCTTTTTAAATTCACGAAATTTATCTTCTGTCATTACAGGTACTGGAAAAGAACACATTCTGAAAAGGTACATGAAACTCTCCACTATAAACTTATGTTCAACCTGTGATTTCCTCAGTTGACACAAGTCATCTCCTTCACTAAACAATGAGCAAATGGGACAGATAAAATGTTTAAGTTGCAGACAGAGAAATAACAGTAAGTTTGGCAGTGTGTACCTACCCAACCCTATTTATGCTAATGGGCAAGTAATGCTGACAAGTGATAAAAAGTTAAAAGAGCTGTAAAGAACTGCAGCCACTTCAACATGATCTCAAATATGCCTCCCAGTGTCTGTGGATAACTGACATCTTCTGACATTTCATTTGTTTCTGCTTTGTGACAGCAAAGAGGTGCCCAACTGCCCCAGGAAATTTGTTAGAATATATACAAGCATGCAAGTATGGCCCAGAATTCCTGCAGCTTTCAAAAAAAATCAGGGAGACTCAGCAACATGTAAGGTGAGGTAACTAACAGGTAGATCAAGGTGAACAAGAAGTGAACATTTGAAGTACTGTCTGAAGGTGTAGGCAGTAAAATAGTAACTCAACTCCTTACTTCCTTGCCTCACCATTAGCAGGACAATGCTTTCTTCAAGTGTCATGAACTTCAGAAGTTGATTTACAGCAAGATAACACAGTTATTTTGTGAGGTTTTATTGTATGTGGCCCCATATGTCTTTTTATCTAACTGACACCATCTATGGCACAATTTCTTTTTATCTAATACAAACAGAACAGAATCCCTAATTTCTGCAGGGGTTTTATATTTTCAACAAAGTCAATACAGATTTCATGGTTGGAAAGGTGTTTAACCACTGAATCATACTCCACAAAATAAAACTTGAGGAAAGCTTCTTATGCTGGTTTTCCAAGCCATTAAAGAAAGGTGAACAAGCTACTCTTTATGAAACATTAGTGTTTCTTTTTTTCCCACTCTTATTTCATGACATTTCTACTGAATCTCAGGTCATTCCTAGTCTAACTTTGTAAGGTAATAGAAGAAAAAACACTTTAGGAAAATAAGATGTCACAACTAAACTCAAATAACAAAACCAAACTAAAACACAACCCACAAAGAAATTCTACCTCTAGCAGAAGGTCTACCAGTGGAGTCTGTTTGCTGGCTGGTGTGAGACATAGGTTATCAATGATCATGACACGCATGAAGTCAAACACGAACTTCTTGGCTGGGTGGTTGGTCAGGTAGGTCTTGGTGCCCACATTGCAGTATTCTGATTGGCTCCTGTTCATGCCAGAATCAGCTGCAAAGGCTTTAAACTCTTCAGCTGGGGACCCAACTTCATCATCGAGATCAGTGACCTGTAAAAACGAGCACGTTAAAACTGTAGAGATTAGCTAATTAATGGCAGTTTCTTCACTTCTCTATTCTTTGCTTGTCTTTCTAAGGGTATTTCACTTCACATTTTGCTTCTTAAGAAGTCTTTTTAGAAAATTATGATGCTCAGAATCAGTTCCCCACTATGGAAACATCCAGTTTTGGATTCTCAAGGCAAACAATGATCTGGCATGAGTTACATTTCATGCTCCCTGACCAACAGAATTGGATGATTTGTAGATACCTGGCAAAAATAAATGTTCTCATTGAAAAAAAAAGAAAAAAAGAAAAAAAGAAAAAAAAAGTTTTGAAAAAGTTCTTAACTAAAGCAGTTAAAATAAAATCAAGACAGAAGCCAACTAAAAAAGGTCATCAAGCTTACATAACATAAAACAAAAAAGGAACTGAGCCTTTTTTTTTTTCTTTTAATACAATACCTTCATCAGAGTGCAGTTATGGGTAAGCCGGTTTCCCAAAAATCTCTAAAAGAAGAAGAAAAAAAAAAAAGGGTCTCCACAGCTTTCCCATTTCTGATGAACAGAAACCTTGAAAGGCTAGCTCTTAAAGAGGACTGTAATAAAAGCACAAACAGTAATGAAAGCTGTCAAATCCAGAAGACTGACTCTTTCTATGCAACGCCCTTCCTTAAATGAAAGAGGAGGCAATATGATTTCCCTCAACAGGCTTCTTGCATCGCCAGCTTACATGTCAAGTAACCAAATGTTCTGAACATTTGGTCTGCTTTAACAGGAGAGTATTTTCAAGAAATTAAGAGAAGCTCAAATACATATTCTTGCTATTTTTAATAGCAATCTCAGAAAAGCTGAAAGACCTTTGAAAAAGTTAAGAATCTTCTCTCAAGGCAGAATTTAGATTATAATGTTTTGTTGCAGAAATCTGGCTGTGATTCAGATATTTTACCAGGCACTGATTAGTGCTACACATTTGGGCAGAAACACTGGAGGAATAAACCAATTTGGAGTGAGGAGCACCCTCAAACAGCAAAGAGCTCAAGTTGCCAGGCACTATGCAGAATTTCAAGTAGTTCAAGCCTGCTTAGAGACACAAGGCTCCTCTAAAAACTCTGTACAGGTGAATGCCAAATGAGCATCACCAGTTTGTAAATGGAACTTTTTTTTGAGAGAGCAAGCTCCTAGTATGTACTTTAAATGCAAGTTTAACAAAAAAGCAAAAACCCCCATGTCTTTATGAGAGACTCACCAGCAGGCACTGTTAAAAACTGGTCTCCCACTTTTACTGACAACAAAACAATAGCACACCACAAGTTACTATTTCCTGAAGTTTTTTTTATCATACTCTCCATACTTCTAGCATTTGGCAACCTCTAGACAAATTATTCTTCCATGTTCTTAATAAAATTTTAGATGTTGGCTAACAATATCTGTTTTTTCCCTTTCCATTCATATTCTAGAAATAGTATCATTTGCAAATGACACTAGGCTCAAAGAAAACTTCAGCCAGCAATGCAAGCAAAGTTGAATTTACATCCTCTCTTGGCTTGAACTCAGTAGTTTCAGGAAATACAAGAACACTGTTTTGTGGTTAAGCCACAAAAACAGAAATGGGAATGGGAAATGTGAGGAAAAAGAAGTTTTAGGTTTCATCACATCCTCCAGAGCTGAGGACTGACAGCCTCTTTTGCTTGTATAAATCTGAGCTAGCATTTTTCATACAATGGAAAATAATGTCCACTAGAAAACAAACAAACTGTCTATTGCCCCTAAAATGCTGCTTCTGATGTCCTTGCATAACAACCGCCCTGCAGTTTAACACACTCTTCTCTCAGATCCACAACCCAAGTACAAAACATCCAGCTCAGCCCTGATGATGACCGCTTGTGCAAGTGAGTAGAGCTTTATCTTGGTATGACTGGTAACTGATAAATCCTCAAAAGTAACACTCATGTGAGAAACAGAAAAGGCAAGCAGCTGGATTTCCTACCATCTCAGAGTATGGTCGGGTGTTGAAAGGAAACACTGTTGCTGCCAGCGCACACAGGAACTCTGGACTTATCCACAGGGAAATGAGGTCAGGTACATTGTGATACAAATACCGAAAGAACTGCATCAGGGTGACTGGATATTCCCGAAGCCAAGAGCCTTCTTCCTCTGACTGCCAGGGCTGGGTGGAGAAACAAACACCAGATTAGCACAGACAGGGCCAATTGAATACTTACTTCAGAAAGGAAGAGCACACTTTCAAGCACCACTCAAACAGGAGACCAACCACATTTTACAGCACATCATTGACCATAAGCTAAAATGTGTGCCCTACCATGTAATGACTCAGAAATATTGGCAAACATGACAAGACTGAAGCCAACCCAAAATGTGATGGCACAGTTGAACACGCCTGGTGTCAGCACCCAAGACACAGCACGTGTCTCTAAGCATGTCTGAAGTGTAGCCAAACAGGTGAGGACCAAACACAATGATCAGTCACCAGCAGAGAGACAGAACATGTGACAACAGGAATGGGTACTGCAGCAGGTACACTTGTCCAGAAGATGCTTCTGGACATGTTACCTTGGGAGAAACATGCAAGCAACAGAGCATATCGCATACACGTGATGATCCAACAGGTGACAACCAAACAGGTGCTGCTTTCCAAGCACTTCAAGAGGCAATTTTCAGCAGATAACACATTCTGACTTCAAGGAAATACATGATTTTCCCACTGAGAAACCAACTTTCCCTACTCTTGACATTAGATTCAAAGATGAGAAGATGACACATTTCTCTGGCAGTAAATTAATTTCCTCTGGCATGGGGCTATTCATAGTCAGGGACTTCTCTGCACGGGGAAGGTTCATGAACGAAATCTGCAACTCGCATAGCTGTGAGCAGATGGGATACAGAGTCTCAAACATTCTCCCATGATGTTAATCAGGAAAGAAACTGAATCATCTCTGACAAGGACATTGTATCCTTCTGCTTTCTTGTTTTGTTTTAACTGCAGCTAAACAGAAAGCCCAGCCTTTTTGTGGAAAAGCAATGATAATTTTGTTGCTACTAAAATTTCTATAGATACAGGGAAAAAAGCAACAGAGAAAAACCCAAGAAAATTACATTTTGCACCCAAGTATTACGAGACTAACAGCCAATTTTGTCATGATACTAACAAAACTTCGACCTTTCTAATTTGGCTTTTAACCATGTGGAAAACTTGCACAACACAGTATATACTGAAATACAAGCAACATTTCTGATGCTTACAGAATTCAGCATGCTCCTCAGCATTCCCAGTAACAAGAAGGCAGCTTCTGTGCAAACACTGTGTATTGAGGAGGTAACAGTGCCACAGGAGGCAGGAACTCCAAATATGAAGGTCCAAATGGAGTCTAAATCAAACTGCAAGAGGTGAAAGAGAAGACATGAAATTATTCTTTTCTCCTGGGCAATTGTATACTGCTTTTTATTACAGATACAATATACTCATTTTGCAGTAGATAAAAAAATAATTGTTTTACACCCTCCAAACTTTATCACCAAACATTACATGAAAGTCACATGTCACTGACGAAAATTTTTTTAACCATGAGCTAATGAAACTGCAACTCTCATCTTCTCACTTTCTTCTCACTTCTCATAAAGTATGTAAATGTTTTGAAACAAAAGAATTGTCAGCACTCGTGCCACACAATCAACTTAGTTGACTGACATCTAGCAGTAAAACCCCCATGGTATCCCGCAGAAAAAAAAATGAACAACACAAACAAATCAAATTGTATTTTCCAGCAAATCTACATAATTACATCAATTAAAAATAAAAAGGAACCAAGTGTCCACCTCTAGCATTAAGAGTGCTACTAAGTAGTTGAATTTAGTTTCAGTGTAATGGTGTCATATGTCAATGCTGTAGACAGAGGAGTGAGTTTCATGCCTCTACCTCATGGTAGCAGAGTGCTGAATGTGCTGTCAAGTATTCCCCTTGAGAAAAAAGGCAGCACCTTCTGGTTTGAAAGTTTTACTTTTCAGTTCTCACAGATAAATCATGTAAGCACTGCACCCATTCTAAATAGGCACCCTGTCTATCTGGAGTGTCTGTGGCTTTTCTTCCCTGGGGTTTTCTAGGACTGTTGTAGGTCATATAATATCTACTCACTTACTTCAAGAAAGCCCAAAATAACCTGTTCAGAATAAGAACAACCAATATTTTTCAGCAACAACTGAGTTGTCTCCCTATAAAACCACAGAGACTTTCTGAAATAAAAACAACCTTGTTTTGCCTGTAACCTGTGAACTCTCTTTAACACAGCAACTGCCCACTCCTTAAACAAAAAACCACAAAAAACCCACCTCACAATCAAAGCAAGCAAGTAAAAGATTATGTTCCCTTCAATGCCCACAGCATGCCAGTTGGAACTAGGGATCTACTTCTCATTTGAACCCAAAATGGACCACAGTGACACCAGTGACTGCTAAGCCATAGCAGGCTGGCTTCTACATAGTCCCAACCCAAAGGGCTTAGCACTAAACACCATATCATGACTGTGAGTCAGCTGCAGAGAAGGAGAGGGCCTGGTTAATTCATTATTTTCTTTCATGACAGACAGAATTACATTCACATCTTACTGGATAATCCCTACCTTGGCACCCTGATTACACTGGCTGCTGATGACAGGTGCACTGACCTGCAGGTTTTCAGGCAGTTCAGTGACTGGCTGCTGCAGGAAAAGGGCCATGAGGAGGAAATAGAGTGCAGGCACGTTAGTGTGCTTTGGGAGAAGGGACTGCAGAACGGGGAAGCCTGGGAAGTGACAAGCATCCCGGTTAATCTCCCGCACTGTCGATCTACCACCAGCACTCCGGCCGACATTGAACCCTATGAGAGAAAACAAGACACAAAGCAAACAACGTTAAGAGGGTGACACCTGTGTGTCACCATGATCTTTTCTGAAAAATTCTCTTTGCCCAGGATTCTTCTCCTGGGAAGATGAACAGCCTCAGTGGAAAAGAAAAGCAATATTATCTGATTGCTTCTCCCTGTGTTTTGCTGCTTTGGAATGTGGTCTGGACATTGTTTACCAACAGGTGCATCTTTGATTGGTTCCATGTGAATTGTGTTGACTTAATGACCAATCCCAGCCCAGCTGTGTCAGGACTTTGTTCAGTCACAGGTTTTTATTATTCATTCTTTTCTAGCCTTCTGTCTGTATCTTTTCTCTGTAGTTTAGTATAGTTCTAATATATAATTTCTTTTAATATAATATCATAATATAATAAATCAGCCTTCTAAGAATAAGGAGTCAGATTCATCTCTTCCCTCGTTCTGGGACCCACACAACCACAACACCTGTGAGAACCCTTCTTGCTCACCTGGTGAGATTAAAAGAGTATCTTTTTAAAAGGGTACCTCCTCAGAAACTAATGCTGTACAAAACAAATGTGTGCATACAGACTATCACACATTACACCATTCTGCTTCAGATGTCTCATTTTTTTAAAAAAAATTAAAAATAAAGGAAATTACTGCTTTCCAGACCACATAGATGACACTCTTCCATACAGAATGCTTAATATAAATGCTTACACACACACACATTAATTTTCTAGCTGTGACCTGGGCTTTTAAAACACCCAGGTTTCTGAAAATACGTATTTTGCTGGCTGAGAGAGAAATATCACCTTAATCTCAGTTACAGATTTATATAATGAAGCAGCAACCCATGATCCATTTAAGTCAATGGGCAGCTAATTGTGTCCAGAGAAGTCTCAAAGGCATCTTATTTCAGGTATTTTGTTAATGATTAATCAGCTGGTAGTAAGCATTAAACAGTCTTATTTTACATAAGTGCTGCCAGAACTACCTTTTTTGACCGTGCTCCTACCTATGTATTTCAACATCCTACTTAAAGGAAAAAGAAAATACACCTGGGTGACAGAAGCACTTATTTTCAAGCAAGGAAAGAGGCAGGAAGACAGTTCAGTGTCCACATCAGCACTGTGAGCCATTGGTCTGACACTGCCAGTGCTCAGGTGTTTTTTCTGAGGCTCAAACACAGATACACTTTCCACCAGAAAGTGACTTTTTAATCAGAAAATCTCTATAAGGAATCAGACTAATGAAATCTGTGCTACATAGTTGCAGAAATTCCATCAGTAACCTTCAACAAAAATTCATCATATTTGGTTTAATGAGAAATCTTGGAGCCAGTATGTTATGATTTCTTAAAAAACACAGCATACAAAAATTAGATAATCTGTCACTATCAGTTTATGAGACTCAAGAAAAATATCTTTTTCACCACAGTCAAGCTTGGATTCATTTAAAGTGAAAGTATAATACGAAAAATAGGGACACTTGAAAAATGCTTTCAAATGTAATTGTAAATCAAAATCTTACTTAAAAAGATTTTGTGACTGAAGAAAATGTTTATGCTATTGGACATTTAAAGTACATACTAAATAAAAACGGTCTATTCCCTAAAATGCTAATGGTTTTCAGGTTTTTAAAGCACAACCAGGCAAGGGAAATGCATGTGCAAAATTATTTCTTAAATAAAATAGCAGAACCTTAATCAGAATAAACCAAACAACAGATGCTTTTTATTTTAACAATAAAATATTTGCATGTGTTTTACAGCTTCTGAAAAACCATTTTCCTTAATCCTCCTAAATCATGGCAATGCAAAGAATCATTCTATGCTCGTAGCTGAATATCCTGAGGGATATATTGTGGCAAATAGTAAAAAAAGTTTCCTTTAAGCAAAAAAAACCAAGATACTATATTTGAAATTGATCAAAGATACAAAGCAGAAAGAAATATTTTTTATATTTTTGTATTTTTGTTTCAGGAAGAGCCCTCTTCCTGAAGGAAGATCACTTCAACAACACTTCAATTACTTCCTTATAGTAAACCAATTCAGAAAAACTTTTAGTGCAGTAACAGATCATGTACTGCTGCAACACAGACAGGTGGCTCCTTGAACAGTTATTTGCAACAATGAAGTACTATTGATACCACTGTTCTGATCTAAAGGTTACTGAGGCTTATGAAAGACCCTCATTTAATGTCAATGAGTTTGCACCAGAGCCTGAATAGACTTCATCTGAAAAGCCCTATTTTATTTAGACTGGTTAAAAAAAAACCAGGCCAGTGGGAAATTGCCACTACACCTCTCTATAAAGAACTGACAAATGTTATTTCAAACATTTGGATATACATTTCAGACAGCTCAGAGATGCCCAAAATGGATCCTGTAGAACTAAAGCCTTACACACAATTCTAGGTCACAAGGGGTAACTGAGAGATCTGATAACCCGGCTAACTGAGGATTTAAGAACCTGAAAAAAAGCCTTTAATAGAAAGTGTGCTTGTGTACACAAAAATGCAGGAGAGGGAAAGGAAAAGGAATGCTGAGATTATACTGTGAACACAGAAATTTCCAAGACAGCAAAAATTCAAACTGGTAAATCTGATGGAAACAGCACTCACAAGGCAAAGCAGCCCAGATATAATGCTGCACAATTAACTATTAAAAGTAAACAAACAAGCAAATTTTACTGAATCTTTATTAGCTGTGTGCATAAAGTGCTGCTCTATGCTTCCTTTGCACATAGCTCAGCCATGCCTGCCCACAGGACACACTTAACCTTACCCTGATGGTAAGACAAAAAAAACAATTAGCTACATATGATGCACCAAAACTGAACTACAACGACATCTTTGTCATGTCAGCTAAGGGCAGCTTTGTAAAACCACTCCCTTTTGCCTAGGAAATCTTAACTCTCGCTTGTAAGAAAAATGAAGTGCAGAAGCATCTGATTGCAGCACAGACAAGAGTAACAGAAAGGCCTCAGCCAGACAGCACCCCCACAATAACCCATAGCTGAACACTGAAGCACAGGTGCTCCCTGCAATCCCTGAGGGGCTGAAATGCCTACCTAACACAGTACCAATCTTATTGGTCAGGACAGAATCCGTCTGATCCAGCCAGCCTCCACCGCTGAGACCCTCCTTAAACTTCGTAAGGATGGACTGATTGCTCAACAGGACCACGAGAATTCGCATGGCTGCCGTGACTGTAGTGGAATGAAGATGTTCTTCCATAAACATCATAATCCAATCAAAACCCAGTGTCTTGACCAGTTCTTCACAAGCCCTAAGCGAAGGGGAAAAAAAAGTCACATTTTACAGCATTTAGTTTCCTACTAGACAGCAAAAATCAATGTCCTCCACTGCAGGGCAAACCTTAACAGCAAATTCTTAGTTAAGTTTGCTACAAACAAGTAATATCACTTATCAAGTCTTTATAAGAAACAGGTAATGTGCATTTGTTCGGAAGAAAGGAAGGACTAAATAGAGCTCCTGGGACTAATTCCATTGCATGAGATTTCTCCAATTGCTGCTTTTGATAACAAATATGGAATTCTGAACTGAAATCATTTTGTTAAACAAGAAGTTTTCACGTCTCCTTAATGAACTAGTATTAAAAAATGAAGGAAGATTGTTTCTTTCTTTGTTTTAATTATGGGAAGAGTTACTTGGGAACATCTGGAAGTGTTTTTTGCAATATTAAGGGGCATTCTAGGGTTGATGATCTTAAGGATAATGCCTACTGAAGCCTCTGGATCTCCGCCCAGTGAGAAGCTTACTTAAAATCAAAAGTTTGCTCTTTGACAGATTTTTTTTTCTATAGCCACACATGAAGTTGAGAGAAAACAACAAATTTAATACCGTATCCCATTTCTGGGATACGGTATTAAATTTGGATAGGATACCTGAGATAATTCAGGATACCTGAGAGTAATTCAGCGACATCTGCATAAATGATTCATCATTTTCTATTAAATGATGCAATTCAACTAGTGATTTGAAGGGAGGCTCTATAATTCTTCCCCTTGAAATAAAATATTATATATTTTCTCTGCCCCAGGGTTTTTTTTTGTACTTACTGCAAATTAACAGTTGTCTTTTCTTTAGATGTATATAGAAGTTTCAGAAGGATATCTAAAAGCCTGTTCCGCAATAGAATAAGATTAGCTGAAACAAGTCCTCCAAAATCATCCTCTGCTCCTAAATATTGAATAAAACCAAACAAAAAAAAGAGGTAAAATCAAGATTTTGGAACTTGGGCATTTTAAAGGCTATTCATAAATTCCATACATAAGCAAACACAACCTGACCCCCCACTCAGGCTCCAAGGAAGCTGTGCTAAAGCGCAAGCAGCCTGTAATACGGTGCTGAGAAATGTCTGGTGCCTCCTTATCACTGTCCCACAGACTTTGGGCAGCTTGAAGAACAAAAGGAATTCAAAAGGAACACGTGAGGCACAGGAAGATAATGATGAATCCCACCGGACTATGGAATTGTTTGGGTTGGAAGGAACCTTGAAGATCATCAAGTTCCTACCCCTCCTGCCATGGGCAGGGACACCTTTCACTGGACTTCCTCTGCTCAGAGCCTCATCCAAACTGGCCTTGAACACACCCAGGGATGGGGCATCCATACCTTCGCTGAGCAACCTGTGCCAGTGCCTCACCACCCTCTCATCACCCTCACAGTAAGGAATTTCTTCCATATATCCAATCTCAAACAACTCTCTTTCAGTTTGAAGCCATTCTCCCTCACCCTATCACTACATGCTCATGTGAAAAGTCCCTCTCCAGAATGTGCAGACTGCCAAACCCTGTTTTTTGTGACACCACATATAACTAACTGTAAAAGAAGAAACATCTCTCTCACTCGTCACACACAGTGTATTCCCAAGAGATGTAGAACCAGAGGTTCTTTGGATAATTCTTCTATTTATTTGGCTGACATCCACTGTGGGACTAAAACATTTCTGTTCGGGGAGACTGAGTGAAAATGCAATTGCACAAGGTAAATAAGCGTATAAATGGTCTCAAATCAGTTCAATGTAAGAATTATTGAAGGATGGTAACATTTCTTTTTTTGCCTAAAAAAAGTTACTAGGCAGTCTTAGCTAATTCTTTCACTTCTTTCACACCTGGAGGGCTGATGCACCTAGCAACCAGTTGTTTGCTTTTTTTCCTCCTTTTCCCACAAAGAAGCAGAGATACACAGCTGATTGGAAGGAGCAAGTGGAGGAAAGAGAACAAAACCATAGAGTGTTAAATGAAGGAAACAAAAAAAAAGTGCTTTGCTCCGCTTTGCACTCAATACTGAAAATTAAAGCCCCACTAACTGGCAGCCACGTTATAACTATTGCAACATTGTTAATGACACTATTTATACATTTTTTTGTATTCAAGCACAGAAGAGACCATAATGTATTTTATTCTACTGCTTCTAAATACTGTCAACACTTACCACTATCAAGCTTTTCTTCATTGTTGACTTCCATGACTACAAATTTCTCACAGACTGCAAACGTAGGTAAAGTGGAAGAGATGAACTGTCCAAACCTTGATGGATACAGAAAAAACATCACTCATTGATATGACAGATGCACTCTCATCTATCAATAATTCACCTTAAATATAAAACCATGACACCAGTGATAGTGAGATACCCAAAAATGTCAGCTTCCTCACATCTGAAGATTAAATGAAAACCATTTTCATCAATGTTACTAGCCAAAACACAAATTAATTTGTAGTAATTAATAGAATACTTGCAGACAAGTCTGCAGGAAAGGGACTCTGAAAATGCTAGGATTCAGGAAAGGGAACTGGGAGATACCTCCGAGTCCTAGTAAAAGGAACACCTCAAGTTAAAGGAGAACAAAACATTATTCTCAGCCTCTTAGAGCTGAACAATTATTACATCAAAACAGTGGTTACTCAACTCTGGAAGAACATTTATGCCTATAGCTTGAGGTTATGTAACAGAGGGTCATGGTTTTCCATGACAAGACGCTGATGTACCACTCTAAGAAAGGAGATGCAATATATTTCTTTCCTCTGCAGCTAATCTGAAATGGCCCCTAGCGAGTGCAACTTTTCCCAAGTTACGCAACATTTTTCATTCTTTATTTCCAGGAAGGAGAACAGGGAACACCGGTCTACAATCTATTCTGTAACCATTTAAGCATAAAATCAATAGTTTTATTCTTGAATCATTTTTTGTCCTGTACAATTAAAACAAAGATAAGATGCTTAGGTTGAGGCTTCTGACACCTTTAATTGTGCTTAAAAGTAAGGAGCTGGAAACGTGACCACACGTATGCAAAGAGCTCCTAAACCCCAAAATATTTTATCCATTTCTATTATAATGAAATAAGAGATGAAAAAAAATCTAGTTATCAAGGAGTTAAACTATACTTAAGGCATTTCAAATACTCCTGTACACACGAATTGCAGTAACTAGTGTAATTTTCATCAGTCAGAATTAGTAGCACTATATCTGACAGCCTTAAATACTTTTTTATACAGTGATGATTAAGAAAAAATCTGGAACTAAACTTTGCATTCAAGACAGTAATCAGAATTGCATTTTAACCAGAAATATCTTTTTAGCCCATGTCAAATAATATTCAGTGGGATTCAGGAGGAGTGCTTAGTGCTTTACATGAACAAAAGGGGCTACTCAGCACCTTCATTTTTCACTGGTAGAACATTAAGCTAGTTTGACCATTAAACCAGTTTGGCCAGATACAAATTGAAAATCATATGCAAATCAAGGTTTCAACATATTCCTAATGCCTAGTTTAATCTAGTTCATAAAGGAAAAAAAAAATCAGTATGTGAGCATTCCATGTCACACACTCCTCGGCAGTATGACCACGAAGTACTTTTGACCAAGGTAACAGAACCAAGAAAATTATTCAGGTGTGGGCTACCTGAGTAGGTCATAGCTGCTGGGGAAGCCCTGAAGTAGAAAGCTCAGCACATTGCTAATCGCAGCAATAGTGGGCTGGGACAGGGACATGTCTCGAAGAGTCAACAGCAGTCTTGGGATGAGTTGGAATTCCCTCATTAACTTTGCATTCTTTGCTGCTTCACTGGAAGAAGAAAAGAAATTAGATGACCATTTAAAATTGGATGTATTCTCTACATATCACCTAATCCTGTAAATCCCATTACTAGGCTTGCACCAGTTCGTACCTTGACTCAGTGAGGAGCTCAATGAAGTGCTCAAATAATGACAGATGAAGCTCGTAGGGCGCATGAAGCCAGACCTGAAATACAGAAAAAAACAGTATTTTTTTTGTACATAAATTGACTTGTAGGTTAAAAACAAGCATTAATAAATAAAAGGTTATGAAGATATTAAAATCATTCATATACATGACTCTTTACCTGGGCATGAAGAACAACACACCAGTTCAAAAAATATTCTCTGTAAGGGTACCATGCTGAAAACTTATAAAGGGATCTAGACAAAAGGTCACACACCTTTGTCTTTTTGTACAGACTTTAAACAGACAGTGCAATGACTCCAGAGGAGCTATTGGGATTTACAAGGCTGTGTTAAATTTATTTCACTTAGGTGAAGGTTTATGTATTCATAAAATTAACTTACTACCTTCTTCCAAGATTAAACTCAAGGTTTTCCCTGATTTTATTTTTTACCCTGCATTGCCTGCACTTAAATTATTTAGATTCTTTACCAAAACCCCCAAAATATCAATTGTTCAATGAATAGAAGTAATAGAAGACATAAAAGCCAGAAAGCTCAGCTACAGCTGCAAATCTTAAAACTGATTTGCTATTGAATAAAGCACAATTAATATTTGTTCTCTGGTGTATAAAAGTGGCTTAAATGAAAAGCTTTCTAATTTTTGCTTTTCTCCTAATCTTATAATTTAAAATGATGAGAACAAATCTTTTAGTTTCCCTGTTCTGCATGAGTAAGAACATCTAATTTATCCAAACTAAGTGAAATGTTTGGGTCACTGATTTCTGAATAAAGTAAGTAATTAAAACAATCAAAAAACTGAAAAAACAATAGCCAAAATCTCAGACTTTCTTTTTAAATAAGGTTTCCAGGAGTGCTTTGAAATACTCAGACATCTAAAAAAAGGAAATGGTTAAGTTTATTAAGTCATTTGTGCAAAACTGACTTCAATATTAAGTCAGCAACTTACAGCTGGCTTAGCAGTAGTAGTAGGGTTTTTACTTACTTTCTTTAATGTACATGAATCAGAATTCTGTTAGTCAGTCTATGTCAGGTACAGATAATGCCAAAGGAGCACATACTAAAGGGTAAGTTCTGGGAATCTTTTATCAGCCTCTACTGCATTAGCATTTCCCTCTGAAATTTGCTACTTTCCTTACTTTAACACAACATTTAAGTATTTCATAGGACATGCAAACAGAATTTTAACTCCCTTACTAATAACCTTACAGGAAATGTATGATAAAGTGATTCCCATGTGCTATGTTGAAAGTTTACCTTCTACTTTTATTTTCAGGGCACTTTTCATGCCTTGATATATGTACTGCAGTAGAACACACAGGTGAAAAGAAATTGAGGAACAGAAAACTACAGAATGTTGACTTCTAAACTAGCAAAAAGCAGAAAGACCTGTGGCACCCATCCATTGTTTCTGCAGTGATTCAAGCCATTTCAGCAAGAAAAGTTACCAATAATCTTGCTGCTCACCTGCTTTACTGTTCTATATAAGAAATCAGATGTTCTCAGTATAACAGTCTAATTTGCTACTGTTGAATATTTAAGGTACACTATCAGCATCTGACTTAATCACTATCCACCATTATAATCACTCTTCTGTGCAGCTCTACATACTTCAAAATCACAGAGCAGGTCCTGGAAGGCAGCAGAATTTGGGATAATGGATGTCTCGTGTCCGCTGTCAACAGTTCCCACCAAGGAAAAGGTCAGGTGGAGTATGTGGCTGTTCAGAAGGGACCGCTTCTTCTTTAACAGCATTGCCAGCAGCTTGAACAAGTAAACAGAAAAGGAATTAGTCCTGTGAGCACACAGCAATGCTGTCTAAGCATGCTGGAGAACAGATGAAATGCCTGTGCCCCTTTTGAGAAGGCCTTTAAAGTATGTCTGCTGGTTGATACTCTTGATGAAAGAGCTTGAAAGTTCATTACAGAAGTAGCATATCCAGGACACCTTCTAAACATCTGTTTACACCACAGATAGGATCTAGGCCCTGAGGATTAGGGACACACACATCGCTCTCAGCTCTCTGGCAATCAGTCAGTTTAAGACAGCACATCCTCAAGCAGTTGTGCTCCTGAACAGGAAACATGGACATGGCAGACCAATGGAGCAGGCCTAGAGCACTGCATGCCCAAATGAGAGGTATTCTGGCACTGAAAAAAAGTAACTAAAATATGAATAAGCCTTTTTTTTTCTTGCTACGCTTTGTTCTTCTAGGCATGACTGCAGTCCCCACTTCTGCTCTATGGGCTGGGAAAGAACCATTTGCCAGATTTACTGCTACAGTCTCTTTTCTTCTGAAGCAAACTTATTGAAACACTCAACATCCTGGCCTGTTCAGCTTTACCATCCTCACCGAAACACTAAAGAAACACAAATTTCTGGGAATCTCCCTCAAATCACACTATTTGCTGATGTCAATACGAGTGGAATGTAAGGTCATTTGTGACGCTCCACTGACTACTCATGGTACAAGAAGGACACTGTCTAGACTTGTTTGGCTACAGTAAGCCAAGATCTGCACCAGACTCTTTGGAATGATACATTTTGATGTAAATGCACCAGGCACTAGCATTTCAAGGTTTGCAGCTACACAGCTCAAACCACAGAACTTTCCATTTCAGTAAAGCAGCCTCTGTGAGAAACATAAAGTGCATTGCTCATGTGAAGACCTTTTCCAATCAGTCAACCAATCCTTCTGCATAAGTGATTGCCTTTTCCCCATTCCAATGGAGAATTAATGTCTTCAGCTTGAAAGGATACAGCATCACTAACTACAAAATCCATGCAGTCTCCTTAAAAGGATGCTTCTAGGAGTTGACTTGTTTGGGTTTTTTAATGTATCCTTATCCTCTCTGTTGCTGGCATATTAGAGACACCCCTGGGCTTGCAGGGGTGGGATCAAAATCACAAGAAAAGACTCATTTAAGTATGACAGTTGTGCTCTTCCGTGGTATTACTGAAGGCTCAGTTTCGGCAATGCAGCTAAATGTGCACAAGGGCTTAGCAAAAAACTTTTCACCCTCTCCTTTAAAAGACATCATAAATAATTCATATATGCTAACTAACCAAGAGCTCAAGAAACTTCTAAAGAGAAACTTGGGTTACAACACAAAAGAGATTTCCATGGGAACCATGATGACAGTGAAATTCAATTCAATCAGCCTAGTCTGTTTTAAGACATTTCTTACATACCTGATAACCTTTGATTCTTTCCATCTCTTTGCTGGCCAATGGGTTGCTCTTTACCACACAGACCAAAGCTTTCACAGCTGCATACAATCCTTCCACATCTGATGCCATGGCTACAAGTCCCAAAATAGCAGCAGCTCCACCAATGTACTGTAGCGTAGTGGCAACAGGTTTGGGGACAAATGTTCTTACTCCTGAGCACAGAGAAAATGAATTAATATATTCAAATAAAATCTTTTGCATGAAATAATTGTGAAAATGTGAAAGCAATTTTCATTTTAGTATTACTTGAATTATAAAAGAATGTTACTAGGAGAATTATGACACCTTAGGAGAGGAAGTGAAGGAAATATAGAACAATAGTTTACAACCTAAGGTAAAGTAATTTAATATATTTTCATAATAATGAATCATAAACTGAAACAAGCATCCCATGTGAGCAAAAGAAGATAATAGTATATGCATAAAATATAAAAATGTTCAATAAATACAATGCACCATTAACACTCATCAGTCACATGATTTATCTTCTAGACCTAAGTTCTTACTGACAAGTAATTAATAACTTTAAAGCATAATAATTCTTAAGTGCTCAACTCACCCAAATACCCTATCAAAGCTGCACCAATGGAGCGTGCTGGTCCATTCAAATGCCCTGCTGAGTTATGTAGCAGCTTCACAGGTGTGGCATTTTCATGAGAAGAAATTGCCAGCTAAAGAAAACAAGAAAAAAACAGCAGGGATTGAATGGAAGAGGTTATTTTTATGTAAGCCTAAAATTCATAACTTACGAATTTCCCTACTGTGATCAGGAGTAACATACCACAAACCAGATTAAGCCTTTCCTCTCGGGAGAGATGCTCCATCCCTTTGATCATCTTGGTGGTCTTCCCTGGACTCACTCCAACAGGCCCATGTCTTTCTTGTGCTGGGGACCCCAGAGCTGCAGGCAGGGTCACACCAAGGATGCAGCACTGCAGGTGGGGTCTTACCAGAGCAGAGGGGCAGAATCCTCTCCCTCACCTGCTGCCTATGGTGCTTTGGATGTAGCTCAGGACATGTCTGGCTTTCTGGGCTGTGAGTGCTCATGGCTGGGTCATGTCCAGCCCCTCTTCCACCAGCACCTCCAAGTTCTTCTCAGCAGGACTGCCCTCAATCTGCTCATCCCCAGCCTGGATTGATACCAGGGATTGCCCTTACCCAGGTGCAGCACCTTGTACTTGGTGTTGTTAAACCTCATGAGCTTCCAATTGGCTCACTTCTCTGGGCCCACCTAGCCCTGGAACTCATCTAGATCCCACTGGATGGAATCCTGTCCTTGAAGTGTGTCAATAGCACCACTCAGCTCAGTTTCATCAGTGAATGTGCTGAGGGTGCACTTGATCCCTCTCTGTCATTAATGAAGGTATTAAATAATACTGGTCCCTACATGGACTCCTGAGGGACAGCACTTGTCACCAATTTCCATTGGGACTCTGAGCCATTGACCATTACCCAGTAGATGCAACTGTCCAATCACTTTCTCATACATCTTAACAGCCCACCCATTGAATCCATCTTTCTCCAGTTTAGAGAGAAAGAGGCATTAGGGGGCTACATCAAAGGCTTTACAGCAGTGCAAATAAATCACATCTGTAACCCTTCCCTTGTCCACTGATGCAGCTACCCCATCACAGAAGGCCCCAAGTTGGCCATCTAGCACCTAGAGAAGCTGTGAGTTCCCAGTTCCTGGAAGCATTCAAGGTCAGGCTGGAATGCACTTTGAGCAACCTGACACAGTGAAAGGTGTCCTTGCCCACAAGAGGGGGATCAGACTAGATTGTTCCTGGCTGCATTGAGCAAATTGTCTTGAAGTAAGTTGAAAGAAAGGAAAAAGTCATACACATTTACTGACTGATTTCCCAACATACCTGTTTGGCAATAGCTTTACTATCCAACTTGTTGTAAACTTTCCTTATTTTTGCCACTGTAAATGAAGAAACTGACAGTGCATAGAGACCAAAGGAGACCTTCTCTTCTGGTACCAAAGATACCGGTGATGGATTGATTCCTTCAGACTTCGAATCTTTACCTTAAAGACAAAATAGAAGTTCCCTTCATTAATGGCATTGTTTTATTTTAATTTGAACAGTAAAACCTTAAGCAACTTGTACTGCAGAATAGGTATAAAAAAAAGATTTTGCAAACAGCTGAGATGTGATATTGTCCTGCCTAAAGGCTGTAAACGTCCCTTCCCTTCTGAAGGAAAACAAAGCAATCAAAAGCCAGAGAAGCATTTGGTAAATCTGCATCTTTGCCTGTGACAACTGGCTTTTTACTACAGTTTGATAGGAAAGCTGCCTTGGAATGGTATGAGAGATGCAAGATTCAAAGAGAATATATAATCATATCTTTAAAATTTTGTATCCTTTCTGATTTCACTTTCTACAGGTAAATATCGCATACAGCATGAATAATGACTTTTCTAACTGGTTTAAAACCAAAGCGAGGAATACAAGCACTTCTACTATATCCCAGCACAAGAATTTAGATTCCTATTATCCTCTTAAAGAGCAGCTACTAATCTCATTCCTGTGAAGAGCAAGCTTTTCCTCCCTGTTCCTGCATACTCTCTCACCTCTTCTGCCAGTATGCACACAAAGATTCTAGCACAGCTAGCCCACGTTACCAGGTGCCACCTGGCCTGTACTTACATGGAACATAAACTGCTTGGAAGCTCCCGACATAGTTGGGTCCCAGCTCATAAATGGTGCTGACCCCTGGGGCAGGCAGCACTTCCTCCAGGAAGTGCGTGGGGCCCAGGCGCCACACCAGGGAGGAGAGCTGGCGCTGTGCGGGTGGCGTGCCGATGTAGGCGTACACTGTGCTGACCACAGGGGGGTTGGCAGAGCCAGAGCCACTGGGGCTGCTGTGGATGTAGTGAAGCTGTGAGGGAGCAAAACGCAGGCAAGTTAGCGAGGGAGCAAGGGTACCGTGACAAGATCAGAAATTTTGTCCAAAAAAGGTTTTGCAAGCCAGGGGAGGTATCAAATGATTGCTATGTAATGAAGGGTATTCTGACGCTGTACTGAACTACACAGTGAAGAACATTAAAAAGAAAGGAAATGTGAAGACCAGAAGTGGGTATCAGAGGATGAAGGTGTGTATGGAAACACAGGAGAACATGAGAATTCTGTGTCTAAAGAAGCTATATCTTGATTCTAAAGACATGGTGCTCAAAGTAGTGTTGTTTCTCCTTTCCCAGCCTTTGGAAATTACACCATTTCAAGCTCAAGTGCAAATGTGATGAACTAAATTCAGCAAGACTTTTCAAATAATTAAACAAATACACAAGTAAGATCCTGGCCAATATATAAAGACAAGAACAACCTCACAGGCTTTTTTTCTATTTACATTGTAAAAATTCTGCTAGTAGCTATTAAATGTAGTCATGTATAGCCAGAGAGATGGCCAGACAGACACTTATGTATTACAGCTGTCAGCATAACTGCTGTGGTTCGTTTTGGTGTGGGGGGGGGCACCCCGGGGTGTCCCCGGAGGGCCCCCTAGGCTGCGACTTGGCTGGCAGCAGCAGGCAGGCAAGGTGACTCCAGACGGCTTCTGAGGGTGCTGATTAGATGAAGGTTTATTTGGGGTCCCATCCCCGGGAACAGCATGATTACTGAGCGGGAAGGGGGAAGGAGGAGGAGCCTAAGGGAGGGAAGGGGCAAGAGGCGGGGAAGAGGCTGGGAGAGAGGAAGGGCTAAGAGAGCGACTGACTTCACCAGCACAGCTTAAGAGGGAGATTGACGTGGGCGCGGAATCAGACTTGGGCCAATGGGATTACAGGTACATGATGGTTCAGGGCAGGACCACAGGCTTAGAATATAACATACATTTTGGGGGGGTGAGACAGGGCATACCATTTCAATAAAATGCAATACGACACATAACAACTTAGGGTAGTCCCCCTCTTGCAAAAGGAATACTGAGAGATAAACTTTGAAAATCAACATGTTGTTTTACCTACAGCAGTACAGTAACATTAGCTAGTATAAAGCCCACACCTGCCAGTTGTCAAATGATGTTTGGATATCTGTTATAGCTTGGGAATACTGCTTAGTGGACAGGTCCACAGTGCTCTTCACTGCTCTCTGCAGTTCTTTCCACCTAACAATGAGGTATTAACCTTTGCAAATAAATGTGGTGTTTGCTTGTTGTTTTTTGTTTTGTTGCTTGGGTTGGGGTTTTTTTCTGTTCTGTTGGGGGTGACCACCTTTTAGACGGGGTGATGGTGGTTGATTTTGCTCTTTTTTCTTGTAAGGTTTTTTTATTGCACAGAGAAAAAAATCACTCCAACCAGTAAAAATGAGAATTGAAAGATTTATTTTACCTTAACAGTGTTAACAAGCTGTCCGTCGAGGTAGAGCACAGCTGTGCTGTTCTTCAGCATGCCTTTACTCATGACCAGAACTAGGTGATGCCACTGGCCTTCCACAATGAGGTCACCGCAGCGGAAACGGGCACAACAGGGAAGAATTTCGTAAAATGATGATTCCTCACTGAAGTCATCAACTAAAAGAAAAGCATCAGTTAGTGGGCACCAGCAGAAATGTTACAAGAGCTTAAAAATCTCAGGATATATTCAGACTTTTGACAATTGTATTTTACTTCTCACTTTCTCCACTCCCTTCAAAATTTTAGCTGGAATTACTAGTTGGCGCAAGTTTTTACTTTCTCATGCTGCCATGCAAGTCACAGAAAGGTATTTTGTTGTTTTCCTAAAGAAGCTTCTACAGCAGCAGTCACCAAGAACCAATAGATGTGTCCCCAAACCCACAGAGTTATTTTTCATCTTTCTCACACTGTGAAGAGGATGATACCCATGTTCCAGGCTTTTTATTCCCACTTTTGCATCACAAAAATGACCCTTACTCAAAAGCTGTCCCAATAGAAAAAAAAAAAAAAAAAAAGAAAGAAAAAAAGATTCCCCAAAACCCAGGAAATGTTTCAACCATGAACTTTTCAGATCTCTCTTCATTTTTTCATACTGAAGGAAAAGAAACCATTAATCCTCTTACCACAACAGCTGCCTGCACAGGGAGAACAGTAATTTCTTTAGAAACAGCACAAGGAAAATGTTAAAAGCAGAGTATTTAGAACTAACATTCAGATACAAAAATAATCTCAAGTTATTTTACATAGCCTAACATCTCTAAGCACAATTCTTGCTCTCAAAAAGGGTCCTTAAATCACCCCATTTACTCTTACAAGAGACTGTCAGCACTTCCATTCCCTGTGTTGTGCACAGCACTTTCAGTCTCAGTTCTTCAGGTCCCTACCTGCTCAGCACTCAACAGTACACCACCAGCTATGATTTAGACACAACAGGGTAGCACTTGAGTGAAGCAAAGTGTCCTGGTTGAAGTAAAAAACAGTGTTTATAGTCAGAAACCTTCAGATCTTCTCTGACAAAGCCTTTTCAAATCCAGTCTCTTTCAGGGAGTTTGATTATAGGTGCTCACTAAACTAAAAACATATGAACTATAGCTTCAGTGCAGGCTAAAGCAATTAGTGTGAAGATAAATTTGCTTCATTCTCTAAGAATTTGGTCCTCAGAAAAAAAGCACTGTCAGTATCTTCGTAATTTAGGGGGTTTAATTCCTACTTTACACTATGGGTTTTCAGCTCTCAAGTTGCAGGTTTTGAACTTGACTTCTACTAAGAGAGAGTGCTGCAGTTAATGATGCGAATGTCTGCTTACAGATTATTCCTTATTTTCATGGTAACAGTCCTCTTAGTGGTTTGTGGGAGTTTTTTTAAATAACAACAATTTTATATAATCCTTATTAGTGCTGCTTACTCAAAAAGTAAAGACCAGAAGCAGGAACAGGTTTTTGACAACCATTTGGGCTGGTCTGGTGAAGAGCTAAGCCTGAAACACATGCAGAAGGCTGCCCTGCTCCTCTCAGACTGCTCCTCCACAGACTCGGTGTGTAACAGCCTGTCAAAACCAACCACTTTTGGAGGCTCTGATGGAGGACAAGGCTGGAGACAGGAGACAGTTCATCCTCAAGCCCCTGAGTGCACTGATAGCTCTCTCTAGCAAATTTATTGGTATCACCAGCTTCACTTAGATCTTCACTACATCTCCTGTAACCCCTCCTTTGGTCACAGATACTGAATGGAACTACAAACTGTTTCTGAAAACTGAACACAGCATTAAAACATGAAGTGAATGACTGCTTGCCTTCAAAAATCCCTCCAGTACTGGGACTATCCAGACTGAAAAAGCCTTCAACCTATTAGTTTACTATTTCCAAACTTATTCAAAGCAAAGACAGAATTTTCACCTCAAGACCTCAAGAGATGATGTCTAAAATGAATGACACAAGATAAATCAAAGTCAAAACCTTTCAAAACTAATTATGTAATCTCTCCCCTGAATACGTATTACCTGGGGTTTTGGCAAAAAATTTTTCTTTTATATACAGACATCGAATCTTCTTTGGAAATTATAAAAGCTCCATAAATTAATGTTTGTATTTTGCATTTTTCCATTGTCAAAAAATCAGGAACTGGTGAAGCAGCAAAAGAAGTTCTAGCACATGCAATTCTTCTGGATACTGGGTTTAAAATAAACTTGCCGTTGCATCCCTATAATACTGTCAGCATTAGCTGATGACGTGGCACAACTCTTACCATAATTCTGAAGCAATTCTTCTTTAGTTGAAACAATCAGTGAGCGATCTTTTGCCGACAGGACAATGGCAAGGCAGACGTAATGCTGCTCCGAGGAGTTCGCACGCCGCACTACAGTGAGGAGTCTCACAGGATGGTTATTGGGAGGTGTACTAAAATGTTCAATACAAAACCAAGTTGAGTAGCTTAAACCAGATGGTGGTGGGAAAAACCTTTCACCTAAAAATAAAAAGAAAGCCCATTACAGAGCTGCAGTTCAGATACCTACTTGATCCTGTTCCTTTTTTCATATCAGCTCAGCTGATACTAGCTGTATTTTCTCAGATCCCGAAGAAGCCTCTGTTAAGGGAATATCTCTCTACCACATACATGTGACTCCACTTAATATCCAGGATGCTCCCACTAATTCTATCTTACTGCAGTAAGCCTTCACTTTAGTTTTTAGACTTAGCAACATGTTAACTAAGTGACCATGTACAATTAATTCCACAGCTTTTAATTAAGCATTCCAGGTTCCTGTAGGGTGAATAATCCTCAACAACATGTAAAAGTGATGACAAACATTTTAGATGGGGCTTTTGTGATGGTGTGTGCAACTACACCTGTAATAAATGCAGTCAAGGATTCAGCAGAACAAAGTCACAAGTATGGCATTACAATTTGTTCCATATTTCCTATTCTCTACACACTATGACCTCAACTTTTTCTTAATACATCTGGATTATTACTCATACACCTTGGTTGATTACAATTTAGCCTTCTACTTTAAGCTTTTCATTTTAAAGCAATCACACATTTTATATTTTACATTGCTTTTCATTCTCTTGGGGGCAACAGAAACACACAAAAAAAAGACACAAGAAGTTCTTGATTGTGGGTGCACAGTGTCCAACACCATACTATCAGTTCATGACTAACCAAGAAGTCCAAGAGAACTAAACATCAGATACAAACAACTGTTTGTTACCAGTCATACTGGAGTACTCACCAGTTCCAATTCCGCTCACAACGGCACCATCAACAAGTCCTGTAGTAACAGCATTATTTGTAGGTGCATTGTGGGGAGCCAGACTTGGCAAGAACAGGCAGCTGTTAAACACAAGACCAGTAACACTCTGGAGTTTATGAAGTCAGTGTAAGTGGAGTTCAATACAAACAAAACATGGCTTAGGAAAATATAACATAAGCACACGTGCTTTGTGACTTTCTGTAGTAATGAAAAATAGGAATTAATTCTCAAGATTGCTCATTGTGAGTCTAAATTATTGCTAGCACAAAGAACTTTGGCAGTGTATGTCTTTGGTGTGAAGGTATGGAATCATGCCCATGTGGCTCCATAACCTAAGATGTTCCCTTGTGGGCACCTGCATCTTGCAGCAGCTGTTGAGTTGTTCTGAACTTTCTAAAGAGACTGGATCAGCTAAATAGTCAAAGGATCTGACAACTGCAGACAATGACGTTCTTATCTTAAAAAAGCATGCTCTCACACTAACATCATATTCCACCAACTTAGCTATGTTTGGTCCTTACAAGAGCCACTGATGCTGTGGACACAATGAAAATCAATATAAGGAGAAAAGTTCTTAAATTAAAAAAAAAAATTATTATAGAAGCCTTCTTAGTTGGCTTGCTGAAATTAAAAGAAGTCACAGCTGCATTATGTGAGTTACTTCTGGACATGTTACCAGCATCCACAAATCTCCTGAAGCAAACACATTGAAAATTCATTTTGCCAGCCTATTTCAAGTTCTTAGGTCCAGACAATTTTTTTTCTTCTCTCTTATGAAGGATGTAGAATACATCTTACAGTAACATTTGTTTACTAAAAAAATAAGTCTGTTCCTGACTGTACTGGATATTAAGGTTAGATGGAAAATGGAAGCTGCATCCTTGCTTTGCAGAGCTGAAAAGAGAATGTAGACAGCAGCAGAGCTCCCAAGTACTCAAGTTTTTCTATTGTGTTTTTATAACCAAAAAAGACCAAACATTTTCCTTAAACAGATGTTGAGAATGGTGTCATGCATTCCTCTTCTGAATAGTTAAATCATATTGCATGATCCTCAAAAAGTGTCTCACTCAGCAGGTGTTTAATTAGAGAGAGAAAAACAAGCGAGTGGTGCTAAAAGAAAAAAATTAGCTAAGCATCATATCCAGGCTATTCCTACAGTTAGTAATACTAGGTTTCTTTCAGTTCTTTGAACTCATCATAGTTGTCTTGTCTGCTTCATTTGTATTTCTGATACACTTTCACATTTTCATGTTTTTCAACAATTTTAAGTGGTTCTCAGAATACCTGTGCCATCCAAATGTCATTCATAAATCTCAGCAACTCTTCGAGGGTATGTTGGCATCACTTTGTTTTAAAAGGGATGTGAAACCCAGAACTGAGAGAGTCCCACCAATGATACATACTTCTTTTTTTCCACTTTCACACATGGCAAGCAAGCATTTTTTATCAAGATATTAATGAGTGAGAAAGTGGAAATATATGTGATTCAAAGCATTCCTTTCTCCTCTTTAAAGAGTTCATTTGTTCCTTACTTGCAAACAGTCTATTAAATTTTACAAGCATTCCTTTAGGAAAACAGGAAGTAAGCAAGCACTGCACTGTCCCACACTACTCGAGAGCATGGCAGGACCTTACCCAAACCCTTCCAGAGATGTGTCAAACTCGATGAACGCTGGCGTCACCGATGAGCCGTGAAGCCTGATATCATGTGGGGTTGTCATGGAGACCAAACACTTTACTCTGGTCAGGGGCACTGTGCTCCCTTCTGCTGGCTTGAGCAGGCTCCTGCTGATCCGATAGTGGCTGTCCTCGTGCACACCAAAGACGCTGTCAGGACCCAGACCTTCCATGGAGGTGACCATGCTATCTACAGGAGAAGCCAAGAAACAACAGAGTGTTGCAATGCAGGATTGCAAAAGGGAGGCATTTTCAAGCTGTTTATTTGGACCTTTCCAGTCTGGTGGAATAGCTGAATTGTCACACATTGTCAGCTAGTTTAGCCTCTCATCAGATGACGAGCTGGGAAGCATTGCTTTGATTATAAAAATGCTCAAAGGCAGCAAGATGAGCATCTTGCACAACACACCAAGGAAAGTCTGTGGTAAAGGCAAGAGGCCCTCCCATTGCCTCATGTCAGCACGGTGTTCTTTTTGCAGAGGCTCCTCCTCGGATGCAGTCCTGCTACCTGATTTAACAAGCAGGGAAATTTCTGCTTTGTGCTTTTCAGATGCAGTCTCAGAGCTCTTAGAGAGCATTAAGTAAACTTAGCTTAGGTAGTTTAACATAACTTGTGGTATTCAGAAGGTAGCTTTGCATTCTCTTTCCTAGGCTAAAAACTTTCTAGTCTCACATTTTCATAATTTTCCTTTTTTATTTTTCTGAGTGATAATACCCTTATGCAAATATATATATATATAAAAATAAATAGAGCACTGGCCAAGAGATAAATTGAATCTCTTCTTCTCCCTTCTTTTAAAATTTACTGAACTTGATACTATAACATGAATTCAGTTAATTTATTTTTCTTATTTATTTCATAATTTAATGCTTAATCAGTATCATCTAAGATACTTTCTAGTTTCTTTTAAATATTTCAAAAATTTCAACTAAGGTATTTTTAATGATACATTACAGCCAGTCATAAAATGAGCAAGCTGACACATAGAAATAAGTATCTTGTCCTTTGGAAGCTTTTCAACAAATTCTTTGTCTTATAATTTACTGAGACTCTCCTATACTACATGAATAGCCATTCCCAAGCTCTGCAACTCATGGATAATAACAGGAGATTGAGCAGTTATTTTATCTGATACCTTACTGAATCCATGGGAGATACTACACAGATGTAATGATTTGTTGAGTGCACATGAAAGTAGCTGAGAAAAAAATATTGTTAAATAACTACAAATCTAGGACCTACTCAAGACTTAAAAACAAACTACTACCATATTTAACAATTACTTCCTAAAATAAAATCCTATAATAATCTTTGCTGGATATATATTCAATATAAGTACTACACTCCCTCTGGTTTTGGAACGTTTCCAGTCTGATGGTTCTGATGATTTCACATTCATACAAAGCTGGGGTAAAGCTGGGTTTTATGAATGCCTATCTAAAAATTTTAAATAGGTATGCAATTGGGGGTCATGAGTGAAACATTATTTACACACATTTTTAGCAATTCAGCACCTACTTCTCATTTCTGGTTCAAAACTCAGTGAGCTGGGTTTGTGCACTCGGTACTGTTTCAACAACTTTTTGTCCCAGGCTCCACAATTCAAAGGATTTCCCAAGCGTAAAAATTCCCTAAGAAAGAGAATAGAAAAATTTGGAAGTCATTTTCTCTATTTATTTGCCTATAGTGGCACCAAATCTAATAGCACTTTAAAAAAAAGACAATAATTGCTTGCAATAAACATAACTTTTAACTAAGAAAATAATCCAATGCATAATTATGATCCACAACATATCTGATCCATTCAAAACAATTTAATTTTGGAATGCATGCTCTCAAAAGTGTACACTATTTTAAATAATCAAGCCATTTTGATAAAGTAATTTATCATAAAATAAAGCAATTTTGATAATTCCCTTCTCTTCATTTGAAAACTTGGCAGGAGGCTGCTGCATTCTGTTCTGTCCTGAGAACATCAGGACATTGGATGATGTATGTCCAGCAAGTTGAACTCTTCTGGAGAGGCAGATCATAGGCTGAAGTAAGCAACCTCAGCTTTGTTTTACCAGTGTATCCTATTTGGCTGGGGGAATCATTTCACAGCTATCAACATCTGTATCTCTAGATAACTACACTACCTCACTACAGAGCTATCCAGGCTACCAGTGTCTATGCTTAGGGAAGCTTAAGTCCCTGTAATGTGACTATGAGCTAGAGGGCTCCTTACAGAACCCGTTCTGACACAGCTGCCACTAAAGGGAACCGAGCAGCTGTCCTGGCTACAGGTCAGCCAGCCAGTGATCCATAGGAGATAATAAAATTAAATTCCCTCTTACAGCTGAGATCACAGAACCCCAGGACAGTTTGGGTTGGAAAGGACCTTTAAAGATCATTTGGTCTAAGCCCTCTGCTGTGGGCTGGTACTGCTTTCACTTAGACTAGATTGTTCAAAACCCTGTCTAACCTGACCTTGAACATCTCCAGTGATGGGACATCCACAACTTTTCTGGACAACCTCTTCCAGTGTCTCACCTCCTTCACCATAAAAAATGTCTTCCTCATGTATAATTTAAATCCAGTCTCTTGCACTTTAAAACCTGTGGCACTGGTCCTGTCACTACAGGCTCTGGTAAAAAGTCTCTCCATGTCAAGACACAACCTATTTGATGAGAAAAAATGGGATATTGTGCTATCTCTCCCACATCAGGTCACTAAGGCTCTCTACCACTGCCAGCTATTTACAGTGAGCCAGGAACAGTGCAGGCTGCAGGCCTAGTCCAACTGAACTTCAGGGCTATCCTTCTGACCTCAACACCATGGGCTGCAGAGCCTGGGAGGCCAGCCTTTCAAACATCCTTTGGAGTGGTGGATGCAAGGAGTGGTCCTCATCTGCCAGAGCAGCGCTGCATCTTTGCAGAAGTCGTGCGTGGAGCCCAGCTTCACACATGACTTGCTGGTTTCTCTCTGTATGCACCAGAGATTGCAGGATGTTGGCCACTGCCAGCTGGAGATCCAGTGCATGCTGAAAAAGAGAACAGCACAGGGCTTGAGAAAGTGCAAAGTGAGAAGGAAAACAGAAGAAAGGCTTTATACATAATAATAGAAAAGAAACTACCATTAGCAATAAATACAGAAAATTAACTGTACTTAAACACACATGAATGCACTTGTGTGTTTTCACACATGTCTGTGTGAAGAAACACTCTGTACAAAAAGAGTAATTAGTTAGACAAAGGACCAAAACTATGGTCAAGAAAAATAATTCAGGTAAGAATGGTCAAACTAACCTCTACTTTTCACCAGCAAAGAAAGCCAGCTCAGAGAGAACTAGAAACTTTTATTTTTGTGACTATTAAGCTATTCCTAGTAACTTAACTTGGAAACATAATCATTTAGGTTGGAAAAGACCTTTAAGATCATTGAGTTGAACTCTTAACCCAGCATGGCCTAGCCCACCACTAAACCATGCTCCCAAGTGCCACATCTACATGTCTTCTAAACACTTCCATGCCTGGTGACTCAAACAGTGCCCTAGGCAGCCCATTCAAGTGCTTAACAATCCTTTCGGTGAAGAAGTTTTTCCTAATATCCAACCTAAACTTCCCCTGGCACAACTTGATGCCACTTCCTCTCAGCCTATCACTTGTTTGACTTGTTGAGACTGCCCCTCCCCTCGCTACAACCTCCTTTCAGGTAGTTTTAGAGAGAGGTAAGGAACCTCCTTGAGCTTCCTTTTCTCCAGCTAAAACACTCCCAGCTCCCTCAGTTACTCCTCCCACGACTTGTGCTCCAGACCCTTCCTCAGCTCCTCTGCCTTTCTCTGGACACAGTCCAGCATCTCAATGTCTTTCTTGTAGTGAGGGGTCCAGAACTGGACACAGGATTTGGGGTGCAGGCTCAGCAGTACCAAGTACAGGGTCCTTCTGGCCACACTTGCTGATGCAGGCCAGGATGCCATTGGCCTTCTTGGCCACCTGGGCACAGCTGGCTCATACTGTAGACCAGCATCCCCAGGTCTCTTCCAGCCACTCTTCCTCCAGCCTGTAGCACTGCCTAGGGATGCTGTGACCCGAGAGCAGGGCTCAGCACTTGGCAATCTCACACAACTGCCCTCAGCCCATCAGTCCAGCCTGTCCAGATTCCTCTGTAGAGCCTTCCTGCCCTCCAGCAGATCAACACTCTGGCTGAACTTGATGCCATCCACAAACTGACTGAGGGTGTACTTGATTCCCTCATCCAGATCAATACAGATACTAAACAGAACTGGCCCAGTTCTGAGCCCTAGGGAACACCATTGGTGACCATCTGCCAGATGGGTGTAACCCCATTCACCACCACCCTGGGCCCGGCCACCCAGACAGTTTTCAACCTAGCAAAGAGTCCATCCACTCAAGCCATGAGCAGCCAGTTTCTCCACAAGAATGCAGTGGGAAACAGTGTCAGAAGCTTTACTAATGTCCAGGTAAACAACATCCACAGCCTTTCCCTCATCAACCAAGAGGGTCACCTTGTCACAGGAGACCAGGTTAGTTAAGCAGGATCTGCCTTTCATAAAGCCATGCTGGCTGAGCCTGATTTCACAACTGTTCTGTACGTGCTGCAGATACGTAATGGGATATGTAATGATCTGCTCCATAGCCTTCCCCAGCACTGGGGTCAGACTGAGGAGCCTGTGGTTCCCCTGATCTTCCTGGCCAGTCTTGTAGATGGGCATCACATTGACTAAACTGCTGTTTTACAGCCAGCTGTAATTTTCCTGATTAGCCAGGACTGCTGGTAAATGATGAAAAGTGGCTCAGTGAGCACTTCCACCAGCTTCCTCAGCACCCTTGGGCAGATCCCATCAGCCCCATAGATTTGTGAGTGTTTAAGCTGTGTTGCTAACTACTTCTCCTTGGATTATACAGGCTTCATTCTGTGCCCCACCACCGCCATAACCTCTACAAAACTAAAGACATACACAACATAATTGTCAAATTCATGTCGTGAAGGCATAAAGTTACAGCATTCATGACCAGTAGAGACCAAGAAAGAGGAATCCAGTAATTCTTGCAAGCTTTCAGAACCCTTTTTTTTTTTTTTTTTTAATGAAAAGTATTCTTCAGGGAAGACATCTCAAACAAAAAATACGTAAGCAACTTCCAAAAATGTCCAACAAATCCTTCATATACAAAGTACCAGAAGACATTTTGGGTTGGGAATTGTACAAAGCAACTTTAGAACTAGAACATATTTAGAACTTTAAACTTTAACTAGAACAAGTAGAACAACTTCATACTCCAGCTACTTCAAACAGTGTGCATAGCCCAAGATATGATGTTCAGTCCTGTGTCCTCACAGTATACATTAATACCTGATACATCAGGGAAAACATGAATTAATCACGGTGCTTGGAAACTTATCTGATGGCCACTTCAGACCTTTCTTTAAACTTACGTTACTAACAAGAGTTTGAAAGAGATAAACAAAAGAAAGCCTACGAAATAAAGCAATTCCTCTCAGATCTCTATGCCACCAGTTATACAACTCAACCTGTGAAATATATTAGTTTTTCAGCACAAAATGAGAGGACATAACCAGCTTTCCTATTTCCCACAGCCATCCTTTTCCCCAGCAACTCCCAAAGCTTCAGACCATACTTTTTTCCCCTTACCTCTGGGTGTGTAGCTGATCCAACAGAGGCCAGAAGATCCAGCATTGCAAGCATAGCACCAGGGTGAATAATGACTGCATCAAAGCTTTGTATGGACGTGGGTCCTGTTTGAAGTTTCACATCAGCTATGTTTTTCTGAGGGCAAACAGGAGGTGTTGAAACAGAATGATATGCATGCCTGCAGGACAGAAAACAGCCCATGGTTACAAGACCCAGCTGCATTTTTCAAACAGCTGTAAAACTGTACTGGCCTATAGATGTTACTCCCTTTTCCTTTCTCTTCCCTCAGTTAGACAGAACAAGTGTTCCTCTTCTCAAACCTGTTGGGCATGTTTCTCTAAAGACAGCCTAGAGAGGTTTCATTCTTGAATTTGGAAGTGTCTTTCCCAGATGCAACATTGTTTCAAGAACTTGACAGATTGTTTTTATTGCCTCCCTCTTTTTATTCTAGTTGCAGCAGCAGCACACAACTGCAGTGAGCAACCTACCACTGCTGTTCTCTGGATGTGTGTCTCCCCGTTTGCTTTTCATTAACAACTGATTATGAAATGTACTATCACAAAACTCTCAGCAATCTCTAATCAGCCTAGGGGAATAGAAGGGTAGTCTCTGTGGTTACTCATGCCAGCAATCTGTATGTTCTCAGTCCTTCCATGACTGCTATGGCCATTTGGTTTTACATGAAGATGCTTTAGTCTGACCCAGGGAAACGATGATTTGACACACTGACTTAGAAGCAACCACTGGTCCTGAGAAATGCAGACATGTTCTTCATTGAAACTCTTGGAGATATCAGCTTGGTGCCACTCTTCTTTCAGCAAGGTTTTCAACACACAAACAGCACGAGCAGCTTACTAAAGCAGCTTACTGTGTTTCAAGATGGTGCTTTAGAAGCAAAAGCGAAATCAAAAGACTCATGCTCACCACAAAAAAAAAAAAAAAAAACAAAAAAAAAACCCCAAAACACACAAGAAACCCCCACAAGAAAAAAACCCACAAACCCAGAAATGCCCCAACCAAAATCACCCACAGCCACAGTATTTGTCATATGCTTATCTGTAAGAAGAAATAGAACAAACTCTGTGTGAGAATTTTTTTTGATGATCACATGTTGCCCTTTGTTTTACAACTGAATATAGCAAAACAAGAAGGGTTTCTTCTTATCAAATCAGTTGAAAGAAGTACTTCCTCTCTTCTGTTCTCAGTGACAGAAATTTACCCAAAACCTGACCCTAACACAAGTTAGACTTTGAGACTGGCTGTTCCTCCCCCTTTAGACACTTCCAACAAGGCTATCTTTCTCCTGGGAAAAACAGGACATAGATGGGAGATGAGGAAGGCTGCAAGCAAAGTTCTGCCCTGAACACAGCCACCAAGCCCAATCCCTCAGCAAGAAACACATCTATGGGGGAAGGGTGAGACATCGGATTATTCAGCTTAAGATAGGACAACAGGAAGCACAGCACAATCTTCTTGTGCTGGCTGGAAAACTGGTTCAATAAATAATGTTCCTACTGAAAAGCTTTATGGCAGATCAGTAAAAACTTGGCACCTGAACAACCCAAGAGTACTGTTCAAAAGAGAGTTTTTAAGAAAAATTAAATTACCGATGCTTTACTCATTTAGCTAATGCTTACAGGAAACAGAAAATAATATGGTAATTCTACTGAAACCAACTGCTAAGAAAAAGATCTCCCTAAATTACTTTTTTTCTAGTATTTTTTACAAACCCCTAAGCCATTAATTTTCTAAACTTCTCTGTCAGCCCCACCACTTATGGAAACATCTAGCAGGTAAGAAAGGCTTCACTGTGGCTTTTAAAATGAATTAAGAACAGTGTAACAACTGGTAATACTATCACAAAGAGATGTAATCTCAAGCCTCTGCCCTGACTTACTGCAGAAATTGGAACACAGGCAATTATTTCCCGTGCATCCTAAAAGCACTGCTCTTCTGAATGAGAAAACTGAAGCCTCTTTCCAATGTCACCTTGAGCATCTCAATGCAAGTTTTACAGCTTGCAGTTAAAAAAACCTAAATATCCATTTATATTTACGAATTCCCATTAGTCTAGTGAAATTCCATTCTTTAAGACATTCTGTCCACTTTTAAGTACAAATTTTACTTTTAAGCACACTGATCTGCACTATCACATTCACCTTGTTAGGTAAATTATGAGGTTAAAACATGGTAGTACACAGACAGCATAACAAAAACATTGCTCACTGTGAGTCACAAACACAAATATGATCCTGGTCTCAAACCACCTGGACTGCAGCATTCCACATAACTGAAAAGGCAATACAGTCCAGACTAGGCTTCCTGTTAGCAGTCTAAGGAAAAATTATTGTTTTAAGCCATATATTATTGAAAGTTTTTCATATAATTTTAAAATATCTTCTATTTTTAGTTTTTCCATATAAGGAAAACTTGTATCAATTCAACAGGGAAAAAAAACAGTTTGTAAAGATATCTCTACACAGAATAAAGAAAACAAATCTTACAAAATCCTTCCAAAATATTAGTTAAATGTTATTGTTCTATGGCTCAGGGTAGAACTTGCAATAAATTAACTTAGCCATACTTCCACATTTTTATACGCCTCCTTTAAGGAAGGAGAAAGAAGAATCAGCAGATAATGGAAAAAGGCACTGTGCACAAGATGACGTGTATCTGTATGTCTAATCTTTCTAATTTAATAAAATATATAATTGAAGAGAAATTAATTAATTAATACAACTTTAGTTATATAATTAGCTACAAGTATTGATGAAAATTACAACAGCATTTTGATCTGGAAAGAAATAAGATTTACTGTAGATAAACCCTCTGCATATCGTACCCCAAGAGTGATCACTATGCAAACTTTTTAAAACTAATGGCTAAAAAGTCAAAGCTACATTCTATTCTCTACTTTACCCTGTTAGGACCAAAATATCCTAAAAAAAAAAAAAAAAAGAGACAGGTGTGGAAGAACAATGCATTCCAGGTAACAGGGAGGACAGCCACATACTGCCATTCCAACCCGTGCTGCAGGAGTCCCACCTACTCTGCTTCCATAAAGGAGAACACTTGGAGGGCAGCACTCCACTGGGAAATACAGCTTTGAGACATGTCTGAGAGAGAATATTAGCATATCGGTGCATCTAAAACTATTCTAGACTATGTGAGAAATCAGAACTGTGCTATTTTTGTTTATAAGAATTATCTGTGTGCACTGTGTCTGCTTGCTCTTTTAGCCAAACAACAGAGGGCTCTCCCTCAGGCATCTGTCTTACAAGGTAAAAGGCAGAAAACCAGGCCACAACAAGGGAGATCCCAGGGATGCAAAGCAAAGGAGACAGAAAACAATAAGAGAAGAGCAAACACCTCTCTGGGAAGAGTCAACTTTGACAAAACTCGACCATATCTGACATTTAGGAAGAGAAAAACATAATATAGGACTACAAACCCCAAGCTGCTTATTTCTGAAAGCAGAAAGATCACAGCCACTGGCACTGAATTCACTAGGAATGAAAAACATGATGCTGTGAGAAAGCAGACAGCTGTTCAAACATACTTTTTGGAAAGCCTAGTTCTCTTTTTTTACTTAAAACATGCTTTTCAGAAAGGATCTGAAAGTCACTCAAGCAAGCATGATCATTCTTTCTGTTCACATTTACTTTGAGTCTTACACAATTTGTTACAACCCAAAAGGCTTTTTTTTTGTTTGTGAAAATCCATTTCAAAAGCACTTAACCCCAGCAAGTACCTACATTACTGTACTGGAGCTTACCTGAATTGCTGAAAGCACCCCACAGGGATAATGACTTTTCAAACTACCCAATCTTTACCTCAGGTTTTCAAGCAACTGCTTGCATTTTCAGTACCACAAAAAAAAACCCCAAGGGAAGCCTAACATATATATTCATATATAGCTATATTTATATTTTAATTTCCAGGCTGCGTCAGCCACCCATCTGGCAGTCTTGCTCATCACACCCTGGAATCAGCTCCTGTTTGGCAGGCACTGCTTGTGTTCTGCTGCCAGCCTTTGCATATCTGTATGTTTGAGTAATTCAGTGAACCTGAGCAGCCCTGCCACCTACACCTGGGAGAACAGCAAAACGTAGCAAAGGGATGGGCAATCTGCAACACTAGAGGTTAATGCAGGGCTGAAGCTGTAAAGAGCCTCCATAGGACACAGTGCTTTCTTACATGTTTCTTCAGAGTAAATGACAGGGAAAAGACTTTGGCAGCTAAGGTTTTTCTCTGTAAACTATAATGTTTGTTCTTAAATGCCTCAGTGTTAGAAAAGAAAGCAAATGACAATCTAAGAGGTTCTGGGTTACTAGGAAGGTGCCTTTGTCCAAGCCACTCCCTGTAGAACACCCAGGTATGACTTGGGTAACATTACCCAGTAAAGAAAAAAGGTTCTCTTTATTAAACTTCTTTAGTATAAACATTCCTTTCAAATCAGTTCCAAAAGCATCTTTGGTTGTTTTCCTTTGCAGAATATTTTACATTCCAACCATGAAGCCTGAATGCCTATATTAAGCAGTATACCACTCAATAATTACAGCATTTTCTACACATGGCACCTGCATCTCAGATAACCCTGTGTCTTTCAATTGCCTTTTTAGCTTTCAAAAGCAAATCTCTGTCTAACTTGCATCTGTAGATAGTGAAGGGCTGCTCCCTTCTCTAGGGACTCCAGGAAAAAATTGGTTTGCATTTGCACAAACCTCTAAGTAACACTGGTCAGACAGTAACCTTTATTTAAAAAAAATGTTAAAGTCTACCAGACACATTAAGATGCATAAGAAAAGACTGTAGCTTGGGAGTGAAAGCAGGTGCTTGGATTTCTGAACTGGGCCATGTGTGCTTTCTTTCCAAACATTTTAATTCAGCATGTCTCTACATTATTTGGTAGTCAAGACAGGTTCATTCTTTACTTTTTATTCTCTGCAATTACTAACAAATGAACACCTTTACAAGCCATCCACCTTCCACCAAAAGTAAGCTTTCTTGAAAAATTAGTCAGGAAAAAAGAAATCCTGCTGTATTTATTGATCCACTAGCATAGTAGATGCCTTTGAAATGCTCCTGAGAACATCATATATACCTCCCTTAGATAATTTCTCATACTAGGCTTTATTTGGTTTTGAAACACAAGCCTAACTTTAAGTGCTATGGGAATCTGGAGACATCTCTAATCTCATCACTGCCTAGGATTCAACATGAAACATGCCTTTACATTTTTTTCATCTAGTAAACACACAAATGGAAATGCACTCCTCAGAATAGCAATTTAAGAGAAACATCCCTCCCCCCAAAAATAAGAAACACAACAGCAAGAGAGAAAAATTGGAAAGGAGATCAGCTTCTCTTTGAAGGGTGGTACCTTTTCCTGGACAAAGCTGGCGTACCCCAAGGAGAGGGGAGAGAAGTCTCATTTGTCAGGCAAGGAGGGATCTGTTCTGCACGACTACAGACAAAACAGATAGGGGTAGGACAGAGAGGTTAGAGAAGAAGAGAAGAAACCAGAGGCCATAAGCTTGTTAGTTTTACAAAAGCACCAATAAAATTGTTACTTGGATCCACCCTTCAGAAACAACATGGATGACAAAGGACAAATTGAATGACAGCCTCAGGTGAACACACAGACATGCAAAGTGTGCACAGGTCTTGTGGTGTGACTCTGCACTGCTTGTTCATTGCTCTGCTGAGAGCTACTGATACCAGCAAAGCAGAACATCTTGCAATGTTCAACAGAAGAAACTCAGAGGAGAAAGTAAAGCTTCAGTAATTAGATATAACCAACAGGAGTAAGAAATAAAGTCAATGTAAATTCAATAATGAATGATGAGCAGGAAATGTAAAGAAGAAAAAAATCACTGAAAATAACAGCCAAAAAAAAAAAAAGGAACTTAGTACGGTATCTTATGCAACATCACCATGTGATTTACTTACCCCATTGTTTCCTCATTCACTATTAGCCAGTGTCAACTTCTACAGTACGAGCAACACACTCTTAATACAAATTGTCCTCCTGCTACCTGAATGCTTTAATAATGCTTCAAAATGAGACAAAATAAACTGATTTCTGAAGTTGGCTTTTTGGTGAGCGCGTCAGAGCGTGAGTGTGTGTTAGGGTGGGTTTTTTTGTTGGTTTGTTAGTTGCTAAAAATTTCTTTGAAGAAGAGAAAAGCATTAAGATCTCCCACTTGGGGGGAAAGATGACCCATCTTATTAGAATAGGGTCACATACATTCAAAGGCCGGGGTATAAATAGCTTAAAGGTCCCAGATACAAAGCTTAGGTCTGTGTTTCATGTTTTGTACCTTAAGTTGTGGCAAAAACTACTTTAAGACAAGCCAATCTTCAATACATATTTCACAAAGTTTTGTTGTCATTTTCAACCTTTAAAACACATTTCTGTTCATTTTGAGTCTCATTATAATTTAAATTCAAGTTGTTTCACTCTGGGAGTGTCTCCCAGTTAAATTTAAAAAACCAATAACTTACAGACTATCTAGAACTTTAAAGAACAACCAAATCCATGTAAAACAAGATGTGCATCTTATGTGCTAGCAAGGAGAAAAAGAGGCACAGGGAAGGCCTTATCAGTCTCTAATACTACTTGAGAGATCATCATAGCAGTAGTGTCCATCTCTTTGAAATAACTAACCAAAAGGCAAGAGGAAATGGCCTCAAATTGAACCAGGGGAAGTTTAGATTTCATATTTGGAAAAAAAATTTCACCAAAAGGGTTATCAAGCATTGGAACAGGCTGCTCTCGGATGGAGTTGAATCATCATCCCTAGGGGTCTTTAAAAGATGTGTAGATGTGGAACTGAAGGACATGGTTTAGTGGTTGATTTGGTAGTGCCAAATTTACAGTTAGACCTGATCTTAAGAGTATTTTCCAACCTAAACAATTCTATATTTCTAAATTAACCATGGTATTATTTAATCATTTACTTTAAAACTCCACATCAAATGAAACAATGAAGTTAAGGTATGACATTCAACAACCAAATTTTCATTTACTTAATAAAAGCATAAAAATATAGTATTTCTAATGATGATAATGCAACCTGTCAGCCTATCAACCAACAGGTTGCTTCAACACATCAAATATAACCATGAACTGATACCTCTATATTAACTGCTGCCACAATAAAAACACCCAACATCAGAGAGAATGCTGTGCACCCTGGAGAACACCAGCAAGCAAAGTCATTATTTGGTCAGATGTTGACACCTTATCCTCCTCTCAGTGGAGTGAAGGAAGAAAAAAGTAGATTAACACGGAAATACAAAAGCAATGAAGGTATCTGAAGAGAACTCTTTTGGGGAACACTGGCGTGGGACAGGCAGAGAAGATGAAAGAAAAGGAGGGAAAAAACCCCCAAAAAACAAAGGTCATACCTGTCAAAAGAATCTGTTGCTACCTTGTAGAGGTAAATAAAAAGTTTGCTGCAGTGTCTTAGAGTAGGTGACACAGAATCCAGGGATATTAGGTCATCATCCAAAAGCCTTTGAAACAGTTGCGTATTTGAAGGGAAGACATTCAAGGGACTTATTTTCCTCAAGTCTGAGAAGCAGCCAAGTAATCGAACAGCATCTGCCAGTTTTTCATACTGGATCTCTGTCTTGAAGAAGTGAGAGTTGGCTGGCTCGTAGCGCATTGCTGCAGTCAATGTGCAGAACACAGTGTGAAGCAGTTCAAACACTTGGTTCTGGTTTACTTTTTCCCAGCCATTCTTAGGTGGTGAGCACAAAGATCTTTCCATGGCAACAAGTAAAGATGTGACGTACACAAATCCACCAACTTTCCTAAAAACAGTTCTTGTGCGGTGACTCTCTCTCAGCACCAAGAGTAGAGCCTGTGGACAAAACAAGCAATCAAAACAGGGAAACAACAGCAACAACAAGCAGCAACATTACAAACAGCCTGAAAAAAGCTTGGAACATTTTTGTTCACAAAACATTGTTGTGTTAGCAAAATCCTTGTGTCATTTGTCAGAACTTGGTAATCCCTGAAGTCAAAAACGTAGTAAAAGTTGTAGTAAAAGTTCAACAACTTTTCAGCAGATCAACTTTTCAAAAGATCAACTTTTACTATAAAAAATTCTCATACTCAAAAGTTTACAGAATAAAGAAAAAGATTAGGGGGGAAAGTAGAACATTGCCCCTTATTTAGAAATAAGAAATTACCTTCCAACAGAAAAGACCTGACCAAGCCCAGAATGGAACCCAAAATTGCCAAGTAATTCTCTTAGTGACAAGGTGGAGAATATCTCTGTTAGAAAGGAATCTTCTCTGTCATCACACTTCACAAACAATTTCAAACAAGAGCAGGCAAATGACTTCTTGCAGCAATGAGAAATCTAAACCTTGGAGCATCCTAACAGTCCCCTAGAAATCAACAATGCAGAAGCACCTGGCAGCTATGAAGCCACAACGGCACTCAAATGTAACAACTCAGTTAGCAAATTCAGGCAGTAAAAATTAGCCAAATATACCCACTTATTTTTAGCTTTCCTCTATAAATCTCTGAATTGAGACTGAGATTATATTTTAAGAGTTTATTCTCAAAAGTAAGTCATAGAGAGAAAGAAAAGTGGATAAAACCTTACTTGCTGAACAAATAAATGCAAAGCCATGGTATAAACAGCAGAAAATACATGAACTTAGGTACTAGAGAATAACACCCATTATCTGTGAAATCAGGGGGTGGAGAAGCACCTCCACACAGCCAAAAACAAATGAAAAGGATACCTGTCATGGGAAGTTTGACCCACGTGTGAATATAGAAGAAAAAATCTCCCTACAGAAAGCATCATAAATAACAGAAAAATGTTACTGATACAGAAAAATAGACCAGGGGGAATTTCCTATGACCAGAAGTCTACTTCTTCAGAATCAAGTTGCTTTTTTAAGCACTCAGAAGATGGGTAGTGAAACAGAAGACTGTCATTCCTCTGAAGGCAAACTTGAACAAAGTGTAAGAGACACATCACTGCACTGTTCTGGGCTGTCAGTTCCATAACCAAAACTTCTGAGAACAGCACCAATGGAGGACAAGTACAACAGGTCAAGGGAAAGACAGAAATCTTGATTTTCTGTTAAATCCCCTGGGGAACTCCAGTATCTTTTCTTTCCCCGTAAGTATGGTGAAAAACACATGGTCAAAAATTGCTGAAGACCTTCACAGACATTACACAGTAAATGAATAGTTTTATTACTAGCTTTCCTTTCTGTCTTTTGGAATAATATGAAGGTGTTCATCTGCCAGAGAAATACAGCTCCTTTGAACAGAAATGAACCTAGATGTCTGAGTTCTCTTCATTAAGACTCATTTACTTTCTGCTATTTGCCTCAGCTTTTCTACCCTAAAATAAATCAGTATTTTGTCAATTTTAAAATTAACATTAGCTACTCTGAAGAGAAATTGTGGGTCTAGATTAGCAAATAAATCACCTAATACAACAGGAAACAGACAAGAGTTTTCTTGCTTCTTCCTCCACTCCCAGCCTTACTTTCTTACTATTCCACTATTTTGCTTAAGCAAGCAAGTTCTTCAGCTTTATCTTCTACTGTGATCATTACAATTTGCATTTATATTAATTATTTCAGCATTCCTAGATACAAATTGGTAAAACAAAATGCCACAGAAAATGCAAGCCAGAGCTGAAAATAAACATACGTTACTTGCTTGCTTTTTTTTCCATATGTATTCCCATTATTTTTGACTGAATAAGACCCCACCAGGGAAAATTATCATAACTGCAGAACCTCATTTTCTATCCACAAACGTGATGATGCTAAAAACATATTCACTAGCCTACACCTCCAGTTCTGAAGGCTACCATGGATAGATTGTAGGAAGAAAAAAAAAAAAAAACCAAACCATGGATCAAATATAAGTATTTCAACTCCAGAGACAATCTACATACTACCTGAACACCACCCAACCAATCCAGCTCAATCCAAAGCCCTTCTCAGTGTTTTCTCTCTTGGAACCACACCTTAGGAGAAAGAGTGCTGAAGAAGAACCCTTCACCTACCCTTAGGATGTCGGTTTTGAGCTGCAGTTCCGTAGGTGGGGCCGAGTGCATCAGCCCCAGCAGGGTGCCCATGTCGTCCTCTCCGCTGGGTGACAACACCAGCTGCTGGATGATCATCAGGGCGTGCTGGCGGCACTGCGGATACTTCACGATGTTGTGCACGCACCTGGCACCACCAAACTCCCTGAAAATGCCTGCTCGGAAAGAGGGTGGCAGGGTAAGCACTTTAAGAGTAAGCAAAATATAATCAGTGGCAAATAATGACAACAAAACAACACCAAAGGTGTTAATTTTCATTTCTACAGAATGAAGGGCAGAGTTTTAGCTCTTTGGGTGTGTAATGATTTACTACTAATTTTCCTCCCCTAACACAAATAAAAATAGAACTTTAATGTCTTCTGATAAAAATTTTCACTAAAGGCATTGTGTACAAGGATGGAGGTCAGCTCTAAGAATTTCTTCAATAATTCTGTTACTCCAACAGAAGTTACTCTTTACATTCTAGAGGTCAAAGGGTCTCAGGATGAAATAAAAAATATACCAAAACCTCTGTGTTTTGTGAAGACTATGCACTGTTCTGGTTTAGGGTAGTGTTTTTCTTACATTTTGTAATGACCTAAATGCAATATGAACTGAAAATATGACTGGGATGTTTCTGGAGATGAGCACTGGTTGATAAGTGGCTCAGTCTATCCACATAATTTGTAAGATTCTGCAGAAGATTTTTTGTGGCAAGACCTATCTCTGTAGAGATTAAGCTTAAGTCAAACAATGTTTTTCAAGTTTCCTGGCTACTGTGATAACTGAAAGTTATATGAAAATTGATTCTGAAAGCATCACAAACACCAAAGTAGAATATACATGGCATATATAATGTGTGTTTAGTACAGTGTCAGCACCTAGACTATTGCTCTATGTTAATTACTGAAGATGAAAACTGACTGGAGAAATGGATCAATGCTGCATTACTGCATCAAAAGGGATAATTTTCCACATGACTATAAACTCAAAGAGCAGTTTAAATGACCAAGTTCAGGATTAACAAGTTGATTCCCTCTAACATATATATATATATACATATATATACAGACATGAATCCCACCATCCATTTCCTGCCTCCTGCTTTCTCTGATGTCCTTTGGCTCAGAGATGCATTCAGTGCAAAAGGAGAGACCTCAGACCTTGAGACAGGTGAGTTTGTTGCACCCCTCCACAAGTAAAGCGCATCTCCTTTGTGGTCAGGTTTTCATAGACTGGGATAACATTTTATGTTTCTCCCACTCTCAGTGTAGGTTCTCTTCTCAACTACCCGGTGAACCTGTTCCTGTTGAAATGTAGTTAGCAGTTCTGCAATACTCTGGAAAGCTTATCAGAGAGACTGGTTTAAGATCAGAAACCAAGCATCGAGTCTGGTATGAATCACTGCAAGGCTGCATCTACTTATGCTTCTGTGATGACCTACAACCTCTGCTGGCCTCTGGATACAGCGCTCACATCCCAGTACAGACAGGAGCCAAATTTTCCGAGAAATAATTTCTCAGCTCCTCCTGTATGCTCTGTCCTACTCCTGAACTGGGAGAGCTACTGATGAAATGAGGCCCTTGAATGCTCCAAGATTCCTCAGAAACATCATCTGCGGCATCATCCCAAAGTGCCAATGTCTTTTACATTCCTGCTGTTGTTTCTCAGTGGATATTCAGAGATTAAATCAGTCCTGAGAAGCAGCAAGTATCAAATTTGCTCAGTATCCCCGAGCGGGAAGAATGATGCATCTGACTCCATGATATCAGAAGGTTAATTAATTATTTTATTATACTATATTATTCTATACTATATTACACTATATTACATTACATGAAACTCACAAGCACTCAACTCTACTGAGCTGAATCTCGTGACTGTCTCCTGACGGACAGTCTGGACACACACTTGGCCCTGACAGGCCAAGGCAACAAAACACCATCACTCTGGGCAAACAATCTCCATATTGCATTCTACTTTGGCACAACACAGGAGCAGCGAATGAGGTAAGAATTGTTTTGATCATTGTTTTCTCTGCTTCTCTCACTGCTTCTCTCGGGTTCAGAGAATGTGAATCCCACAGCAAGGAGGCCCTGATGGCTGATTGATGCTTCCTAGGTGAGGTCAGGAATGCCATCTAACAGCAGCCAAGGGTTTGTCGCAAGGCAGGTGGATGCTGCCACGGTCTCAAAATCCCTAAGTCTTGGTTAATGAAGCATAATACAAAACTGCCTGATTTACAAAAGGACAATTGTAACAGAACTCTGTCTGTACATACTGACTGGGAATAACTCTTTAATGAAAATGAAAAAACATCTTTAACTAAAGATACAGGCATTACATTAAGTAGACACGACTCTGTGAACACTGAACTACATTTCTAATTACGTGTTTAAATTTTTGAATATCCAAACAGTCTTACAAGCACTACCATGAATTATAAAACTGTTGAAGAGTGATGGGGTCTGGTGTTTGCCTTCAAGTAAACAATACCAAAGAAATTTAAGTTAAACACTATCTTGTTATCCTTATTTTATGGATATGGCTATGCTGTCTGTTTTCTTTGCTGGGAAAACTTGGCCAGAGAGAAAGTATATTTCAGAGTATTTGAATACTGGCCTAAAGATAGAAAGTCAAGACATGATTTTCTTTATACATATCTTGACAACAATCTCTTCACTCACCTGCATTTGTGTTTGATCCTTGTAGTAGTACTGTCAGGGTCTCCATAACCAATAAAGCCAACTGCTTTTGGTCCTCAAATGAACTGTTTCTTGAATCCACTACAAGAAAATTTCAGAAGCTAAAGTCATAGAAAATACCACTCTTTTCAAAGATGCTTCTTAATACTTTCCACCAACACTTTTCTTTTCTTTGCTTCCCTAGAAAGCATGCAGCCCCACCATTTTCCAAAGCAAGCTGAGAGTCTACACATGCATTCCTGGGAAAGCTTAACTATGAATCACATGAAAAGTTAATTTTATAAAGACAAGAATTTAAACTGAGGTTTTAGAGCACTGTGAGCTGCACTGTGAGTGCCTGACATTAAAGTTATTGTTTCTTTGAGCCACAAAACTACACCAGTTGAAGATTAACTGCATCTGCTCTTGTTCAGTTTTCAGTACCTGAAAAGAGAAATTCCGTACAAAACCCACAAAACTCCACTCACATAATTATGGCAAACCTGCTGATTGCTTAACAGGTGTGGCAGACCAACGCTGCAATTGGCACAGTACACACAGAGAAACACTCCAGGAAAAACAGTGGGGTTTTGGTTATTTTAAATTACTCTAATAAAAAGTAAACCCCACCACAAGGACATGTGCACTCAGGTAGCACCCTGATTAGATGACAGTTTCATCCATTCATCCATTTATTTACAGGAACATAAGAACTGATGTGTTTTCCAGTGGAGTTAAGGGGAAAAAGGCTTTCTAACTAACCTACAGCTACCACTCACTAATGAAGCTTCATACAATTAAACCTAGGTGAAACATCCAGCAATTATGATTAAAAATTAAGTGTCACTGATGTACACAAGCTTGACTGCAGTTTCAATGAAGAATGTAAAAAAAATTGTCTGTGTGCATGTAAGCTCCTATGACATGAGGCAGAGCCTGCTTTGGAGGCCTAGCAGCTGTGCAGCTTACCTGAGATGCTCCAGTCTGGAGACAACTGATCTTAATTTTTTTTTTTTTTTAATGCTTAGAAAAATGTAGACCCAGCTCATAAAAAAGTCTCCTATTAAAAGCTCAGATATGCATGCTATAGTATTTTTTCAAATCTGGGGCTAAACACAAAGTTAAAAAGCACCTTTTGTTAGGAAGAACATTGATGCTATACATTGCCCCTACACTTTTTTTTCACATTAAATAACAAATATTGAACCAGTACATCAAAAAAAAAAATTTAGAAAGGAAAATATGAGCTCGTACTACTTTGCATTCATAGAGCATCATTCATTAAAGTTAGCCTCAAGAAACCGAGAGAAACAAATCCAATGAGCTTTTAAGATGGCACAGCAATCCTTAGCAGAATTCAGGCCCTGAGGTACATGTTCAGACTCTCTCATTTCTCCTAAACGCAAGACTCCACTATTTCCAGCCAAAAAAGACAAGTATTAGAAAAATGGAAATGGACACACTACCTTGATCATTCAGTGCCTGAGTGGGATCTTTCAAAAGGGCTGCATATTTATGAAGAAGATTTACCATCACCTCCAGAAGCCCCACTTCCCTGAAGACATCCTTAAAGATGTAATCATGACGAGTGAACTTCAAGAGCGTCCTCATGGCAATGATGCTACACTGAAAAGAAGTGCTGGATTTTAAAAGGATGCTCACACTGATCAGTTCTTTACAGGGTATGTAATTCAAGCTGAAGACAACCAATTCCAGCATCTCAAAGTATTTGGTCTGCACTTCTGGAAGTTTAGGAATTTTCTCTGCAAACTGAGACAATGTATGCTGCGATTCCAAAATGAAGTAGTTGGCATTGTCCGCCATATAAATATTCGCGATGGCATCAAGGATGATTTGTGCTAGATAGTTGGTTTTTGCTCTCAAAAATGCATTCTGAAGGACAGAAAATGCTTGAATATTCCTCACACTATGACCTAAATCAGAAAATAAAGTGGGATGGGAGGAAAAAGGAAAGAGAAAGTTCTTAATCACCATAAACAATGAATACACTTATTAATAATGATCCACGCATTTTAATAAATAGGAATAAAATAAAAATGTACGATGTCACTTTTCATTAAAAAGTCATTAAAAAAAGCCTCTGCACATCCACTTACACTGCAAATTCCACAACCTACTATTCTTTAAGATGGCATCTTAATCTTTGGTAGTAAGAGTTTACGTAAGCACCTAAAGATGCTGATCAAAGATAATTTCTTTAAAATAGATAAGTACACTGATTTATTATTAAAATGTACATGGGATACAGTCCTAGAGACAAAACAAAGCCTGCCCATCACATATCCATGCCATAAGAGAACTCATTATAGCAACAGTGATACATTCTGTGTTCCGTAATGCAGAACACAGCCCTTGCAGCTGGGAATAAAAAAGCTTTGGCAGGGTTCAGTACTATTAACAATTAAGGAATTAAAACACAGGGAAAAAGTTGTAAAGCATAAAGTAGCTATAATATCAGCACACAAACATCTCACAGCTTTAAAGCTCATTCACATTTGTTCTTGTAAGTACCTTCAAGTTGATTGATATCTCATCCACTTAGCTAAGGAATGCATCATTTATGAGGATGCTCCAAAATTTTCTATGGGCAGATATTATTCTTATTCTACTCAAAAGATGCCTTAAATTCAACTTTTTAAACTTCTGTAGGAATAGTACAAGACACAGTGGACAGATACCATGATACAGAAAACAACTAACAGTAAAAAGTAACTAAAAAAATACACAATCAAGAGTGAGAACTTTAAAGACAATCTAAACAAAGCATTTAGGATGTTTTAACAATAAAATCTTATTTTATTTTTTTCAAATAAAAGTATATGCAAACTGTTAACCTGATTTGAAAACCCTTTCATAAAGAAAAAATTCTTATTTATGATATATTCTCTATGGCACACTACTCTCTTCATTTTTGTAAACTAAGTTGTCCAACTGAACAGTACATTCAATTATCTTCATGCCTAGCCTCCACACCTTCCATTTCAGTATTTCTCCAGAAGGCAAGAGAAAACTCCCTTGTAAATGAGCATTGGAACAATTCAACATCTGGAAGAGCATTTGTTACATTATAACACAGTTGTTCCTAAAAGGACTTCTTTACATGCTTTTTTTACTATGAAAAATGATCAAATTAGGGGATGTAGAGCTTATTAAATATGACAGGAACATAACAGTGTCAGATACAACTATTAATATTCTTAGAATCAACAGTTGTTCCAGGCAATCAAGTAGATTAATAAATTGTTTTTGATTATTAGGAGGACCCCTGAAAAAAAACAAATTCTAACCAGCTTTTCAGAGTTCAAGAACTAAAATGATTTAAATGGAAATAATTGAGATATCAGTAAATTGAGAAAACAAAGTTTTCATAAAAATACAATTTGCCAACATTATGAAAAGCAGGTAAAAGGAACAGAGATGTCCTGACAAATATCACAGAGTTACAGAACTCTTTTGCAGATTGCAACAGATCATGGTTCTCTCATAACAATGTATCAGAAAAGCTGATTAATCTAAAAAAAAATTAATATTATTATCAAAACATGGAAAAATTGAACTCTGAGTGTTCACCTTCTTTCTCTATTTAGTGCAAAAGGAAAACAATTCCTAAGAACAATGAACTCTCTACATACCAGAGAAAGGAAGTCGCTGTCCAAGGAATCTAGGATGTATATTCATTAGTCTATAAATCTACAAATGCAATCCTAGAATAAACTTTTCTTGTGCCACTGCACACATTGTAGATCTCATGAAAGTTCGACAAAGTAGCTCCACAGTCACTATTAAATTCCAAACTCCTTAGTTACATACAAGACTAAACTGAATTTTAAGTTTATGCACAGGATATGAAACTTAAGTTTATTTTTATACAACCCTTCTCCCCCAAGACTTCCTCAACCTTATCTCCAATTCACTGTGGTTTCAACCACACCACAGATTTTATCACTCTGATCACACTGGTGATGAAATAACAGATTTCAGCTCACAAGTTACATTTCCCTGAGCTGACAAAAGGTAACAGAAAGAAAAGTGGAGTAGGGGAAGGATTAAAAAAAATTAAAAAAAAAAAAAAAAATCAAGCCAGCACATCAGCCTTTCACACCAATTTAGTAAGACAGCAGCTTAAAACACTATAAATAAAATCAGTGGATCTCTCCAATAAGACAATCTTTTCAAATCTCCATGTAGAAAACTGTCAGCTCTGCAGTGAAGAGGCTGGACCTGTCCTCAAAGACAAAAGCCCTAAACTTTCTTCTTTGGGTACCAACCCCAAAATAAAATATTTGAGACCAAAATAACTGAGTATTTGATAATCTTAGATAAATAACCTAGACTTAGTTGGAAAGGGTTTGTGCAATACACAGCTGCTCTGTATCTTGTCATGGGCACTTAGAACAACAAAAAAGCAAACAGAGAGAGAAAGAAAGCAGACTCACCTTTGCCGGCAGGCTGTGGGACTGCAAATCCAGGTAGCAGGAAAGGTACTCCAGTAGTAACACCAGCTGGCTTTAATTCATTGACACCATATGTTGTTAAAGAAGTTATCAAATTAACTAAGTCCTTCAAAGCATCCTTAGATTCAGCTTCTTTTGCCTGTTCTAATCTAAAGAAAATACAACAGGATCAAGTTAGCAGCACTAGTTTATCTGAACTCAAATCACTTTAGTAAGATCTCTTCTATTCTATCAGTTTAGAGATTAATTTTACTGCCTGATTCCTGCAGTGTTTTCAATGTCCATATGTCACACCATTAAGTTAGTCAAACACTGGACTCAAAAGAGCAAACAGTTATTTGCCATGGGAATTTACCTCATAAATCTCTCCTTGAACTCAACAGTCAGCAGAAAGACATGAAAAATTACATTAAAAATCCTCTCACAGACATGAAGATACTGTATAGGAAAGTACATGGAGAGTCTGTAATTAAATAGATATCTGTAATTAACTTGCTAGACTACATCTGCCACTTTGAGAGTGAATGTTTCGTGCTAATGAAATGGTGTCTTGGTAAAGGCATAGCACTCACAAGCATGTGATGAAGCACGCTCATTAGAACTACAAACACCACCTCTGAACACAAGAGAACGGAAATGTTAACATCCCATTCCAACCACTGTACTGACAGGAACGCACCATCCGACCAAACCCTAAAAACTGACACTGAATCATAACACCATCCTCATTTTCCTGCTACTTCACCGCAAATAAAAGCATGTTTAATTATTTATTAACTGTAGATCTCAGCAGTAAACGGGACCACATTCTTCAACAGACTCAGGCAGTGCAAGCTCTGTTTTGCTTCTTGCTGACAAACGACTGTTGGAGCCCTTTACAAGCAGCTCATTCTGCATCCTCCATCTTCTTAGTCAGACGTGGCTGAGGAAGGAATCTCCTTCAAACAAGAACCTCCTGCAAACAGTCACTACAGAAGCACAGAGCTCACCTATTATCATTCTACCAATTCTCCACATGCCCTGCCCTTTCACATCATCCAAATGAAATTACCGAAGTGCTCCTCTTGCCCTCACAGATCTGCAATTTCTTACTGAGCCACCTTCTTCACACATCCTTCTACTTTTCCAGCTCCAAAGCCTTTCCTCTTTGCAGCTTGAGACCCAGTGTCCAGATTTCACACCCTCACATGACAGTTATCATCATAAAAGTGCCCCAGAGCTGTACAAGTCTCTGTGGATAGGTTTGAACAAAACAGGGAGAACACATCACTGTGGTCCATCACTGACCGATGCATGGGCTCATTCAAGATCACTGTTTTTTGAAAGGAACTACTTTCTTCTAGAAAACCCTCTCAGGAAGAAATGAGAATAACATATTCCTACGCTATTAACCTTTACTGATGTCACCTGATGATCCCAGGTGTCCTCCTTTTTCAATGAGACATGCAAATCCCCAGTCTTCCTACACATTTGGCAGGGATTCCCCATTCTTTGACTTAAGGATGAGCAAGCCCAGGGGAAAATTTGTTTAAAACACTTCATCTACAGAGAATCACCTTTGTATCTCAACATGTAACATGACAGCATGTTCCCCTTATATTTCCCCTAAACTCTGGCTGACAGTTTCTGGAAAACAACTGCATTTGAATTACACTACTTTGAATTAATGCATTAGAGAATATAACATATTCCAAAACTCATAGAACAAGAAAAATAACAATTCCTTAACAGGTGCTTTAGCTTTTGTCGCACCAAAGGTAACTTATGAGTGATTTTAAGTGTGATTAAAAATGTCAAATGCCATGTCTATGTCTGGTATTCATTTAAAACAAACAAAAATCCCCCTCAGAAGTATACAAGGTAGTGGAAAATTTAGTTCAAATATTTGAGTACCAAACCTCAGCATACTAACACCAAAAATATGGAAATAACAATATTAGCATTTTTCAGTGATAATGTCTCAAGCATCTTTGACCCAAATGCACTTTGTAAGGTGTATACTTATAGTTACGCAGTATGTACCTTGGATTCCTAAAATATATATATATTTTACAATAGCAACAGCTGAGCATTCTTCTTCAGAACTTCATGTTCAAATAAAGCAACACAGACTGCCCAGAGATTTTACACAAATAAAGCAACAGACACTCTTTTCTTTCTCAGTCAGAAAATTAAAGAAGTTTCCTTCATGGAAAGAAAAAGGAGATCGTGGATAGATCATGTACCAAAGGTTTTTTGGGCAGGCATTTTCATGACCATATTTTTTAATGCACTAGCAGCTTAGAAGTACTTTTAATTAGGAAAAAAAAACCCTATTCCCTCATAGCATTCACCACATTTACATATGGGATTTTTCATTATGATAGCATGATAAGACAATAATTATAGAATTATTTAGGTTGGAAAATGTCGGAACCCAGGACATCTCTCCGGATGCCCTGGATGTCTCAAAGCCCTGGCAGGGGATGGGAGACCCTGGCAGGAAGCCAAAGACACCTGGGAATTCGATCTCAACTCATGGAGCAAATTACCAACGTTATATGAAGAATTACAAGTCACAAAAGTTTACGTAGCGTAGTAGTAGCAATCACAGGGTGAAGGGAAAAATTTTGGAGCATGGTACAGGGGGGTTTGGAATTGTGTACATAGGGGCCAGGGGTTCCAAGATGGAAGGATTTGGGCGTGCCTTGTCCTTCTTCTTTCTTCTCCCTGGCATCCCATGTTCAGGATGATGTTGGCATTCACGGCTTGGTTTAGAGTAGAAAGTCACTGTCTAACATAGGTGATAGGTATTGGAACATAATTGTAAACACAGTACTTAGTATATATACACAGTATATATACTAAAAAACTATATATATATATACACTATATATAAAACTGTATATATATATATATATATACACACTATATATATATAGTATATATATAGTATATACTATATACTATATATAGTATATAGTTTTTTATATATATATATATATAAAACTATATACTATATATATAGTTTTTAGTATAAAAGATAGCACCAGCCCAAGAAGCGGGGTGTGTGCCTCGGACCGACCTGCAGAACAGACCTTGGTGGGCCAGACAGAAAATGTTTTAGATAAAGAAATAATAAACAACCTTGAGAATATGAACAGAAGACTTCTCGACTCCTTCTTCGGCTGCTGGGTTGGGGAAAAGAGACTTTTTAACAGAGACACACCTCGGGATCTTCCCAACCAGACCAGACCAGAGGAGATCCCGAGAGGAAAAGACCTTCAAGATCATTGAGTCCAGCTGTTAACCCAGCACAGCCAAGTCCACCACTAAACCATCTTCTTAGACAAAACAAAACAAACTCCAACCACTCAAAAATCACTAGTTGCAGCCAAAATTTTATGTTCTGGATTCTCTCTAAATATTTAGTACCAGTTTTTTTAAGCAACTGCTGTCTTTCCAAAGCAAGAAACATTTAGTAATAAGCCAGTACTAAAGAACAAAAAGTTCAACAAAGTAGTTTAATAAATGGAGAGAAACACAGAATTCAATGTTTTGGTCCTAATATCTTCATTCCATAATGATCTATAATCACTTATTTGTTTAAACTTATTAATCTACTCTTTATTAAGAAAACGTTTTTTGAAAAATGCCCAGTGATCTGTCTGCATTTCTTCAAGCACTTTCGCCTACCTGAGGAGGAGGTCACAGAGGAAGTTGTATCCTTGCCATATCCTAAAATCATCCAACAATGTTTGGGATACATCACTGGAGTCTTTGAGAAAACAAGAAAGTCCAGCAAACATCTCAACTATTTCTAGGGGAGAAAGGTCATCAGACTGCTGCATGTTCTGGACACACGTGGACAAACATTCCTTTTCTGAAAAGAATTGCAGTGGAGAAATTTAGGATTTTACTGACATTAATGACAGCAAGAGGCATAATCAACACACAAAACACAGCAATAAGATAACTTATTCAAGTATCTCTTGTCACAGAACACTTAATACTACTTGAGGATGAGAAGGATTCTCAAGTGGCTTTGGATCAATACCCTAACCTCTTTTTGCCAGCCTCTTCCTCCCTTTTACAACCTTTACTCTTGTAAGGAGGAAACTGTGTAGATAATTACCATTTTTTAACTTAAAAAGTCTGACCAGATAACTCAACAGAATAAAAAGACAAATATGGCAAAGAGGGATAGCTTGCCTTGCCCTGCATAATTCTCATATTCCACCAGTTCATTAGGTCAGTAACAAAGTTTTCTCAAATCTATAGTGAGAATTTAACTCTGTTTTAAAGATGCTCCCTTCAATTATTTGCTATTTTAACTTTGCAGCATGCACAATACAAGCACAAATCTTTCTAGCTAGACTGGTAACAAAATTTTCCAGAGGTTAAATCAGAGCATGAGAGTGTGAAAGGTGCTCCTTTGCATATGATGAAATATCTTAAATTTTTCCTGCACATAAGTTGAGCCTTGTGACAGACGTTATTTCTTAAGTCAGGTTCACTTCTTTAATCAAAAAGAAAGAGGCAATGCTGATTGGTTTTCTTTTTAAGACTCCATTTCACTTTTTAAAGAATCTAGAGTATCTTTTCACATGCCAACTTCCCTCCTCTATGGATCAAGCCCATAGAGAAGCAATAATGGTAGCAACTGTAACATGCCAAATGACAGTCAAAACTCCAGTTATTTTCTTTGTCGCACTTAATAACAGCTTCACACGCATACATACACTTTCTACACTCACCAAAAGCCCACCAGAAGCCTATCACCTTGTAAGTCCTATCTAAAAACACTCAACTGGTGACTATGCTGTGCTTTGAGGGATATTGAACATTCACATCTTTTTGACTGGAATTAGAAACACACTGCTAGCACAGAAAAAACCGACTGAAACTTTCTGTGAAATATGTGGGAGCAGGGTGATGTATTCAATAAACCATCAATATGGAGCCTTGCAGCTACTTGTTTCTCAGGGTGTGAGCAACCCAAAATTGTGGGTTTCTTCTTTTCCAGTAGGTGTACACTGCTAAAATGTATAAGGATGCTAGTTCACTCCAACAGTCAGTCCAATTTAAAAACTACAAATGCATCCTATGTTACCCGTCAATCTAAAGGCCTTAAATATAACATTAGAAACATATTTTATCAGATTTCTTACCTCAAGTCCTGCATACCTAAACACCCATATGGTTTTCAATTAATGCAAAAAGAATGATTTGTATTCAAACCTGCTTCCAGGCAGCTAATATCCTCTCCAACACTGGTTTTCATCTGCAAGTTGTTGTGAACCAGCTTGGCACCTCCCTCTTTACCAGCTCCTTGCAAAGACAGATGATGACTAAAGTACTACTTCCATTAGCTACCAAATCTGTAACCAGCTACACAAATGTCCCTGTACAGTTTCCATGCCAGCAACAGCCAGGATCTACTTGTCTTTAAAATGGACAGGAGACAAACTGGAATGATTCTGGATGCTTCCTTCATTTGGTGACTTGCAGGTTGGATTAAGCCCATGAGAACTTTAACTTGGCCTTCAGCATGCACAAAATCTTCCATCTGTAATCTGCAAGGCAAGGTGGGGAAGACGAGGGCCTGGCAGAAGAAATGCAGGCTGGCTGAAGTGTCAGCAATCCAGTCAGTGAGAGACCTGGGAAAACATAAGGGCTCCAAACCCGTCCAGCACAGGTACAGTTCTCAGCCAAGCAAAGAGCCTCCATGGGCCAGGCCCTAAAAACAACATCCTTGGGTTGGGAAAGCTGGGCTGGACCACAGCAGAGGAAGTCAGCTGCCTGCTAAGAACTAATCCGTCTTCACAGCAAATATTTTTCAATACAGGCAGTTACTGAAGTTACTGAAAGCCTTTCCTTTTGCTTATGGTGAACTCTACACCAAAACATGAGATGAAACTATCCTTCTAGAATAAATTGAAATGTGAATGAGACAGACTCAGCTGAAATCACCTCCCTCACTACACAATGGCTTAGAAATGTTACCTTTATGTAAATAAGCACATGTCCAAACCAAAAGCCTAGCAGCTTCCCTATTATTTTCATGCCTATTTCCCAAATAAGAAAACTATGAAAGAAGAGCAGGAAATATCCCAATAAATAATGCAAAAGAAAGACACATACCATGGATGTATTTCACTACATTGACACTAAGGCCATGACGAGATATGGTCATTAGTACTTCTCCTGCACTCTTCCTCCAAGGCAGGTTATAGGGAGGGCACCATGAGGTTATTGCACTGAATAGAAGCTGGAGATCATCCTTCTGAGCCAGTTCTTCTGCCGGGGACACAAAACTGCACAATTTTACTAGGATCTGAAACAGGAAGTTATTAAACAACTAGCATTAATACCTTTATCACTGAAAATTTTGCCTAGACTTAGTAAAAGGTGAAACATTCTTCCACTAAAGAAACACATTAAAAAGGTAATGTGCTGGTTTCCCTTTGTGTGTTTCCGTACTTTGAACATAAGACAAGGTTATTTTACACATGGTTATTTCAAGTCCCAGTTCAGTTTAAAATGCTTATCAGAAGACTGGAAGCAGAATTTAAACCTCTTAGGCTGACACAGCATATTTGCAAGGATACCAGAATATTCCATTCTTGGAGAATCTGCCAGTTGCCTAATTTGCAGGTTTAAATTCTGCACTGGGGGAGAAGCTCTGTGAGGCAAACTGCTGTATTCCTTCCCAATGCAGGAAGAAGGCTATTGATGGGTTGTTGGCAGAGCAGCAACCATAACATCTTGGTCAAATTAAAGATTTGTCAGGAAAGGCTACAGCAGACCTACCTGAATAACTGGCACCTGGTCTGAATTTCCTAATTACCAAAAACAAGACAAAATGCAGCCATACAAGTGAAGCTACTACGTCATGCTCACTTTTCTGCATGTTTTGAGATGTCTGATTTTTTGCATCTTGTGGAGGGAAAACTCAGGCTCCCTCTCAGAAAACTGGAGAGAGGCTGTCTGTAACTCTCTCAGGGGAGGGAGGGGGAGGTCTGAAACCTCACTCATTCCAGTCAGTTCATTTGAGAGCATCACTTTATTATCAATCCTAATGTTTTTTTACTACATCTATTTCAATCAGTAACAGCCAAAGATAATAAGTATTAGGACCAGCTAAATGAAATCAGAATAGTACTCCACATGTTGCTCCTTTTCAATATCTATGCAGAAGAGCTGCACGGATTTCTGTGCAGGAGGTATTTGTCAAAGACAAAAACAAGAGGAGGAGTGGGAATTCAACCTTAACTGAGCTTGCAGGAAAATCCACCTCCCTCTTAGCTATCAGTTTTTTAAGAATCAAGGAGAGTAAAACCTGGCTCAAGTGAAAAGTTTCTAGACTTTGCTCACATGAAGTATTTACATTCCTCTTGCAAATTCCCTGACCTATTTTACCTTTCTTACCTGTACAAAAACTTTCTGTAGTAGCGCTCGGCGCTCTGCGAGAGGTAGTTCATTCTGTGCCCCTCCAACTACCTCAGGCACGTGTGGAAGGTCAAAAAACAGATATAGACATTTAACAAGTGTGGAAGGCACTGACATTGTAGTCATGCAGTCCACAGTTTTCTGAGGAAGAAAAAAAATACCAATTCAGCATATTATGTATTCCAAACATCAATAATAAGGCAGTTGATTGAAATGCTGGTTTTTCTTTCTCACGCCTTTGGTGAGGTGTTGACATAGCAGTAGAGATTCACCATCTATTCTTGAGTGCCTATCCAAACAGTAATTTTAAAAATAGGATGATTTAGTTACAGCACCTCACAGCCACAGTTCAGAGCAGTCAATGCATAGGACAGAAACAAAACCTGTCAGTCTCAGCCAACAGAAGTTAACAAGTTAATTACAAGACCTTCAGCCAAGCCTTTATCAGCTATCAATTCTTTGTAGTAGGAGAAATGGGAGTGGGAGGAGGACATTTCAATTTATGCTCTCACTTGGCAAGAAGGTGTAACGAGCTTTAAGAAGCAAGGTAGAAGAAAATATGAAAGCATCAGTGGGAAGAAAAGACAAATTGGTGTGGAGGCTGGTGACATACTAAAACAGAGATGATATGCTGAATTACAAAGGCAGATTAGAGCAGAAATAACAAACCACACAGCTGCCCAGTATACTGCCAGAGACAGCTCTCTGATGGAGGGCAGAAGCAGAGGCAGGAATGATTCACTACCACCCCCATTCATCACTGCTCCTGGCCTTGCTTTTTGCAACTGCTGTGGCCCTCCTCCAATGAGGTGCGCAAAGTTCAAGGTCTGAACTATTTAGGTGCTCTATGTGTCATGCATCTCATGGGGCACTAAGCAGCAGTATGCAAGAGAAGCCTTTGGGCAGCAATAAAAGTTGCATGCATTATTCAGAAGAACATTATAAATTAAAGTCTCAAAACTACTCTTTTTTCAGGCAACTGAAACCACAAGGAGCTAAAGCATAAGTCCTGTGGCAATATAAGAGAAAGAGGATCTTAACACAGAAAAGCAGAATATAGTTACATCTTTTGGAGAGTGTTCATGCAGTTCATTTCATTATTGCTTTTGTCTCTTCCATTCCATAATTTATTTTTAGCTTTGCTGTTTCAGACTGACCTGTCCTGATGAAGCTAGTAAATTGATTGTGGTGAGCAGCATCCAGCCTCTACTTGCTTCTTCACTTTGATTGACCTCCAGAAACTGGACTATGGCACGACTTGCAGCCTCTGTAGGAGGCAGTAAAAATTAAAAAAAAACCAGTAAGAATTCATTCTGTTAGTCTGCAGAAGGGAACACATCCTCTCAGCAGCCCCAAGCACTGAGCATAAATTCACCTTTACAGCACTACTTAAAAAAGGACTAGGCTTAGGCCTATGCCTTCCAGACACATTCCAGTCTTACACACACACTTGGCTTTGACACTGGCAAGGTGGCAAAAAGTACATTCTTTGGTCACACATCATCCTTTGACCAGCAGACAGATTTCAGTAACCTGCAGTGACATCTGTTTGAGTAGTTTTGCTTTATCAATATACTTTTCCCAAAGACATGAAGTCACCATCAGTTAGTGACCTCCGCGGAAATAGCTGAAATTTCTGAAAAAAAACCATTGCACTGAAACAACAGTAATGGAGGATAATGGGGATTTTAGGGAAGGAGAAGTGCTGAAAGACGAAAGGGAAAAAAATAGGAAAAAAAGTAACATTAAGAGTATGATCACCAATTACCACATCCCCATCCTACATTTTTTGAGAATGAAAACAGTAACAGCTTACGGATAATTCTTATGATTGAGAATCACTTCTGGATACTATTTTGTATCAGTCAGAGCCAAAGACAAACACTCAGCCTAGTAAACAAGTTATCAGCCTCAATAAATGAATCAAGAGAAAATGCAACCCTATACCACTGCTGCATAAATACACACTTATATAAGAAGTCTATAATGCCAGTTGTGATGTCTACCATTACCTTCAAGAGACATCTAAAAACATTTTTCATTAATAACTGTGTATCAATCATGTCCTGTGCTTTTAGTGTCAACTGGGACAGAAAAGGAAGGTGAATAATACCACATAAAAAAGAAATGACAAAGGAATTACTAATGGAGGAATAAATCTGCAACTGAAGAAAAATCCTATTTAAATATTGGGTTGTTTGCTTCATCTGCTATTAAGATTCCCCAGCATATACCTGGGAAGTTTATTTGAAAGGCAGCACATTTCATATGGCAAAATACTTATCAAACTTGTGTATCAATTACAGTGAGAAGATCACTTTCTGAAGCATCATACTGTAAGCTGTGCAGATTTGGTTCATTTGTTCAATGGCTCCTCTCTCATGCTTTTGTCTGGCAGACTTTTTCCCATAACAGACTTTTGTACAAACCACTGGCTTTTCCAATTCTGGTGCTAAAGTAAGGAGAGGTCCCTACCACTTCCCTCCATGAGACTGAGATAAAGTTTGAGATACCAAGGTGAAAAGTAAGACAATTTATAAAACTCACACAAACAAGGACAAGTAGGAATTTCCCAGCATGCTGACCTGAAACTATCAGTGCAAAGCACTGGTCAGGTGGTTGGGTATATGAACAGGCCAACTTAGAAAGCACAACAGCTATGACACAGTTGCATTTCCTACACTAAAGGCACAGGCAAAATGCCAGAATTCCTGACAAAAGCCATTTTTCCTCAGTTCTGAGAGCCAAGAATGTCTAAAGCATGCACTGCTGCTACAAGGACAGTGCCCCACCAGCACAGCATAAGGTTTGATTTTTTAGGTCTATTGTCTTTTTATCCCACCACAGACAGAACTGGGCAATCAGTCTCTGCCTCCAAGAGACTGCCTGTGCACACCAAACAGGGTGTGCACAGCCTCCTTTGGGCACAGTCTCCAAAGCCACCTAGGAAAAAAGGGCTCATTCAGTCATCTTAGAAAGCAAGACTTAGGGGTTAAGGCCATGCTTCTGAAAAATCTGTCATGCTGCAGGCATCCTGGCATAGCAGTTGAACACTATAAATAGCAGTTTCAAAACTGTCACTCTTAATTAAGCACTACCTAAAACACAGACAACATTTTAAGTGCTGGAACACGTTCTCTTGTCATCTGCTCTGAGCAAATTTGATAGCACTATCATTTAAGATGAACTTCTATCATCAGCACTAGTCTTAATTTATTCCTTGTACCTTTCCCCTGTTTTTGAAGTGCCCAAGTCATCATTTAATAGAACATCTTCTGTGTGCCCCACCCAGATGTCCTTAGCACTTCAACTTCTGCTGCAGAAGAAAGCCAATTCAGTAAAACTAAAACTACTAAAACTAAGTAGTAAAACCAGCAAAAAGGCAAAGAGAAAACCTGTAAAATAATATGTAAATATACCTATTGTGACAATGGTGCAAGCATGTACACGTGAGTATGACCATGATTATGTGGTTACATGGTTAATACACAGGAGTCAGATTTTCCAGCATGGATTCAGTATATATGGAATAGAGGCTTGGTAGAATCAAACAACAAAATTTGTTTCACATGTAAGAGGCGCACTGCATCCTGGACTTCAGAAAACCAAAAAGACAGCAAGCAGTGGGATTAAAGTAATTCAGATGCGTAGCAAAAATCAGTGCTACAAGCACTGCAAGCAATGTTGTTGCCTATAGCAATAGTACTAAGGGCAAATTTAGTACAAGAAGCTTTTAGTTAGATGATCTAGAACCATAAACAGCATATAACAGCATAATCAGACTTCTGTACAGCTTATTCTGGAGGGGAATATTAGTGAAAAACAGTATCTGTGCATGTGCCAAGGGTGGGAGGTGCAGTCAAAGGTATGGATGGGTGTGTCAGGGAGTGGTGAAGATGAAGGTGAAGTCAGGGACCCCTTCTCTAACGGAGCCTTCTAGAAGTCTCTGTTTCTTCTTTTGGGAAATGCCTGAAGACACAGTTAGGTACCTAAAGTTACAGAATACAAATAATTCCAACTACCTAGATAGTAAGAGAGAAGTATCAACCCAAATAAAAATGTGATGGCACAAAGTCTGCCATCCATCATCAGGAGCAGAGTTGGGCTGTCATCACACGTGGCAGATATGAAGCGGCTGATGCCTTTGCAGAAATGGAGGGCTGCTCATCCAAAGATAAAACAACTCAACTGTGCCAGCTTTTAGCCTCACTAATGCAGATGATAAAAGAACACGCTTTCTAGGATCTCTTGGAAAGGCTCTATATTGTACTATACTTGCCTTGCATAAGATGTGGTAGAAAGTACCACAAGCAAACAGAAAGTTGACCAAAAGTAATAAGATATAGGAGCTGTTGATCAGAACTGGCTTTTAATGAATAGTAGCTGACAGGACACTTCTTTTTCCCTACCAGAGCAATTTCTATAAACACAAACCAGAATCATCTTGTAAAGCAAAGTCCCCCGCAGAACAGGAAAAACATTTATATGCAATGAAAAAAAACCAAGATGTGCAGTCCCAGCACAGCATGTGAAGTCATTTCCAACAGTCTATTCTCAGCAGAAGAAAAGTTAGCATACCTAAAAAAGGCTGAAAGCAGCCCCTAAGTGCACTTATTTTATTGATAAAGATCCTCCCTATCAGGAAAACTTCAGACTTCATTAGGGGAGGAGCCTGAAATGCACTTTAGTAGCACAAGAAGATCCCTTCAATTATAATCTGTAATTCACCCAAATGCAAGATGCACTTAAACAAATTATACTAACTTCTGTGGATTGAGGATAAACATAAAATTAGTTCTACTGATGTGAGAGAGATTAACTGCAAAAAAAAAAAAAAAAAAAAAAAAAAAAAAAAAAAAAAAAAAAACACAAAAAAACCCAAAAAAAAAAAAAAAAAACCAAAACCAAAAAAACCCACCAGTTTGCAGATTAATGTATCTTTAAGAAGAATAAGGGTAGGCATTCTCAGAGGCCAAATACCAACCACTGATGTGGTTTTCTGCAGTGATGATGAATGTTTATCAACTTGATCTCTCAAAATGGTTTGATGATGAGATAATGATAGTCTTTCAGCAAATCTGCTAGAAAAATGCCTGAGGAGGTTAAAAGTATTTTCAGTGATGAAACAGTTTGAGTAAATCTGTGAAATTAAGAGGAAAAGAAAGAACACCTCCCCCAGAAACAAACTAAAAAAACCAAAACAAACAAACAAACAAACAAAAAAAAAAAAACCCCAAAAAAACCCCAAAATCAAACAAAAAAGAAAAAAACTCCCTAAAAACTACAAAGAAGGGTGAAAAAAAAAAATCCAAACTGAAAAAAAACCAACCCACCCTTCCTTTCCCCCCCAAAAATAACCCTTTACAAAAGACAAAAACCACGACAATGGTCAGAGGGTATAAACAACAACTGAAAGTGCTGGAGGTAGGAAGGATTAGCTGAACCACCTAGCAGAACTGTAAAAATAAATTTAGCATTCAACAGTAAACAAACACAAACAGGACATGTTGTAAATATGAAATGAAAAACTGACTGAAATTATTAGAGACACAACTTAACTGAACTTAGAAGGTGCACAAAGCAGTGATGTACAATAGCTAGCCAAATAAAATCACCAAAAAACCAAACAAACTTTTGAAACTGTCTTTGAAAGGAGGCTAAAAAGTTCCAGACCTGTGATGTACCACTTTGCTTTCTCATTGTTCAGTTTTCTACCCTTCTTCAGTTTCACCTGTCCTCATAATCACTTATTCAAATTCTGTCTACAGTATGGCCTTCCAGGTAGCAGGGAATCATCGCTTAGGGAATCATTCTGAATCTCCCTGGGATAAATGTTAATGCATTAAATAATGGACCCTGACTGGATGTCATTTCATGTGCTCGAGATGCAGACAATCGAGAGGACTGAGTTAGAAAACCCTTTTAGTAAAAATGGAGTAATCACTACCACAAATAATAACCAATAACCACCAAATCATAGGTTTGCACATCCTCAGCTGATGAAATATGCAAAACTGTTTAGAGTGAAAGAGAGGTGTTGGTTAGAGCCTGGTGCCAATAACACCAGGTTATGGGTACAAGTTGTGTGTACAGTTCACACAGGGGCCACTGACCTAAGAGCTGGACTCGATGATCCTTGTAGCTCCCTTCCAACACAGAATATTCTCCAACTCCTTCCCTAGCAACTTTAGTTTAAAGACATGCTGTTGGAATATCTGCAAACTCACAGAACCACCAACTTCACCAACAGTGTCTTCAAAAAACACAATAAATCAAAGTGTGCTTCCTCTCCAGCCAAACTAGCCATTAGTAGCCACATTCGTTCTAGAAAGTTTCAGCTGTGCCTGTCCCTTTTCTCAGAAATCTTTTTCAGTTCTGAGCCAGATGCACTTGCTCCCAAAAGAAAAGTTCATCTCAGAACTGAGACTACACTAGAAAGAGATGTTTGAACATATATTTTATATAGTACTACCACAACTTTTTCATCAATTCAGACACAAAGTTTGACTTATTTGTGACAAATGTGGCTGCTAAAAATCTCACGTATATACAGCTATCTCACCCATGACCCCACCATCTTCTAAACAAATAGACAGTCCATGGCAAGGGAAACTATTCACTAATCCTCATGAACAATTACTGCTGTCATCAGAAAATCATCCCTGTTGTACAGCAAAGACTGAAACCTGCAAGATAATTTAACTCAGATGTAACTGCTTAATTTTTCTTACTATCCCTACCAGAGAAATAAGGCAGTTGAAATGTAGCTGAACACACAACTACAATGGCAATGTTCAGAGACCACTTAAGGCAGGGTGCTGGCACAGTTACTACTGAATCACAAAACACTGTTCTGAGAAAACTACTATAGTCTGCCAAGAATAACAGAGATATGCCTCCACCATTGCAGGCATTACTCACATAGCTATTAGCATAAATATTCAAAGGCCTGATGAAAATAATTGCCCTTTATGTTCCATTATCAGATGGAGTAGGGAAAAAAAAAAAAAAAAAGAAAAAACAAAAACCCCACAAACAAACTAACAAACAAACACACACACACAATACCAAAAAACCCCCAAAACCCCAAACAACCACAACATACTGACAAGCAAGATTTAACCATACCATATTCCCCACTGTAAAATACTGCCAACACATTTATGGAGGTCAAGTTCTTGCAAAATTTCTTACCCGGCATTAACTATCAAAAGTTGACTTTTGATTGTATGGAAAGCTTGTCTCTAACACAGGCTCAGCTATTTTGTTGACTTACATGAAGCACTTCACACCATGAGGAATTTGCACTTGTATGTTACCAGAGACATTTCCTGCATGTTGTTGTTACTGAAGTTTTTTACTTTTAAAAACATGCTAGGAGATATAATTACCTGTCAGCAACTATTAAGACGTGTTATATCGCTTTGTTTGAGACACAAAAAGAATGGAAGTTCTAAAAAAACTTCTGCAAAAGTCTTCACAATCCACAGACACAGTATGAGGTCTTTAACATAAAACATTCTAAAAAGCCAATAATTTCTATTTTTTTTTTAATCAGCATCACAGGAAGTGTGTATCTAGCTCTAATCATTTTAACACAGAAGTCTACAAACTGAGTTTTAACAGTGTGTTAATTGGTTATTTCTGGAGAGGAAACTGCAACCCACTAGTCCCACTGAGAGAGTCACAATGCAACTGCACAACATGGACCCATCAGGCTTTCTTGAGGTCGAAAAAGGTTTGCTGATCAGAGTAACAGTAATCCTGATAACAGAGGAAAAATGACTGCTTCCTGTTTTAACAGAAACATTGGTATTCATTACATTAAAGCTTAGAAGAGCACCAAACTGTCTTTTTAGTCATTGTGATCAAGTTTCCAAGTGGGGTTATTATCTTGGAGCAATAAGCAGAGCTATAGCTGAAGTAACATACAAAAACGGTTATTCCCTGCAGAATCCAACTGACTAGCAGGCATAACAGATGTTCCCTGGGAAAAAAGGTCAAGCAAACACCTCTGTTCTGCCAGCACGGCTGTTGGACACTTATTTCCCCATAATACTCAAAGAAAAGACATTTTGCGCCTGTTTACCCATAGAGAACAGGTTTTGTCTATGATATCTGTTTAGTCATCTGGAATGTTTCACTGCTTCACTGTTAGTCACTCTACTTTAAGTGGAAATATATTGTAATTGGCACAGTTTGTGACTCCTGACTTCCTGCACAATAATTTTCAGAGCCTTTTCCAGTCCTCATTTACCACCAAATCCAAACTGAGAACACGGCACAGATCTTAAAATTATCTAGTAGGCAAAGACTTGATACTTCTTGGAAGCATTCCTCTTCAGAAAAGGAAGCCCAAGAGGAAAGCTAAAGAAACCGCCCTTTTGGTGCACTGTCCTCAGTTATGCAACTGCCAATACAACATCATCTGATACATTCAGGGGTCAACAGAACCAAATCTCACCCTGACTGATTTAATAATCAGAGAAGAAGAGGAGTCCACTGATATTTTTCTAGGACTGGCATTGTTGGTCTGAATGTGGGACTTGCTGTACTTTCACATGTTATTAAGCTTCCTGGCCAGCAGCTAATTTAAAATGCATAGCTTTGGAATGTTAACATATCCAAGTGACACAATACACCACCAACAGGCACCTCAGGCAAGATACAGCAGCTGTTCACATGCATGTTCTTGGCCTCCTCCTCCTAGTAGGTCATGCAACTCAGTTCACACTTCTCTCTCTCATCTGCTGAAATTTTGTGGAACTCAGCTTTCTCCGTAACCCAGGGAGGAAACCTCTAACCTCTTCCTCCTTCTCTCTCTCTCAGTCCAAAGGAACAAAAGACAACACATTTTCATTGCTAAAAATTCAGTTTCTGAGCCTGCACAGTTGCTGTGAATGGCAGTTCTTAGTATTCTGACTGACCTGAAAATCATGACGCACAGATGTGGAAAAGGTCACCCTTGTGCCCCATGCAATACCTGTGGACTTATTTGATGCTCTCCGTCGAATTTCAGTCACCATCAATCGTGACACTTGAGTAGTAAACTGCAGGAGGTCAGAAAATTTCTCTGTCATTGTACTTGGAGGAGCATTTCCAAACACCTAAACCAAGAGAAAAATGTATGTGTTAAAATAATTCAGTTTACAAGGATCACTGCAAACTACCACGTTTCTTTGTGAAGAAGCATTCCTATGGAGATTACAAGTTTATCTTCACACAGTGCATGCGCTAAGATATGTTCAGGGTTAGAATTCAGACCTCATTCAGGGAGGTAAAATCTGATAAATGGAGGGGGAAAGAGAGTTGTAAGTTTTCTTGCAAGATGAAAACCCTGCAGAGCCCCAAAAGACTGAGATTGCACTTAATGGGGTAAAGAACAGGTACCAGACCAAATTCTGCAACAGGACTTCTGTTTTTAAAATCAACTGCTTTACTATTTACTAAATATAATTACATGTGTAAAGTCTTTTAAAAGGACTAAGAATTAGAACTGCCCTGTTATGTCCTTCCTCAATAAACTGACAATACCAGGAAGTCTCCCATGTTGCTAATATCCCAAGGACGTACTCTCCTCTTCTGAGATCCTCCTGAACACAACAGCAGGCTTTTTTTTTTTACAAATTGTCACATAATTCTAGTCACTTATTCTTCATGATTAAGCATTAATTTTGTTATTAAATAATGTATTAGATCACATATAACAGGGAAAAATGTGTTAACTCTGTGGTATTACATTAAGCTGTGGAACACAATCTCAAAATGGATTAGCTAGTTGTTGCAGTAATTTACTCTTCATACAAGACTGCACAAAAATGTGCAGTCTTTATCCACATTTCCAATGTAAAACTTGCACTAAAATGATTGCAATAAACCCAAGATATTCATTATCAAACACAGCATGCAATCCCAATTATGGTATTATCACTTGTGTTAGTGCTGAAGAAACAGAATAGCCTGCTCAGCACCTGAACAGTCCCTGCTTGTTTAAATTTTTCTCCCTTATAGGTATTTACGTAACCTTCAGTAGTGTCCCTGATGAGCATAAAAGATGACAGTATTTTTCTAGCAAAACCTATGTTCAACAGGTTATGCTGGCCTCCCAGAAGGAGGATGTGTTCTACAACAGTACAGTTGATTTGGACTCAACAGCTGCTTCACCCCTGTATCCTTTCTCTGGGTGACCCAGTTATCCTATTACAGCTGAACTGCTGACATACTTGGCTGAGGTCATTCTCAAGTCCAGGAACATCCAGTGAAATCCATGACTACAGTCAACAGGGATGCAAGGCAACTGTGGTGCCAGCTAACCTTGGAACCCCTAAGTCACTGAAGAAGACTTAAAAGGCAGAAGAAAAGAGTAACTTCTCTCAAAGTTTGACTTCTTACCTCCCCTAGTATCAGTTGCTCTGGCACATCACAAAACAGCCAAAAATATTTCTCCTGTCTACTTGCACTGCAAAGTCATGATGAAATGTAGCCAGAAATACAACACTGAAATGGAACACTCAGTTTCCTCAAAATAAAAGTAATTTTCACCAAAGGCATAAGTATTTCTCATACTGGAAAGATCAACCACCATTATTATTAAAGCAAGCTACATTACAGCAGACATTACAACTGTTTTCTGCAGACCAAGAAAAACACCCCTCATTTGAATTACAGACTGCACAACATGCCTAGTACAGACAATCAAAGTTTCCCTAAATATTTCACAAGACCTCCTTTTGCAGTTGTCTGCATCAGCTCCCAATTCATCCAAGAGCCCCTAACTTCCACAAAGCTGTAAGAAGGGAAGAGAGCCTTGAGGTTTGCATGTTCACATAACAAAGCAAGATTATCTAGACCAGAATGCACATTAGCATCTTGTTGTCACTAATTGTTTAGTGTTCTTTCACCCAGACCAAGGAAAGAGGAAAAACTATTGGCCCTGTTACCTGTCCTGAACTTGCTCAGATTTGTCAGCAGTTACCAGGAAACACAGAGAATTCAAAGTTCAGATAAAAGATTATCTGAGGTCAAGTGGATTTTAATTAGTTGTCCCATAACCAAGTCTGCACTATGTAGAATAAGCATCTCCATTGGATACTTATACACCCTTAAGACTAAAAGTGGTAGTAAAAAACAGGAAGAGGATGTTACACATTTTAGTAGTAAATAATCTTTTTAATATGGAAAAGCAAGGTTCTTTCAAGATAATGTAACAATGTACCACTTATTCAAAACGAGCCTCTTCATCATTCCATCTACTTTCCTCACATACTGCACAAGCACTACCACGTTGGTAGAGCAGTGCTTCCACAAACTAACTTAGCTCTGAAAGGAGCCTTTTGAGTACTCTTCCACGGGGTCAATCTTTTGTTAATCATGCACCAATTTAGCTTTTCATTACTATGTGATTCATCATTTCATAAGCCTCCCTGAACAATGAAGAAAAACAAATGGTCTGTAAACCCACTTCTTACTAGAACTAGCAAGATCGTTTTATCCACAGCAGGTTTGTGACATGCTCTATCTATAAACCAAACTTAAGAATGCTTTAGCTCTACTGAATTTACTGATTAATAATCCTCAAAATAAAAAAATAAAAAGGAAACGAAGCTGCGTTTCCCACAAAACTTAAGTTACCTCTGATGAAAGGAAAAAATTCAACCCCATGGCTAAGCAAGAAAGCCTCAAGAGCTCCTGGATACCCTGGTTATTTAACTGGCTGCCAGCTACTGGCCACTTGGATGCCTCTGGGAAGCAGAGTTACCTTCTGCACTCTAGATCTCTGCATGCAGCAAAATCAATGCTTCTCCCAGGACTCCCTACTGCAATTTGTGCACACACACACACACACACACACAGATTCCAGCCACACACATGCAGCTCCCACTTCCAACAACTCACCACTCTGGTATAGGAGACATTCTGGACTACATGTAAAGGGATGGCACAGAAGTTTTGTTCTGAGCTTCACAATTTGTTTGAGTTTCTCCTCCTAACACAAACATCCCAATCTTGTAACAGAAAATGCTTTTATAATATACCATCATAATCTTTGTTTAAGGCAGTAACAGAAAAAGTTCTCTATCACACTTCAAAATCTTTGACAGAATAATGATAAGCATGGAAAGTAACTGATGGATGGATTTAGAGTCTGAATTTGCACAAAGTTATCACTTAAAACTTCTGCACTGAAGGATTATGTTTGAGAAACAAGAAAAATTTTAGAAAGGAACTTCTAATAATGTTTTAATGTTTCCTGACAGCAAAAGTGTCCCTTCTCAGAGAAAAGCTGTGTCAGAATTTTAGAGTGAACCAAGATTTACCATATCTGCCATTGAAAATCTCTTCCAAGACTCTTTAGAAAATGAGATTTTTTTGTTGCAGTATTTTTTATTCCAATCAGCGCTGTGACCTGCAGCATTACTAAGCTAGCAAGACTGTGCCAAAACAAGCTGTATCATCAAGAGTTGACACTCCGGAAGACATAAAACTAGGTAAGCTGAGGAAGCCATAGCAGACCCTGTATATGAACATCAAAAGAAGAAAGTAGCATTAACAAGGAATCTAAAGAGGTAAACTGCAAAAGTAGGAATAGATGGCATCACAACTGCTCAGCCTCTTGAATAGAGGAAAACAAGAATGCCTTTATATGAAATGCAATGGAAAAAATCCCCCTATAGCAGAGACAGGATGAGATCTGACTGATCAGGAAAGATCAGTTTCCTTTGGGTTACACTGTCCCAGTTAATCAATAACTGATAATAGTTATCAAGGTCTGCAAGAAAGGAAGTCAAAGAGCAGAAACAATACCTTCTTTCCTCAATATGCCAAGCTATGATCCAGATTTTAGAGATTGAAAATTGAAGTGACAACATCTGGCAAGAGCCTGTATTTGTGGCATGAAGGATAGCTCCAAGAAGCTCACAAGCTCCAAACAGGTAGAGCTTGAGGACAGTGATGTTAAAACTAAACAAGGAAACTGGGGGTGGGGGGGGAGGTCGGAATGAGGAAAGAGTAAGAAAACAGCCAGAAGTAGGACTGAAAAACAAAACATCTGGCAAACAAATAAGAATGTGCCTTTAGCACCAAGTTCACTTCAGTAAAGAAGGGTACAAAAGAGTCTCTAAGACTCAGAGAAAAGAGCCCATAAACAAAACTAGATGGATTCTGCAAAGAATCAAAAAGAGACATGGGGAACCTGGGGAAGGAAAAGTTACTTCAAAAAAGGGGAAAATTGAGGAAAAGAGTAGACAAGATGCATTCATACAAATAAAAATCACAGAAACCATCAATCTGTTCAAGAATATAAATGGTACCTGAGATTATTTAGACGAGAGCTGATTTTCAAGAATTAAAAAGGAAACTTGGGGCCACTGATTTGGTTTTCAGAATGCTTCAGCACATGAGTTGAATGAAGGACAGTTAGAACATATGGTGCAAAGACATGAAGTAACTTCAACTGGGCTTCAGCAGAGTGCAGAGGAGGAGCTGAGAATTAGGACAAAGCCAGCAAGTGGTGTAAAGGGACGGTGGGGGGGGGGGATGTGTATTAAGAAAGAAAACAAAAAAAGAGAAAATGCAGAAACAATGGAGAAATTAAAACTTAGATTTTTTTCTTTCACCTCAGAAGTCTAATCAAAGTCTTTCCTTAAGACTGCTATACATGCATTGCTACACTAGTTTTACTTAAACCCAATAATATCACCACTGCAATTTTTATAGATATAACGCTTCTGCCAGTAGTTACCACAAAGACTAAGAAAAAATTCTTCTCCACCTGCACATCAGAGTTAAGTGCTGAAGAAGCTCAAGTGGGGGCATTCTATTTTCTAGAAGCATCAGCCTCCTGCAACCACCAGAGGGAGATTTCTAAGCGTAACTGCATCAAAATAACCTTCATGGGCTCAAGGCAAGATTAAGATTCTACTGTGTTAATTTGTAAAAACAAATCAAGAAAGTCCATAACTAAAAGGCATATAATCTAAGAATAATAATATCATAAGAAGATAAATTAAAGAGGAGGCATATGAACTGAGCTTACTTCTCCCAAACTCACAGAACAGGTTACCAGTAGAAATAAGACCTAGGGCAACAAAATGGCATTCAAGTGATCCATACACTAAAGCATGCTACCTACTAGACTGAAAATCCTAGTAATACCATGTCTTGACTAGGATTAATTTTTCTACACAGCATTGCTATGGTTTAACCTCACCTTGCACCACACCAGCCCACTGCTCTCTGGTGGAATAGGGCAGAGAAACAGCAAGGTAAAAGGTAGAAAACTCACGAGTTGAGAAAAAGACAGTTTAATAGGGAAAGCAAAAGCCAAGCAAACAAGCAAAGCAAAACAAGGAATTCAGTCTGCTTTCCATGGGCAAGCATGCCCAGCCTTCTCCCGGACAGCAGGGCCCCATCATGGATAACAGTGACTTAGGAAAACAAATCACTTTGAACATCCCTTCCACCTCCTTCTCCTTCTTGCCCCTGCTTTATATGCTGAGCCTAACATCATATGTGGGGGATATCCACTGGGTCAGCTGGGGTCACTGAGTCTCCTCCCAGCTCCATCTGCACTCCCAGCTTCTTCACTGGTGGAGAGGGGTGAGGAGCAGAAAGGCCTTCCCTCTGAGTAAGCACTGTTCCACAATAACTAAATCATCCTTGTATTGTCAGCATTATTTCCAGCACAAATCCAAAACACAGCCCACACTAGCTACTATAAAGAAAATTAACTCTATCCCAGCAAAACCAGCACAAGCATGCAAGCAGCTCAGTGTCTAACACCTTCATAAGCCATATTTTCAACAAAACATCCTTTTAGTTTTATAATTATTCCAGTTCTCTGAGGTAGCATATACAAGCACAAATCTATCACCCAAGAAGTAAAGAGTAAGAGCACACAGTAGGGAAAAAACCAGAAAGCTAGATGTGTACCTACTGGTCCTTCACGACCCTAGAACTACCATCAAAATTATTATTTACAATAACCTGCAGGGTAGCTGACTGATATAAGACATCAGGAGGACTTAATTCCTATTAATTCCAGTGACAGTTGCCATAGTTCTGCCTCAAAACAAAATCTCAGTGCCTAAATACAAGGGAATATGCAATATGAATGCCACAGTAGAAGTGGCTATTATACATTCCCTACAGATTGCTTGTTCAAAATCTCCCTTGTCCATGAAGGAAGATTCAGACCCAATACACACAAAAAGGCCTACAAGGGTGATAAGAACATAGAGAATATATCACATGAGAAATTAAAATTGTTCAGCTCACATAGCCTAGAAAAATCAAGTTGACAGGACATATTATGACTGTTATCTTTAAATATGCATCAGTACAATAAATGCAAAGAAGGGAGAAGAGCTATTTAGACTCAAGGACAGTGCTGTCACACAAAAATAGTGTGCTTGCAAAGTTTAGGTTGGAAATCAGATGACTATAACAGCAGTGAGCAGTGCAGAAAAGCTGTCAGTCTACATGCATCTGTGGATTACACTTGAGAAAAAGTGATAAGAAAAGGAAATCTCCAAAGGTAAGTTTATCCCCTAACAGAAAACTGTGTGAGGATAAGGGGAAAATTGAAAGGATGTCAATGGGAGAAAACCTGTTGTGCTAGAACCAAAAGGTCTTGGGAATCGAAAATATGAGCAAACAATTCCAATAAAGAAAACACTTCTTGCAAATTGCCCGGCTTACCCTGTTGAACACAGGTAACATCATGTAAAGCTTTTCTTCCTGCTCTTTCTGGGTCATGTGCCGTGGAGGATGACAGAGCTCTGTGAAGAGGCGCCGCAGATGCATCAGGCCCAGCGCGTTGTCCTGGGGGCTGCACTCCTCCTGCCGGGGCCGGCCCATGATCCTCTTCACCATATTCATCTTGGCTGACTTTGGGAAGCTCCCTTGTATCCTGCTCAGAAAGGAAAAGGAACATGCTGAGTACAAGAGACTGAGGCATTACTTCACCAAAGCCTTCAAATACATAGCACCCTCTCTCACAGTAAGTATCACACTGGAGTTAAGAGCATTAGCTAATTTTACATGCCAGGCATTGATTAGGAGAATTTAAAGCCAACAACTTGAAAGAGCAAAACATCTGATATTGTCCAGCAGAAAGCATGGCTGGCCAGGCTTTGAACACTGCAAAATACTTTGGTACTTTTTATTGGATGAGTTTTATGATCCTTTGGTGCACATCCCATGGCATTTACAACAGTGTTATCTCCATCATGCAAAATATTCTCAAATTCATTCTAGAGTAAAACCAGTACTTTAAAATCTAATCACACAAGACCTTCCAACTCTCTCAGACATCGGCTTTATCATACAGAGACAAGCATAGATTTTTTTTTCCCTGTGGCACAGAGACAAAGCTGTCCAGTGGAGCTATTGTTCATCTCACCCCTCAGCTACTGGCTCTGCAGAATAGCACCTCAGTCCTCAAAACAACAAGGACCAAGTCTTCCAACTCTGCAACTAAGTCCATCAGGCAGGACCATGCACAAGAAGTCTGAGGGTCAGAACAGGTAATCCCTAAACAGATGTAACCAATCGGACATTGCAGCAAAAGGGACTAACCTCACAACCAAGTTCACATTAGGGAAAGAGTAAGGGGAATACATGGAAAACACTTTCTGCTCCATACATAAAGTCCACCAACAATAAATACTCCACAGAACTGCAATGCCTATATCTCACTGCTGAAATGGAGCCGAAAAACCAAAGGTCAGTAACAGCTGTAAAAATTATTCAAGAGTAGAAAATGCCTTGCAACAAGAAACTTAAAGAGCTTAATTATTTAAATTATCAAAAAGAGAGGTTACCACGAAGGGTCGATTAATAATAGGAGAAGTGATGATTCCAAAGGTGCTGTAATTGGAGTAACAAAGGGAAAGTAGATGTTACTGAAGAACTCCAACCCAAAGCTTAAGTTGTGATAAAAGACTGTAGCTGGATGCTAAAGCCAGGAAAATAACATCAGTAACAAACTAGAGCTATGCTTGTAAAAGTGAAGGAAATTAACTACAAGTAAGAAACATTAATGAAAGAAAAATATTCTCTCTCTAACCCAAGAAAGAGATACCTTTCTGGAACATGTTCAGGAAACGTATTCAAAAGCATTTTATTAACACATAGTAAAACATTGGGAACTAAAGCTAATGAACATTTTAGTACCATTACTTTCATAATTCATGAAGTGAGAAAATGAGATGTCATCAAAAGAGCTAAGCTAAGTTACAAGCCAGCAACTCTAAGTCCATGCTGGAAATGTGCACTGGCTTTTCACAACTGAGGAAAAATTAGATAGAACTGAGTGCTGTCTTTTAGCATATCATCCCTAAGAAATAACATAGGTAAGACTTCGAATCAGCATTAATCACGCAGCTGAAAATAAAACACAGTTTCCTCCAGAAACCCATAGCTTTTCCAAAACTCCTCAGTTTGAGCATGCTTCTCTTGCTGTAACAGGTAAACTAACAGAATACCACATCTGAGCTCAAAGACCCAAACCTTCACTGCCTAAGTAGCAGGAAAAAAAGTCTTCATCTTCTTTTAAATAAATCTTTTAAAGACAATATTTTAAATTTCTTTTTATGATTCACAAAATACTGAGAACTTATATACCCACCCATAATTCATATTGTCATCAAATCAATGACTGCTGTGGACTTTTGCTCACGTGGCCAATTCTTCTTTTAAATTCTATTGCTTTATTCAGCCTAAGCACACACCTAAACCAGAAGTCTACACTGGTTCAGCCACACACTTGTAATTATAGATCTGACAAGTTCTGTATAGTCAGAGAAGTCCAAAGAAATGTTACACAAATGTAAAGAAGCCTACTGGAATGGCATTTCGCAGCTTTGATCTATTTAACTCCACCGGAGCAGTTAACCCCAAGGGAGACAAATGCAGAGAACCATTACAATAGTCCTCACTTCCTCAACACAGTCATGGTCCCTCCTGCCTACTCCTCACCACAAGAAGAGGGGAGCGGAGGGGATGTAATCCCAATTAATTACTTTTTTTTTTCTTCAGAAGTAACCAAATTCCAAAGTAGATACTACTTCTGGAATTATTCCAGAGTTGTCTCCTACTGTGTTTCTCTCTTATTAGAAAAAAGGCTAGTGTGGGCTCCAGGCAATGTCATCTGAAATATATTGTACATAAAAACTGAAAGAATTTCTGTGATTTATTTTTGCCTGCCCAAATCCAGTGATATTTTCTCTGATTATCACAGCACAGATTATCTATGGGAAGAGAGCTGTCAGCTCTGGGACCTCCAGCATTAGGCCCAAATCTTAGATATGTGAAACTGAACAGTGAAAGAACAGTGTTGTATTGCTACTTTGTCCTGTACGAATACTTTGACTGATCTTTTCTTTGTTTAGAATTAGGCTTGCAGAGAGAATTAGGCTTGCAGTACACCCAAACCTTTCACTATAAATAAAAAGAATCTAGAAAAAAGGGTGTTCCTATTCTAAGTGACAGCATCTGCACAATTAATCTTCAGTCAGTTGCAACCATCACATGTGACTTGAATTCAGCACTAAGACCTGGCAGACCCCTTAATGTCAAAAATCAAAAGATTCCAGTATTTTCAGTAACAGCCACTTCACCTGCTCACAACTGCTTGTTTACATCACATGGCAGTAATTAAGACAAGCAAACCCAAAAGCTAGGGAACACCAGTCTTGTAAACGATTGTAGAGCTTGAATTTGGCCTGGCTCTGCACATGCATTGCAGTAGTCCTAAACTGCACACTCACTTCCCCAGAGAGCCTCCTGCCTATCTCAGCAGATGCTTCCTGAGCAGCTAGTTGGTATTTTGTTACTCCATCCCTCTGAGCATGATGCTAAACCTTGGCTCCTACAACCTGGACTGAAAGGCTGCTCTGCACACCCAGTTGTGCATTTCCTCAGGGATCAGAATGCATCACAACTAATAAACCAACTTCCTTTCACAGATATGCCCCACAGCACAGGCGTTGCAACAGTCTCAATATCCACACAATGAACACACATCCTTCCCTCATGCTAAAATTGATGATGTCTAATAATATGGTATCTATTTGAAGATGCTTTGGAGAGCAGCTAATCCTTCAATCTTGCAATGCTTGAATCTTTCTGCTTGCTTGCGTTGTGTCCCTTAGAGACCAGCTGATGTCCTTCTCCTCTGAGCTTGTGATCTCAGAGTAAACACCCAGTACACCCAGATGCAATTAGAGGGCAGCTCCAAAAACCTCAAGAAGAGTTTTGTGGAAGTGGCAAGGACAGAAACCTGTTCTCAGCATAGGAGTCTCTTCCCTGCCTCGCATTCCCTCTTCTGACACGTACATCCCACTGCTACCCCACATTCTTTACTACACAGCCCTGATGAGTTTCTTCCCACAGCAGGCCCAAGCAGGCACACTCTTCATACGGAACCTGTGAGTTGGACATTCCAGCTGTTGGGTGTTTGGCTTTTTTAAACTGAGGGAGAAGTTAGAATTTATTCTGAGAAAGCAAACTAAGCAAGTGGAAGTTCTATGACGCAGACCCACTGCGACAGGCACACTGTTTATCAGGAGGGTTGAAGCATTTCAGCCTATTGTACCCACCTTCTGCTACTAGAGCTAAAAATGCGAATTAATGGCAGTTGCAGAGCATCATGTTCTGTATGGACCAAGACTAAAATAAGACACTTGATGAGTAGATTACAAACATGCACAATAAAACCACTGCTCTTGTAACAAAAATCACAGTTTTCTCTTAGTGGTAGAAGCAGAAGAATCTCCATGTGAGGAGAAATTAAGCAAGCAGTGAAAGCACAGCATAAGCATCCTCACTTTAAAAACTGCCCTTTGTTTTTTTCCACAGGCTGTCAGATGGCTGCACATTTCCCCATGAGCATAAGCGGGGTTGACCCATTTGAACAGCTTTGGTATAAAGCCATTCACCAAGGTTCTTCACTTTTCTGTTAAATTTATATGGGAATCCCACAAGATGAACCCATAAGATTCTCCAGAGGTTTCACAGTAGTTAGTGTAAGAGCTAATTTCTACCCTTCAAAATATTTTAAAGTGTTTTCTACTGTTAGTGGAAGCTGTTGGAAAAATGATCGTAAGTTATGTTACAGAAAATACCAACAGCTTACAAAGCTCAAAGGCAGACACTACAGGAAAAACACAACATACACACAATCATTAACACAAGTTAGGATATGATAATGTATGGGTAATACTACTACAGCTATCAAAACATTTGTGAAGAAAAAAAAGTAGACAGAAACTGCATGAGACACACTCATTTTCACAACAGGTATTATAAATCCAAGCTCTGTATCTAGTTCCAAAAGGATGTTATTTAAATAAGCAGCTGTGTAATTAACTGCTTAGTAATTACAGTCACAAGTGCCTGTTTCTGCAGGCACTATATTGTTATTACACCAGCAGCTTAGCAGTGAAACAGGAATCAACTTCTCTCTGCAGATTATAATGGGACACCAGTACACACCTCCACCCAAACTATCTCAGGAAAATTAAATTTAAGTCTTCTTGCTATGATCAATCACAGAAGTCCATTAGGATCAGTAAATTCCACACCTGCTAGTTCCCTCCCCATTAGGTCTGTTACTTCTTTCCTGAATTTCAGGTTCCCTACCCATGTAGTGAATACTAACACTCTGAAGATGATCATCAGTATGCACTATTCAAAAGGACATTGTTTGGCCTTCAAAGGAAACAATAAAGAGCTGTTACTGGCTAGATGGACATCCATTTTTGCTTAGAACTGAGCAGGAATAAAAAATTCTCTTTGTAGACAAAAACGTCAGTAGGAGGGGAAGCGAGGAACGCAACTACTTCCTCCCATTCCCTTTCCCCCCACCAGTCCTGCCACCAAACACAAAACAACTACTCACACACAAAG